CTAACCCTAACCCTAACCCTAACCCTAACCCTAACCCTAATAACCCTAATAACCCTAATAACCCTAATAACCCTAATAACCCTAACCCTACGCTTAAACTCGAGGTACTTATAGTATCCGGATCTTCCTTATATAAGAGGCGCGTAGGTACGACTCCGCGATAGGGTATAGTAGTAGCTACGCCTACGTTAGCGCGGTTACGATTACGCTTTATTTATTAGACTTCTAACTAAAGTTAGCGAATCGTCTCTTACTACTATAGAGCCTACTTCTCGCCTTCGAGGCGCTAGATTATCTTATTAGCCGTCTCTTCCTTATCGCGTTCGTTTTCTCCGTAATCTATCGTATCTTCGTCTAGAGTAGGCTATATAGGCTCTACGGTAGCGACTTCTTCGATATCTTCGTAGTTAGGGAGTTCTTCGACGTATTCTTCTTCGTAGCGCTACTCGGGAGTAGTCGCTTCGCGGGCGGCGCGCCTAGGAGCTATTCCGTTAGGATCTAATAGATCGCTACCCTTAGAGAGGAAGAAGAATTAGAATTATAAGGGTAAAGATATAGTAATATATTAGACACCCGTAATTACTCGATTAGAGATAAGACTAATTCTTATAGGTTAAATATACGCTATACGTAGGAGTTATATATACGCTAAGCCTACGCTAAGTAGTTAGGTTATATTATACTCCCTTCTCTAAGGTTAGTTAATCTAGCTACCTCTATTAATCCTATTATTATAAGGGCTCTTATACGGCCCTTATAATAACGTAGAGGTATAAAAATTATATAGTTTAGKTATATAAGGTCTAACCCTAAACCCGGAACTATATACTAGACTTCTACGACGCTATTCCTAGCTTTAGTATAGGTACGTAGTAGTCTCGTAATTAGCGACGCCTTACTCGGAGTACGCTCGTATCTAGACTATAAAGTTAAGGAAGAGTAGCGTATACTATTTAGAGTAAGTAAGGAAGCTTATACTAGTCTCGTTCGCTCTAATAGGGTAGCTATAGTCGCGGCCGTTTACTACTACTTTACGTATACTATTAAGAAGCTAGAATAGAAGGCTTTTAGATACGATTATTCCTACTTCGGAGCCTATAGCGATATAGAAGTAGTCGAGAGAGGCTATCTATAGTAAGCGAAGCTAGTTATCGTAAAAGAGAGTACTTACCCTAAGGGAGATATAGTAGGATATTATCGACTATAATAAAGCTCTTAGTAGAAAAGATATCGATATTATAGATAGGGATCTTATTATTAAGAACTCTAAGGACGACGAACTTATAGTCGTAGAGAATAGTACCGGTATAAAGGTTTTTAAGGAGAAATTTATAATATAGCTAAACTATAACCCTTCGCCTAAGAAGGTTCGTAAATACTTCCTTAGCCTCGGTAGAAAGGAAGTAGACTAGGCTAATAAGGTTTAGCTATAATACGGTCGGTTCCCTACGAAGAACGTAGAGCGTATACTAGAGGGTTCGATTAAGAACTAGAAGGTAGTTACTAGATAATATCTATAGTTAGATATATAGAGTAGAGGAAGAATATTATAGGTAATACCGGCTCTATAAGGCGTTTTTAAAACTTTACGGTCCCTTATATAAGCGGACGGTCTATATAGCTAGCTTAGAGTACTCTTTTCGGATATTATTAAGCTATTATAGGCCCTTAGGGTAATAGCTATTAACGACTTAAAATTAATTTTACTTACTTACGAAGATTTACTTAACTACTTTTTCCTTATCTAGCGCTCCTTTATTTACTCGACTAACCTTAAACCGACGTTACTTACTAAATCCCTTCTAGAGTATAATATATAAGAGGATAGGCTATACGGATAAGGGCCTAACTAGATATAAAGGGATACCTACTTAGGCTTTAWAGAGTAGTTATCTATATAGGCTCTAGCTCCGATAGAACTAGGTACTACTACTCTACTAAGTCTAGTACGCTAGTAACGTACTTCTCGCGGATCTATAGTATAACCTTTACCTAGCGTACTAAGTCCGGAAAGTCGAGCGTTATATAGTAGTAACTACTATAAAAAGTATTAGACTTATAATAGAACTATAAGTAGGAATCGAAAACTTACTAGGCCTTATAATAGAAGTACTTAATCTTAGCGCTAATAGTTATAACCCCGTTATAAAGTAGCTCGGAAGCTAGAATAGGCGGTTAATAAGCGAGCCTTAGAATAACTATACGAGAACTTATAGTTATATATATATATAGTAGGTAGCGCTCGTAGATAGTAGTAACCGCGTCTTAGATATTAGTAGTAGTACGAGGAGGAGTATTAGGTACGATAGCCTAAGTACTAAAGTTCTTTAGTAGTATTATAGCGAGTAGCTTACTACTCGCGTAAGAGAGGTATAAGAGTATTAAGAAAGTCGTAGGAGGTAAGCTAGTAATATAATAAAGGTATACTAGAAGCTTATAGTAGTAGTACGAGTAGAATAAGGTAGTATCGCTTAAAGTAAGAGAAGAGCGTTAAACGTAAAGAAAAAAGTTTAAGATAACCTACGCGTATCTACTACTATAATAATTACGTTTACTCCTATTAATAAACTAGCTACGTAACTACCTACGCGATAAAAACTAATAGAAATTAAAGGAACTAGCTAGAAGTAAACGAATCTAATAGGTTAACCGAATACTCTAAGCTAAGTACGCGTAGGCTATACGTACTCGATCTAAGAATAGTCTAAGAATAGAAGTACTTATAGATACGGCGATATAATAAAGAGACGTACGTATATTATAGTTAGAAATTAAGAGGCTTATAAAAGCCGAGACGTCTCTCTTTAAGAAAAGGAATAATTATTAGGAATTACTAAGGCTTCGGCTATAGCTAGACGTAAAGTTAGACGACTACTAAGCGTACTAGCGAGCGCCGCGTATATAACGTATAATCGTCCCTTAAGAGGCGCTTAGGCGCCTCGCTATTAATAAGTAAGAATTAGTTTTATTACTAGTTAGACGACTAGTTAGCGTTCTATATACTACGATATCTTTTATATATCTTATAAGCTTATATTATAATATTCGATATCTATTTTAGACGTAGTTTCTTATTATAAATAGAAATAAATTTATATATTAAAAAGTAAGTTTACGAAGCTAGTATTACTAAAGGAGAGGAGGCTCTATATATAAGTTATAGTATAAAGGCTCTAAAACATATCTAAAGTAGTTAATCTAAAATATCTATAGTCGAAAATATAACGACGAAATACGACGACGAAAATACGACGACGAAAACACGACTACGACGATAACACGACTACGACGAAAATGTAACGAGGACGAAAATGCAACGAGGACAAAAATGCAACGAGGACGAAAATGCGACGATATGCGGCAAGGAGGTAACGACTCTACCTTATCTACCTAGTAGTCATTGACTCTAGATTTATTTGATTGTAATTTAGCGCTCCCTCCGCTTACTCCATGAGACATGAACATAGATCTTATACGATCATTTTCATCTCCTCCTACCAATGACGCCCTTGACAACTGCACTCCCTTTCCCACCGCCACCAGGCTTCTTGACCACGGCGCTCTTTCCTACCTTCACTTCCGGTCTGGTTCCGCTCTTGAAGAGCTCCCTCTCAGCTTCCGCCTCAGCCTGTGCTTTTGCATTCCTCCGATCAACATCAATAGCCTGTTCCAGCTCCAGCCGTCTCGAATACTCAACTTCCCTCTTCCCTCTGCTTGCGGAATATCCCTGCTCCTTGACAGAATAGAACACTCCTCCCATATCTGCCAGCCAGTGAGCGTCGACCGCGGTGGCGACACYCATGTATTCTTTGCTGGTGAGGATGAGTTCGTGGTAGACGACGTAGTCGGGAGGATCGCCGCTGTTGTACAAAGCCGAAGTGGGGTGGAGATTCATGAGAACAGACGTCCGGAGGTTGACGTACTCGCCCAGTCCCTTCCTCTTCGCAGCCTGGTGGTAGAAGCCAGAGCAGATACACTGCCGCACGATGTCCAGATCGTATCCGCATGAGACGATTTCCATCTTGGAACTACGCATGATGTCTGTGATTTGCTGTCGGATCTCTTGCGCTCTTCGGAGAGCTTTCGGGTGAAGGAAATGCTTGACACACCAGCCGTCTCTCGATCCGTTCGCGACCCATTGTTGGTAGACGGTGAGGAGAGTGAGATGATCGGAGTCGTGGACGAAAAACTTCTCCCTGGCGGCGTCGGCTTCTTCTAATCGCTCTTTCGGGCGGTAAAAGACAGAAGGAACGGRGAGCATGCTGACGATCGTGACCATCTCTTCCGCGCAAGAGTATGTTGTTGAAGAAGTGATGACCAACTTGGCGAGAGATGGATCCATCGGGAAAGAGGTCATGAGCTTCCCAAGTTCTGTAAGTTCGCCGAGATTAGTCAGGGCGCCCAGCGCCCAAAGATCGAAGAGAGATGTAGTGATAGTATCCTGGGGAGGCGGGTCCATGAAGTCAAAGTCCAGCAAGTCCCGAACTCCGAGTGACTTGAGCAAAAGAACAGTGTTGGCGAGATTCGTTCTTTGGATCTCCGGAATAGTGGCAATGTAGAACTCATCTCGGAACGCACGTTCGGTGTAAAGATGAAATGCCTTACCGGGACCTGTTCTTCCGGCGCGGCCGGCTCGTTGGGAGGCGTTCGCTTGCGAGATGGGTGTGATCTGGAGAGTGTCCATTCCCATACGTGGATTGTAGACTTTGAGCTTGCTGAAGCCACAATCCACAACATACATGATTCCGTCGACAGTGAGCGACGTCTCGGCGATGTTCGTTGCCACAATGACCTTTCTAACGCCCGGCGCCGCACGGTCGAAGATCTTGGCCTGCAGATCCGCTGGCATCTGGGAGTAGATTGGTAGAATGCTGAGCTTGGGAGGATCGTTCAGCTGAGCGAGTCGTTCTGCAATCAGTTCACAGGTGACTTCGATGTCTTCCTGCCCAGTCATGAAGACAAGAATATCTCCAGTCGGTTGGCTGACGTGGATTGCGAGAACTTGCCGCACCGCTGAATCAACATAATCTTCGCATGGCGATCGTGAGTATTGAATGTCGACGGGAAAAGTTCGGCCAGGAATGAAGAACTCGGGAGCACCGCCATAGAATCGAGCGAAGCGGTCGGAGTTCATCGTGGCGGAGGTGACGATGAGTTTGAGATCCCGTCGTCGTGTAAGGACTTTCTTGATCAGACCCATCAAGACATCAGTATTGAGAGCACGCTCGTGAGCTTCGTCCATGATGATGCAGCTGTATTGGTCCAGATCTGGATTGGTGAGGGATTCTCTCAGAAGTACACCATCCGTCATATACTTGATCTGAGTGTCCTTGCTAGTGCAATCTTCGAATCGAATAGCATAGCCGACAAGTCCCCCGAGCGGCACCTCCATTTCCTCGCTCACACGTTTTGCAACGGACATGGCTGCCACACGTCGGGGTTGTGTGCATCCAATCATCCCGTTCTTTGCGTATCCATCTTCGTGTAAGAATTGAGTAAGCTGTGTCGTCTTTCCCGATCCAGTCTGGCCAACGACGATGATGACTTGATTGTCCCTCACCACCCGCAACAGCTCCTCCCTCACGGCGAATGCAGGCAGGTATTCCCTCTGCTCGCGAAGCGATTTTGTCCTGGAGAAATCCGACTGCCCAGCATCTTGCTTCTTCATGTGCTGCGCAAACTTGCTGCTCACATTCTTCTCGCCATCCTGCTGTCCCGCAACGGCCGGCGCAGCAGAGTCCGCATCCTCTTCCTTGACACCCAGCACATTTCCCAGTGCCGTGTTGGCCACACTTGTCGCCTCCTGAGCCTGCTTCTGCCTCTCCTTTTGCTGTCGCTTCTCCTTGACTACCTTACTTCCCTTCCTTGAAAAGACGGCCATGTCACTTTGCGGATCCTTCACAGCACTGACGGGCYCCAACTGTTTGGTAAAGACCGTCTTGCCATCCAGAAAGGGCGGTTTCAGATCGTGCGTCAACAAATGCACCCTCGTCTCCTCGTTGTCGTCTTCCAGTCCGCCAGAGTACAGTGTGTCTCTCGTCTGCGCGACACTGCTGGCCACCATTCGGTTGGCCTCCCACGCATCATTATCCTTTTGTCGTTGGAGAAACTTGGCATTGACTTTGGTCCTCGCCGCCATCTTCTTCTCCAACAGATCCCTCTCTCTCTCCTGATCTGCCCATGTCGTTTCTTCGGTCCCACCAAACGGGTTGTGAGATTCATCGCCTAATACTGCTCCATCTTCGCCGTGCAAATACCAGTCGCGGTCMAAAGCTGCCGCATTGTCAGGATCAACTCCAGCGTCGTCATGTTGCCGCGCTGGGGTAGATCCGCCAAAGTCGCGAGCAGTGGAAGCGCGTGAGTGATCTCGAGGTCGGTAGCTCTCTTCGCGAATTCGGTCGTGTCGCTGGCGCAAAGGTTGTACTGAAAGCGGATGTTCGTTGTCGTCGCGGTCAATTCGGCGCCTTTTGGCACTGTGTTCGCCAGCCATTACAGGGAGTAGTCGAGAAGCTTCTACTCACTTTCAAGTCTTGTAGAGGTGGATGGATTGATTTCATACCATCGACTTACAGCCGGCCGTTGAATCTTTAAATGTTCGACCCCACTTTCGGGCCGTTGTTCCGGAAGCCGGAGGATCTATTTAAGGTACCTAAGGTAAGGTAAGACAATTGATCGCCTTTTCCGTGCTACCTACCACCTGGAACACAAACGTTCTTTCGAAGAGCGCTCAGTGTCATGCCCTCGTACTACCAGTCACCCCCGAACCGGTTCTACAACACACCCTCTCGACAGGACGTGGTGCCATCGGATAGGTTTCAACTTCTCGGAGAGCATCTCTGACGTCCCACTGCACAACAAACCCACGGGGTGGGTCCTCCTCTCTCAAAGTAGGTAGTTCACGAATAGCTGAACTTTCCAATCCCACTTCTCAATCCTCCAGCATCGGCTGCAGAATAGTAATCTCATCCATCGTCGCCCAACTCCTCAACTTCCTCTCCGAAACGTCCAACTCCGAACACCTTTGCCTCCGGAAAATGAAATCTGCCCGCTGGATCGTCGCTTTCCGTCTACACAAAGGGATCTTCACAGGTCTTTGCTGCTGAAGATCATCACCTCGGAAACAATTCAATCGGAGGTCGAATTCCGTCTTTCTACCCTTTTTCACCAGCAAAGGCCATCATCCGATACACGGACAGCATACGAATAAGAGACTCAAAAGGAGTGTGTTTTTCGTAGAATTGAAATCTCCGCTCGGGATGGGAAATCGGAGGGATCCTTGGGAGAAATGATAGCTTCCTATTGTGTACCCTTGCTCGTTTACTCGATCGTCACTATTGGAGAACCCTCGATTCCCACCTCCAGTTCTATACAACCCTTCTCCAGGCACAATGTCCCCGCTATGCACGAAGCATGATGGAGAAGGGGCCAAGAGCCCCCATTCGTCGTCCTTCCAATCTGGAGCAGGATGCACGGGATACGGTAGTCCTTCCGTTGGAGCAGTCCAGGCGAACAGCGACTCGTCGGTGGAGACTTTGAGGAGTTCGAGCTGGAGATCCATGAATGCATTCGCGCCTCTGCCGTAGCTAATTTCCATTCTGATACCGAGTATTCCGAGCATGCTATAGGCCATGTCTTCGATTCTACTGGTTTGACGACGAGATTGCCAGCTCAGTTTACTGGCCACGCTGGCTTTGCGGAAATCTTGCTGGCCGTTGAGGAAGTGGATGGGGATTCCTGTCACGTTCGAAAGGGTCTTGGCGAGGTTCGGACGGGTGCCGATGGAGTTCCAGTCTCTGTCGAAGAATGTCATCTTGGTGGGTGCCAGGAGCTCTTGGAGGGTCCAGCCTCGGGAGAACCATTCGGAGGCATGGCCAGGACGATCCAGAGACGTGAATAGTTGTGAACTCTCATCCTCTGATGATGCTTCTTTGTTGTCTACAAAGGAGACGTCCGATAGATACGTTATGCAGACTTCGGCTTTGCGATACCACTTGAACATGGAGTTGATGGAAGTACTCAATTCAGCAGGATTTGATCGGCTGATGCAGCAGGAATCTATCCAGATGAAAGAWATGCCCAAGTCCAAGGCTTTCTGGCAGGCTCYGTGAATTTTGGTAACTGAAGGGCTTGTGTGCTCCCTTTCAATCAGAGGCAGAGAGTCGATGCTGTCGAACGTTATTTCTTCAGGAGACCAGCGATGCGAGAGGATTGCATATCGAGGATCCGCGAGGAATTCTGGATCAGAGTCGAAGTGGAGTGCCAAGGTTTCGGTGTTGAGCAGGCGTTTGGTTGCCCCTAGGGGAAGCAACGTAGAAGGCATGATGGGACCCTAGACCGTGATTCGAAATGGCAAGGGTGGTTAATGTTTCATTGTAAAGTCGAAGCCTCGGCCTCAGCTAAGATTGAATAGTCCTACCTTTGTCAGCAATGCGGCTRAGTCTGCGAAGGATGCGATGACGCGGAACTGGACGAAGAGTCTCATTCGTTTACCCTTAAACAGAGTTTAAGGTAAAGTTAAATGTGTGTGTATTGTCCTTGGTCCGTTTAAGTAGCCAAGATCTACGAGGTCTTCCTTCCATTAGATAAACGCCGTCAAGTCTCCACTACCACACCTTTCCCTTCCATTTTCTCCCTCTTCAAATCCTTACATAACTCCACCACACCCTTCCGATGAAATGCACCAAGATCATCCACCTCCTCTCACATCTGCGGTATATCCTCATCCTCAATCTTCGGCTGCTGAAGATGTACATTAAGAAGTCCATCAAACATGTTCACATTGCTAGCAAAGATCTTCGTAACATGTCTCTTCTGTGAGGTCTTGAATTCCTTCCCGAGGWCGTAATGATTCTGGCATCAATGTTGTTGWCAGGCTGCACCGCAATTCTGCAGTCGGGAGGGACCTTCCACACATTCCAAAGTTCGCGAAAGTCCGACTCAATCTACAAAGTCCCCAAAGCTTGTGCCATTCCTCCGAATCACCGAGGGGGGCGTTCACTTGGCCCAGCCAGTATTCTTGATAGTAGCAGCCCAGACTATGACGATAGCAGATCCAACGATCATAACGATGACTACCAGCTTCCTGAGGGTTAACACTTCCGTCTCGAGCTTCTTAATGCGGTTTTGCAGGCCGCATTGTCGATACAAAAACTCGGTCATAGCTGTACGAAAGAAGCCACGGCTCCGGTTTGATCGATGTGATGTTTGCTGCACYGAAATATTCTAAGCTCAAAGGAACTCAATAAAATATTCTGGAGGAGACATCCCGAGAGGATCGGATGATGCTCTCTTTGTAAGATAGCTAGGAGATGGGAACACTCATTAAGCTTGTCTGTTCTCCATGGTCCTCAAGATCCTTTGCAACGATGAAGAAATAGCAGTAATCGCGAGATCAAGTGGAGATTCAAAATTGGCCCAAGTCTCCGATGCAAGGAAAACGACTCTTGAGGCCCGACAGCTCACGACAGTAGCTAAATCAATTCTCAATGATACCCCATCCGCATCACTTTCCTGGATAAATACAGTCGAAGTGTTCGCGGCGTTGTATAGAACATTCGCATGTAAGCAGGCTTTTTGACTTTCCTTCACCTCGGTCCTCGGAGCATCTCCGGCCCGTCTCCGTCAAACGACCCTTGGATAGCATCATCCAGGATCAGGACAAAGTGTCTAAACATTGAACGTCCTCGATTGCATTAATAATGGCAACCGGCCGCGGTGGACGACCCAATCGCACCAAACCATTGCCTGAACACGAAGGAAACACCTATCTACCCTTCGCCGATCTCATCAAACTAGAGAAGATCGAGAATAGGACATTCCGAAGCATCGCACCAGCTTACTCACCGGGAGGTACCATTGGCGCAGGACGTTCATATGGAGCACATGTATATATGCAAGCAGCATGGGCAGCATCTCAGACGGTAGCAACCGGCTTCTTGCTTCACAGCGTCTCTGGCAACTTTATCCTCGCCGGCGAGCTCAATGTTCCTTTTGTGTACAAGGTGCACATCATTCGGGATGGTAGATCGTACTGCACTCGGATCGTCAATGTCACACAGAGCCAAGGGAAGGGAATCATGTTCACCTGCATCTGTTCATTCAAGACGCCTGAGCACAAACAAGTTGATTCTCAGGAAGACGTCGATATCGCGAAGAAGTATGGCTCTGTGTTAGACGGCAAGAAGCCGTTGGACTTCCCGGAAGTCCCTGCCATGGATCTACCCTTTTACTGGAAACGGATGGCTGAGACTGGCATCAATGATCCTTTTCCTGGTCTCGAATGTCGGAAAGTCGACATGTCAGAATACAATAAAGACCGACATCCTCTTGATCGGAGGCAGTTGATCCTGTACCGTACGATTGGGGAAATGCCGAACGATCCAAACATGCACCTGTGCGCACACGTATACGCCTCAGATCGAAACAGTCTGTACATCGTTGCGAATCACTTTGAGCTTGGAGATTACTTCAGCAGCATGAGCAGTCTGGCACATACGATGATATTTCACAGTCCAGTGGAAGCTTATCGATTCGGGACGTCCGGAAAACGTGGTCTGTTACACGACGAGACTGGGCGTTGGTTCTGCCTGGAGATATCCGGGAGTCGAATGGGAGGCGGTCGAGCGGTTCACAATTGTCGAATATGGAACAGTGAAGACGAGCATGTCGTAACCACTATGCAAGATGGTTTGATAAGGTATGCTGTGAATCCGCAGACGCCGACCGATGACGAGTTGAAGGTACTAGAGTTCACGAAGAGGAGATGGAAAGGGTTGAAGAGGGAGGGGAAGCTGTGACGGGAAGGGAGTGTTTGTAACGATGCAGGAATCTTGGAATACTCGCAGGCTCGGCGGTCAAATTTTGCATCAAATTTTGAGCAGCCGTATAGCCTCCCGAGATCAAAGCGGCTTACCCCTTTCGTAATCTTGACCCTCGAGGATTGTGGTCGCTTTGCGAAACCAAGCAGGATGTTGGTAGTTCTTCGCAATGTCCCTTATAGGCGTTGACAAAAGCTGTTCTCTTGCGAGAGATGATATCAACCCCGTCTTTCGTGTCTCACACGCTTGGAGCCAGTGTACTTTGGAGAGAGCAAATTTGTTATTTCCACCTCAGCAGGTTCTTCCGGTGCGCTTCCGTGACCATCCATCGAAAATATTATCAATACTCCTGGCAGTGGAATGGCTGGATTTCGAGCTAGCGTCCTTGCCGTATCACTCTGCAATGAGAATAAGGAGAAAAGCTCTGGTGATCCCATCCGCCAGAATGCTCCGCTAGCATGTGAGTGAGCTGAGAAGTTCACTGCGATTCTTTGCTCTTTGTGGCTTTGTTGCACAACATACAGACTAGTGCTGACGAGGAATAGTAGTTGCAAGAAGCTAATCTTGGTAGATATTGGCGCCGAGAAGGATCACGACGCTCTGTGGCTTTGCTAACATTGCCTTCGAAGTCCTCCCTAGGTAGAGTTGTTCCTCAGAGCCGATTCAGATCTCTCGACTAGCAGGTCTATCGCTCAAATAATCGAGAGGGGATTTTAGCACCATGGTCCAGATGTGGGATTTCGTATGAACAGCTCTATCCTGCTCAAACTTGATTCGGCTCTCGTTTCGCGTTGCAATACGCCAGGCCTCACGGCTTTCCTTCATACTAACTCCGCGTGTGCACTACACTGAGCCAGTAGAATTTCTTTCATTGAAATCTTTTCGTCTCTCACAATGTGTATTCACATCTGTGCCTGGATGATGGTGCTTCAATGCCCAATGGGTCTCCCTCCGAAGCTACGAGACTTCGTGAGGTTCAACAAAGTCTATATTACAACTGCCAGAATGACTGTTCCATGAGTAATTGAAAACTGTTGCCCATCTCCATCGTCATCCGAAGCTCCTCATGGCTAGAGACAACCCTCTCACATTCCTTCTTCGTCTCCTAGTACTCCCCGTCCACTGGCAGTCCATCCTCGTCGATTTTGGCCCACTGGAAAAATATCATCTCCTGGTCAGCCTTGACAGAGTCGATCACATGTTTTGGCTCTTCCGTTTCTGCAGAWTCCTCGGCCGCTTCATTGGCGCTTCTCGCAACTATTTCAWCTACGCGCCATATTTCCTCCTTATGTTCTCCTTCAAGAATCTTGAGCGGCTTGAGTAACCAGCTAGACTTGGTCTTCGCGGTTATTGGAAAAAAAGAGAACATTCACTTCTGAGGATTCACTCACTTGATTTGTAATGCAGAAGCTTCTAGCAATCAGCTTAGTGGATATATATAGGTTGCAATTCAATCGTTGGGTAGGTAAGAAATCAAGTCATCAATTTCCAACAGCGACAAACTGTTTCCCGCGCGATGATAATATGCTTGGCATTCTATTCGGGGCGCTAGTACTGTTTGTAGCAGAGTACACTTCCAGGTTAGGTTAGTTCGATCATCGGATCTAACCAGCTTACTAACTTAAGCTTTCTTGTCTGTAGTCACCTCCTTTTTGATTGACCCGGTGCTAACGACAACCAGAGCTCGTGTATCCTATCGCATCCACGCTGGAAGCTGCCATCATCATCGGCATGCTCGAGCTCATCGACGGGTCAAAGCGACTGATTCTTAATCATCATCACCCYCATAATGGATCTTAGCATGCTTCTTCTTGGACTTGCGCACTTTGACATCTGGGAGCACGATGGTSAGCTCATGACAGCAATACGGAGGAAAGACAAGGTGAAAGTCAACGCACCTGTGAACTCTTCGATGATTGACAGCACGACAGCGGCAAGCATGAGTATTGCCAACCACTGGCCGAAACCCCATTCACCATCGCCACCATCTTCGCCATGGAACATGTCGCAGCCGCGAATCTTGGAGAAAAACTTGAGATAAATCGTCAAGCCAAGCATGATAGCAGTACACACAGTGCTGATCACGACCACCAGTCTAGCAATGGTCGGAGGTGAAGCCGCTGCAACATCTTTCCGTCCTGCCCTGCCTCGAACACTCATGACATCCCAAAGCGGGAGGCCTTCCAACAGCACAATCATTCCGCAGGAGAGGATTGACATGGCCATAACGAGCACTTCCTGCCAGGTGCTACTATCGAGAAGACTCGGGTGGAAGTATGTTATAGTAGCCAATACACTGGTCGTGATATTAGCCAGGAATCTCAGCGAGAACGACTTCTTCCCGATATTTCCGGATCCAAGCAGAAGGCCGAGCGGCGCCATATGACTATAACTTGCCAGCAGCGCCTGAGAAATGGCCAAAGCGGCATGCGGATCGTCCAACTCATCCGGCAGAAACTGGTTCCTGGCACTGATCACAAGCGCTAGAGCCGTGATCAATTGAGTGATACCCAGACTTCTCAAGGTATCTTCCAAAATGGTAACGACTTTGCCTTGTCTGCCGTGGTGGCTTAGTCTGATTCCTGACATCCAGCTTGATCTCCGGTTGTAGTGCGGATGAACGAGGACCATTAAGATGGATAATATGGTTGATATCATCGCGAGAATGATCGTGGCGTACACGACCTAAAACCTTGTCAGTCAACTGGAAATGTCCTCGCCTAGGTAATGGTACAAACCCCAGGTCCTGCGATATCACTTAGCGGGTTGCAAGACGTTGGGTTCGAAGAGGATGATCCATTGCTGTTCGAGTCGGACATAATGCAATGGTATGCTCGGAGGCTTTGCGGAGAAACAAGTCTACTATTTCCACGCTCTATTATGAGGACCATCACCGGCTTTTGAAATCAATGCCCTCAGCCACAAGTACTGGTACCACCACCGACCGTCGCGAAGGCCGCCAGCTCAATCTCACCGGTCTTAAGATGTGGTGCGAACCCTGCACTAGGGTGGCATGCATGGTGCATGGTCTAGAGATAGGCTGTGCAACAGTGGCCTCACACAAAAATGACTGGATTCGAAGACTGGCTACATATCAGAAACGTTAGGTCTCGCTTTATGCAGCTCCTCCAGGAAGCTTGGTCTCTTCGCAGATGATTTTTTGTTTTCTCAGGCCTAGCGAACGCTTCGGTTTGCTGTTCATAATCCTGCAGGATCGGCGAATTGTGGCGCTCGGCGCCTGCTGCCTTCTCTCAGTGTGGCCGCAGTACTATACTTAGCCGAGAGTCCACGGCGCCTATCTACGCCTCCGATGGTGGAAACAACGAACGGAAGACAAACAGCATGGAGCTACACCGGAGTGCCCTCTCGTCGTACTTGACTCATTTCAAATCTCCGTTTATATTCAACTTTTGGTTCGCACAAATCGCCGCCCTGTCGAATGGGTCAAAAAGATTCACGAGATCCCGTCCCTCTTTAAGTCAGACCAATTTCAGGGCTTTTCGCCGCGGCAACTACCTACCTGCTATACGTTCGCTAGCTTTCAGCCTCGTAACGCTTGATGCAGTCCTGAGCCAAATCCTACACGTGCGGCTGAGAGGATCTGCAGACGGMGGGCGGGGCATACCTAAGATCGTACTATACCACGCTCTCTCGCCCAGGCACAGCCGACCTACTTCCACAACGCCCAGCATGKCTTCAGAAGATGAGGTGTCGAAGCAAATTGCGGAAATGTCGCTCAATAGTCAGAGTAATAGCAGTCATTACCATGAAGTCAGCGCAAAAGGAGCATCCCGTCAGCACAATGGAGATGTTCATGGGAATGTCCTCGGCGACATACATAACAGTAAGCAATCTCTCATGACATCGGCGGTTGACTGATATATCCAGATCACATCGCACCCACACACAGGACTGCAGATCCTCGAATGGATTTGAACAAGGCTAATGAAAAGCTGCTTCTGGCAGCAGCGAATGGCCACATCGAGCGGGTGATGTATCTCATCCACGACTGCAATGCGGACAGAAATTACAGCGATGCAAATGGGCTCACGGCAGTCCACTGGGCGGCGCTGAGTGGCTACGAAGACGTTCTGGAAGGACTTGTCAGGGACGGTGCCGATGTCGATGAGCTGAGCGTAAAGTTTGGAACTCCTCTCTGCCTGGCTGCTCTGAAGGGCCACAAACACATAATACAGGTTCTACTCACACGCCGGGCTTCACCACTCATGGCGGAGAATAGACTCGGATCCGCGATACACTGTGCTGCATGGGGAGGAGATTCTAGCGTCCTCGAGCTCATTCTTGAGCACGCTCACAAGATGCCCGGCAACCGCCAGACATATTTTGATTTTGAACTCCCTGGTGGTAGAATGACAGATTTCGAGGCTGCAGAAGCTTTAGCCAAAGCCATTGCTGGCGAGCGAGTCCGCAGCAACGAGAGTCATGGCCAACAGTTAGGGCGCAAAGCTGTTCAGGATGTTAAACAGACCTCACATAGTTATTGCACTCCGCTTTCTGTCGCTGCATCCGGCGGAAAAGTAGACACGGTATCCTGGCTTCTCAGCAAAGGAGCTGACCCCAACGCAGCCTCAAGCGGGATCAGATCGTCAACGACCTCATCTCCTGGCCTCACGCCTTTATCAGCAGCCGCTCAGAGCGGGTCACCGGAAGTTGTTCAGCTGCTTGTCGATTATGGTGCCCGCTTGCAGTGGCCGGATGCCGATGGGGTAAWGGCTCTYAGAGCCTTGATGGACAGCCATTGCGCGTTCGCTTCRGCTTCGCCCGATCAGGACTTTGCCACTTGTGCACGTATCATCATTTCCTTAGGAGCAGATGCTAGTGCGCTCGACCAAGATGAGCGAAGAGCTTTGACTGGCTTGGTGCCTGATCATGATCTCGACACGAATGATAATTCATGGGAGCACGGCAACCATGCAACACAACAGTCAGGATATGATACCAATGACGAAAGCATTGAAGCTAGCCTGCATGCTGCTGCAAAGAAGGGACGTACAGAATTGGTCAGAGAGCTGATCCGACGTGGAGCTGATCTAAATACGTGCGATGAGGAGGGCCGCACGATTCTTATGCAAGCCATCGACAACGGTCATCTCAACACAGCCGAAGCGATTCTTGATGAAGCACTGGTATATGGTGGAGGTGATTTTGACATAGACGCTGGTGATTATCTCGGCGACACCGCCATATCCTTGGCCTGCGACGCAGGCAATGTTGATCTCGTGCGATTACTATTGAGCAGAGGTGCAAGTCCCAACATCGCCTTCCTGGCTACCGAGGGACCACTCTTTATTGCATGCAGATCTGGGGACGAGGAGATAGGTCGTGTCCTACTGGAATTTGGCGCTGATGTCAGCGAGAGGCTTGACGATGGCTTGCAGGATGGTAGAACTCCATTGCATGAGGCAGCCGAGTACGGGGAGGAGAAAATGGTCAAGTTACTGCTGGCGGCCGGTGCAAATTGTAACGCACTTGACAGTGATGGTCGTTCGCCACTCTCTTGTAAGTGCACAGACATGCTTTTGCGAATCATACTGACTGGTCTATCAGATGCGGTTGAGTATGGAATGAAGGACACCGTTGCTGCGCTGGTGTCTGCCGGGGCAGACCATTATGCTGCAGCAGAAGACCCTGTTACCATCAGCAGTTTCCAGCAACGCAACGCTTTGGGCTGGATTCAAGAACATGGTAACATTTCCAGCATAGCGAGTGCAGTGGCATTTGGTGAGCTCGAAATCCTCCAGCTGTTCCAGAAAGCTGGCTGCGATCTTCAGCACTATGCCCTTGGCATGCCCATGCTTCACCTGGCCATCATCTGCGGCAAATTCGAAATCGCTCGATATTTGATCAACCAGGGAGCTGATGTGCATACCCGAGGAGATCAAGGACTAAATGCCTATGATCTAATCAAAACTTCGAGTGAGAAAGACGCTGAACCCATCAAAGACCTTCTACTGGCGGAGATGGCAAAACGTCCGCAGCATGGCAATGGGGTCCCAGTCTATCACTCCCAGCACGACAGACAACAAGCTTGGTCAGGCGGGGGAGAAGCTGAGCCTGCTTTATTCCCAGAGAGACATGTGCTTGGCAAGGTCGTCGTACTCCAACCGTTCTCGCCCTGGAGCACCGAACAACTCGAACTCCAGACCGGCGACCACGTCTCTTTGACAGAAGAGCTCGCAAACGATTGGTGGAGAGGAATTTCCAATCGAACTGGCCTTGAGGGTATATTCCCAGAATCTCACGTCGACTATCTCGAAGCCGTCAGCGCACCTAATCCTGGGTCTAGATCACAAATACCACAACATGCGTACAGCGCTCCTTCGCCTAGCATAACCTACTACGAGGTTTCAAGCCCGAGGACCCCCATTGCACGGGCGATTGTGGTGTGCCCTTATATCAAGACATACCCATCGACTCTGGAGCTTTTCACAAATGATGCCATTGATATTGTTGAGTATGTCGATCACATCTGGTGGAAAGGTCGCTCAAGCAGATCGAATGAAGAGGGTATGTTTCCTTGTAGTCATGTGCAACTTGTTGATGCTGCAAATGTGAGCCAAGCAGCTGCTGCTTGTGAACATCATCGCTGGTGACACGCGTTTGGTATCAACTTGTGCTACCGTACGTTTGAGTCATCATCTGCTCGATCATGCCATGGTATTACTCAGATATTCCGTAGACTGTACAGACCGCGTCAATCTGCTCTCCTTTTCTCGCTCCATTACGTCACGGCAAGCTCTCCCGCTTTGGCCAACGCCATGTTGACCAGCTGCGTAAGATAAAAATCCGACATCCATCCATCGCTACTGACCTCCTCCTTGAGATTCTTAAGCCTTTCAACCACTTTCTCATGTTTTGATATCAGATCATGAAGTTCTTCTTGTCGAGCCTGAATGGAAGGTTCATCGCCTCTCTCCTGTATTGAAAGCTCTTCGATTTCCAGCACGGCCATGTGGTCCTTGTACAGTTTCAACGCCTTGATCAATCGTTCTTTCAAGACCTCGCGAGACTGCGACTTTACGGGCATGGCGAGTCAAGATTCTGTACAGTCTGATGGCCGACGTTTGATGTCTAAGGAGGCTTTGGGCGGTGATGATGTCCAGCGTTGAAAAGTATGTAGAGACTATATCCCATATAGGTCTGCTGTCGCACAATCAGACGAAGCAAACATCTACGGTAGTAATGGACAGAATCTACCGGACATTCTGAGAACTGACTTGTAACAAGACTACAGGGCGCGAGAAAGAGCTAAGAGAGATCCATCAGCACAGCTGTCAATCTGACATCTTCTCAACAAGATGATCCCTTCAAGAATGGCTCTTGGTAGCCGGCGAGTGACTCTACTAATGGGTGGTCTCCACTACCCTCAATAACGGATGCAGTATCAAGAGAATGGTCTTCATATCGACGAGATAGTACACCGAGACTGTCAATATCAAGAATTTACCTTGGAGATGACATGCTGAAGCGGGTGCTGCTACTGAGTAGATAGTCCACTTCATAATCTTCTCCCGTCCACTTTCCACATTCATCTTCGGCTTTTCTGAACCCGACTCCTCAATCCCATTCTACGATTCAGCTTTCTAGACACCTAGTTAGGAGTCCCCTCTGTCGGATGCAACCTCCCCTTTGGACTTCTCATACTCTGTCACAAAATGCCTGACCTCGGCCAGACCCGCCTCCTCCTCTGGCTGTTCCTGCAATAATTTTTCAATCTTCGCACACATCCGGTCGACGAGGTCGATCGCCTCATTTTTAGCGGCGATCTGAGCATTGTATTCTTCCCGCTTCGCCGCCAATGTAACAAGTTCGGCTTTCTTGCTCTCGACTCCTTCAGCATGAAGTCTCACCTGCCGGTCGTACTCGGCCACGTATTCCTTTTTCGCGGTGTACTCATCCAGCAAGGCCGCTTTCTTCTTCTCCTCAATCCGCACGACGGCTTGCTCCAGCTCGTTCAGCTTCTCATTTCGATGGATGGGAGCTTTGACGGGAGCTTTGACAGGAGTCTCGACGGCTYTCCACTGTWGGCGATTTGTTAAATGCGCCCTGTGTACACTATCTGGGACAACATGCCTTGCTCGCCCTTTTCGGAGCGGCTGGGGGTGCCATTTTAGTGGTAATGGTAGAGTTCAAGCACGATGTTTGTGTAGCTGGCTGAGTCGTAGGTGCCAAAGACGGGTATGCCGGCTCCAAAATTGATGTTGACGCTTGAGTCAAGCAGAGGATGCTTCGTCGATGATCTGCTGCTGTTGAGGTTCTGATGATGATGCTCAGTGGACGGAACACTTTCAATGTCAATGTTTGCTACAACTTTGGACCAGGCTCTTCTGGTCGTACCCAAGGGGTGAAGCCGCTCGATTTCTCGCATGTGCTTTCACCATTCATGTATGCATCTTGTTTGCATTGACGCTATGCTGACATCAAGATCACATGTTGATAATGAATGCTGCGGCATCACTACGAATTGTCGTGACTATCATGAGACATTTCTTGGCAACGGACGACTAGACTGAAGGTCGGCGCCCTATCGAACGAATTTCAGGACATTGTGGCCTGAGCTAGACAAGAAGGTGGGAAGGGTGGTCGCAATTGAAGGCAGATTGGAGTCTCCGCAGGACCTGAAACTCACAGATGACTAGATCTGCTGGTTCACGGCAGAGGAGTCGGCAGGCTTCATCTTCACCTTCCCTGGAACGCTTCTCCAGTGCTAACTTCCCATCTCTTTGGAGTTCGCCAGTGCACCGCTTCTACAAGTCCCTCCCTCATCTGCCTAATCGACATTGATTACTCAGGCTGTATCAACCCGCTTTTACCAATCTCTGGGCCTCCTCCACCTTCACGGTATTCCTCCGGCTGCTGGCGCCCGCGCCTTCCGAAATTCCAGAGGGATCCGATCTTACGTCGCTCCAGCGCTGGAGATGCGAAGCCATGCGGAGGAGATCTCGCCGCCTACCAGATTTCTTCGCTTTCTGACATGCTACTCCGCCAAAAAGAGGATCCTTGGCAGTGTCGGAGAAGGTCCGCGTCGAGGAAACGAGCATCTGATAGACATCGGAGAGTATTGCGAACCTTCTCTTCGGGAGGACGTCGCATGCGCAACATTCGGTGCCATTGTCCGAAAGATTGTGAGATCTCACGCTGTCACTAACAACCAAGGCCGTACATTTGGTTTCTGRCATCATTAGCATTACGATAAGTATTGAATAAGTTTCTTGCATCTATCCGACTCCCCATCCTATCTTCATTCCCTCAAAGGCTCCGCACTTTCTCTCCTCCCCTCCTCCGCCAAGTTTTCCCTGACCTTGTCCATATCCGCATGCTTTGCCGGATCAAAGACATAGATCGGGAACTCCAATCCAACAGTCCTCTTCACAATCGTCGGCAAACTCCTCCACAGCGCTGGGGGCATCGGAATGAGAATACTCGTCTCATGCAAGTACTTCTCATACGCATGCCAGCCGGTGCCCTTCTCGTAACGCTTCTTTGCACCAGGTCGTTCCTGGAGAGTAAGACCAGAGACGAACATCAACAGCGTGGTCAAGAAGATGAAGCCGACGCACGAGGCGAAAAGAGCGGCGTATGCTCCCGATCCAGAGGGCACGGTCTTGTAGCTTGCTGGTGTAACCGCCATGATGTAGATTGCTGGGAAACATCAGCAATGACTCGCCGAGAATGGTGGGAAGATTAAACTTACAAACTTGCACCATGATTTCACCAAAGTAATTGGGATGCCGACTCCACTTGAAGAATCCAACATCACATACCGCACCCGGCTGCTTTCCAGGACCCTGCTTGAAGCGATACTTTTGGACGTCACTCACAGCCTCCATCAAAAACGCAATCACAAAGATGATGATTGAAATGATATCGGTGGCCTTCCCAAAGTCTGGTTGACGGTACTGCAACACATTGGGCGAGTTCAAAAAAGTCACCGGCAGACTGACAGTCCAGCACCACAACATCTGGAAAACCCAGAACCCAAGGAAGGGGAAGAATTTATCACGCTTGTCGTCAAAGCGGTCATCGGAACCGGTCTTCAAGATCCGGAAGAGGAGGAAAGCCGAGAGACGTGCACCCCAGAGCATGATCATGATGCTGATGATGATGTTGCGCGCGTKAGTAGCACCGGACAAGGCGAGGGTCAATATCGCCAGCCAAACGAAGTTCGTGCCGCCTGGAAAGACGGACAGATTAGATGTGTGGGTGTTAACAGGACAGGGACGACAAAATCTCACCCATGAAATCAGTCAGTTTATCGAACTTCATAGTAAAAGCTATGGCAAATCCCACAAGCTGGTATCCAACGGTGAAGAGGAGCGTAATGGCCAGGTAGTAGTCGTCCAGAACGCGGACGGGATTGTACAGCGCCATCGCGGTCGTCGTTGTTTACACGCGTGAGGCGTGTTCCGTGCTGTGTAGTCCGGAAGGTATGGATAGAGGTTGCCAGAAGTCTTGCTGGATGGGATGATGGGAATGGTGGTAGTAGTCCTCCGCGTTGACCCTCCTCACATCTTCAGTGATGGCATGCATGATGATTACATGCAATGCTCCGGAGATTTCTATTGTCCCGTTGTTGCGTGACGTCGTTGATCTCTGGAAAGGCACGCGAGTCTCGATGTAGCTTAGCGCGGCACGTACTGCGCCTTGCTCGCGTTTCCCGTCCGATCCATCCTCCAGCGCATCAATCACCACCTCATCCCACGCCGCATCACTTCGCACTCGCACTCGCACTCGCACTCATCGCTCCATCCGTGGCAATTCCCGTCTCAGTCTTTGCCTCACTCTTACAGTAGCCGTCAACGATGCCAAGTGCTGCCGGTAAGAAGCGCCGCAACAAGGCCAAAGCGCAGCACAAGCAGAATGTCAAGCGAGCCACAAAGAAAGAGTCCCAATACGTCAAGACGCTACCAAAAGTATCAGAGGTAATCCAAGCCGCGAAAGGTCAGATTGTAGAGAATTTGAGGTAAGTACTGACTGCGCGCAAGAACGATCTCTTGGCTTTTCAATTTGCGCATTTCGGCGATGATTCCCGGCCACAGAAGTGGTTCGTAACACCTGAATCCGCCATCAACTTCGAGCCGGAATACGAGGATTCTTTGGGCTACTACGACGACGGTGTCAAGCGGACTCTCACCGACGAGCAAATTGAAGTCTTTCGCATGTCGGAGCTGTGGAATCTGGAGCGCGAGCAAAGGCGGTTGGCAGAGGAATTGGGGGAGGGTCCTGCAGAATCTCCTCCGGGCACGCGAGGAACCCCATACGACGCCCCATCACCTGTCTCGGAAGTCTCCAGCTTGGAGGATGAGCTGATCTCGGATGCCGTTCGGGACAAGATGCAACACCTTCAACCGCGGCCACCACCTCAAATCCAACCACAACCGACCCCAACACAACACACTCAACCAAAAGCATTCCGGAATCCCCAACGTGACCCTTCGCAGAGTAGTCGGATTGACACCGCCACATCCAACAACAGCAGTAAGCGACGCCGATCCAACGAGATTCCGTATGACGACAGACGCAAACGAAACTGGGAGTCTTATATTGAGGAGAATGATCCCGTTCAAGGCTCACTGACGCATCGACGGATGGCTCGGGAGCTGGACGAACTGAAGAATGAGACTTTTGAGCTGGACTACTGATTTCGAGATGCCGCGCATTCGGAGCGTTGCAGATGCAGAATATCAACACCCGTCCACGCCTCTTCGGACATCTTGCAGGTCTTTTCCACCGAACTGGTAAGACTGTGTCCCATCGATCAGGGCAAAGGCGGCACGAAGTATACCAGGGACGAAGTTTGGCATCCACATGTCATCAAGCAGATGTTATCTGCAGACCGAAACCGATCGCGTTCCAGCAACATATCGTTTTGAGATCGCTTCCGCGACCTGCAGATTTCACGACCAGGTCAGTAGCGAACAGTCAGCAGCACGATGGAGTGCTGAGAGACATCGTCTAGTAAGCATCTCTCCTTCATGAAATCCATTCCCTCTGCAAATGATGAGAAAATCCGTCATCCTTAGACGTAAAGCTATTCAAGATGACTGCACTCGGGTCTGGCTTTTTGGCACTTACCCAGGCGGCATTTGCTCTGGCTGCTGTCGACAGACTAATCTTCTCTCTGATCACGCACAGAAATCCTATCGTCGTCCCTCAAAAGCTCTTCTCAGGAGCCACATGCTGATGAGTATTGCAGGTTACCCAGAGAACCTGATGGAAGTTGGGCATTCTGTTCAGCAGATATTGGTCGATCTTTGAGACGAGCGCCAATATTCTCTCTGATGAAGACCGTCAAGCATCGCACTCACCGCTGCACGCACGTATGCAGATCCGCGCCCGTAGCGAGCACGTTGGGAAAGCTTGATAGAGCTCGGGATCCCTGCCAAGCTTTCCCCCAAAGGCAGTCAAATACAACCCCCGCGATGCCTCCCTGCATGTTCCAATGCTTTTTGGCGTGATTGGACAGACATGAAATAGAAACACGCAGGGTCTCCCTGTTGCAGCGAGCGGCGATCCCAGCACATGAACTCGGAATTTACGTGAAAGTGACAGTCCGCCGACATGGTGCAGCACGCGAAGGCTCTGCCGATTTCCTATGTAACTATCTGCTTATATTGCGGCTGTCTACCCTCGTCTATTTCGTTTAGTTCACTTTGCACACTTCGCTCCCCCCAGCGATGAAGTACTCGCCAAGCACTGCTGCCTTTCTTGGGGCGCTTCTCGCGGCGTCCACTGTTGACACTGCACCTGCACCAGCGACTGGTGTTGAAGCACGCGATGTTGACACCAGATTCCCATACGCCGGCCCTGTAGTGGCAGTAGGCGATTTTGTGGACAACACGATTAATGGCAATGGGAAAGGATTCTCCCGCCTTGTTGAACTCCCGGCGGTGAAGCCCGCAAATTCGAAGGCAAATAACAACATCAATGTCATATCTACTTCGTATGTCGTGAGTAACTTCTATGCATCCTGAAAGCTGCCTCGACTGACAAACGCAACACAGCCGCGTGGGATGAACGTTCACTTCCAGACACCCTTCGGTCTCGGCACAGCTCCTACAGTTCACTGGGGCCTTTCACCAAAAAATCTCTGCAACACCACAAGAGGTCAGACGCAGACGTAAGCAGTATATTGAACCTCATGCTTTGTCACGGCTAACACCAGCCAGCTACGACCGAACTCCACCATGCTCTGAGATCGCAGTCATCACTCAGTGCTCCCAATACTTTCACGATGTTCAACTTACCAACCTCAAGTCCTTCACCAAGTATTACTACAAGATTGAAGCGGCCAATGGAACTACTGCTTCTCAGATCCTAGAGTTCACGACAGCTCGTGCCGCCGGTGACGATGGGCCTTTCAATGTCGCTGTCTTGAATGACATGGGATATACCAATGCACAGGGCACACATGCACAACTCATCGCCGCGGCAGACAAAGATGTGGCCTTCGCGTGGCACGGCGGCGACATCAGCTACGCCGATAACTGGTACACTGGTTTTCTTCCGTGCGAGGRAGATCATGGATGCTACAACGGCACATCTTCTCGTTTCCCGCCTGGCGACTTACCCGCAGACTACTTCAAGCCTCTACCGAAGGGTGAGGTCGCCAACCGAGGCAGTCCTCGTGGTGGAGATATCAGCGTCATCTACGAAAGCAACTGGGATTTATGGCAACAGTGGATGAGTAAGGTCACACTCAAGATGCCATACATGACCCTGCCCGGGAACCACGAGGCTGCCTGCGCTGAATTTGACGGTCCTGGAAATATTCTGACCGCCTATCTGAATGAAGACAAGGCCAACTCTACTGCGCCCGACAAGACTCTTACATACTACACATGCCCTCCGTCCCAGAGGAATTTCACAGCCTACCAGCATCGTTTTCGAATGCCTGGCGCAGAGAGCGGCGGTGTTGGAAACATGTGGTACTCCTTCGACTACGGCATGGTGCATTTCATTTCCCTCGATGGCGAGACAGACTTTGCCTATTCTCCCGAAAAGCCCTTCCTCCGCGATTTGAAAGGCGACGAGACTCTTCCAATCAAGAATGAAACCTACATTACTGACAGCGGTCCCTTTGGCTACATCAAGAACAACGATTGGAAGAACAACCAAGCTTACGAGCAAATTCAATGGCTTTCCAAAGATCTGGCGTCGGTGAACCGTCAAAGGACGCCGTGGATCATCGCAATGAGCCATCGTCCAATGTACTCTTCTGAAGTCGTTGCCTACCAGAAGGACATTCGAGCGGCTTTTGAACCACTCCTTCTTCAGCACGGTGTAGATGCATACCTCTCAGGTCACATCCACTGGTATGAGAGAATGTACCCTCTAGGAAATGGCACGATCAACAAGGCGGCGATAGTCAACAACAACACGTACTTGACCGCTCCTGGAAAGTCGATTGCTCATATCGTCAATGGAATGGCAGGGAACATTGAGTCGCACGACACGTTGGAGGAGAGTAAAATGCTGGACATCACTGCTGTGTTGGATCAAATGCATTATGGCTTCAGCAAATTGAAGGTCGAGAGTGCGGAGAAGATTACCTTTGAATTCATTCGTGGGGATGGCGAGGGTGTGGGAGATCATTTGACTCTTGTCAAAGTGGGCAGTGCTACTGCGAGGCAGTATGGTGTATAGGATCAAGTTCTGGGCTGTCAATCATCGTTCGCTTGACGATCTTTCTCAGGCAAAGGGATCGCGATATTGCCGCATCCTCAACATGTGTTGCCGCTGATAGTGCCTGGCTCGCATACGCGTGAGGCGTGGACTGTGGCTGGCTTGCAGTACCGTGACAAGGACTACAAGGTATTCATGCATGAAGACATCCGGATGAACACCTTCTGAACAGGCTATAGAATGCCTGTTAGCTCGCCCAATCCAGCCTAGCTCATTGTGGGTGAAGCGCGTGGAACATGCTTCGTACCTCGGCCTCGGCAGCTCCGCTCTTACAGCGTACCGCATACAACCATCTCATCTCGCCGAAGACATGTAGTTCTTTCATTACACAGCCGTGAAGATGGCCGGTCCAATACGACAACCCATTGACTTGGATAGTCTCTCCAAATACATTGACAAGCACGTCCCCGACATCAAAACCCCTCTCGATGTCAAACAATTCGGCTATGGCCAGTCCAACCCAACATACCTCCTCACAGACTCGATCGGCAAGAAATATGTTATGCGAAAGAAGCCTCCGGGGAAGCTCCTCTCTAAGACTGCCCACCAGGTCGACCGAGAGTACCGCATTATAGACGCCATGCAATCGACCGATGTCCCAGTCCCGAAAGCCATGTGTCTGTGTGAAGATGATTCCATTGTTGGAACATCCTTCTACATCATGTCTTATCTGGACGGACGCATCTTTTCCGACCCCGCCATGCCGGATGTCAGCCCTGCGGACCGTACGGCAATGTGGAAGAGCGCGGTGGAAACACTGGCAAAGTACCACAGGACACCACCGAAGAGTGTAAACATGGAGAGCTTTGGAAGGCCGAACAACTTTTACAACCGCCAATTGAAGACTTTTGCGACGTTGAGTTTGGCACAGGCTGAGACGAAGGACATTGAGACTGGTGAGCCAGTGGGCAAGATCCCTTTCTACGACGACATGGTCAAGTTCTTTGGACAGAAAGAGACGCAGCCGCAAGATCGCGGTACATTCGTGCATGGAGACTACAAGATCGACAATGTGGTCTTCCACAAGACAGAACCATATGTGATTGGAGTTTTGGACTGGGAAATGGCCACAATCGGACATCCCTTGAGCGATGTGGTCAATCTCACAGCGCCATACGCACATGCAGCCGCGGCAGAGAACCAGCCTGGAGATGCAAAAGCCATGGCCGCTTACAGAGGAAGTGATGCTTTCTTGAAGGGAAGAACTCCTGGGCTACCCACCAGGGACCAGATTTTGGAGTGGTATCATGCGGTCGTGCCGTGGAAGTATGAGCCAAAGGAACTCACTTGGGGAGATGCTTTTGGTCTGTATCGCGGAGCGATCATTTGTCAAGGGATCGCGGCGAGATATGCGGTGAGACAAGCGAGTAGTGAGAAGGCGAAGGATTATGGTATTATGATGGGACCGTACGGGGAGGAGGCGTGGGAGAGTGTGAAGAGATATCGGCAACAGGTGGAGGAGGAGAAGAGTGGGAAGTCGAAGTTGTAGTGGTACACTGGCAACACGCCACCTATTTCAATCTCACGACAGCTACGCCAGTCTTTCCAACCGCGGGTTTGCACTTCGGGTGTCAATTCACCCACTCAGGGCCTATTTATCTGGTTCGGCAACGCCTCGTATCTTGACGCGGTGGTAGCTGCTGGCTCTGTGCACCGAGCCCCAGTGCGTTCCCGGTCGAGGAGAACCCTTCCCAGATTTTCCGTAGCTTTACTTTCTTCGTCAGATAGAAAATTCAAATTGTCAGTAATTGTGTCAAAGAAGGCTCTGGCTTTGTTTTTCTGGCCGCAGACCAGATCGAGACCAAGCAAACGGGGTCTGCCTCATGACGATGATGATGCCAAGGGTCAGGGTAGCGGCTCGGAGACCCCTGGACTCTCTCTGCTGGCAAGATGGTTTCCTTGCAACGCCTGCTTCCCGCATTCACTCAAACGCCAGATTCGAACAGTCGGATCTGTTGTTTATCCGTGAGGCTATGAGCGAGAAGCTCCGACCACGGGAGCACTCGACGGCCTCACCATGGTCCTGTTCCGTGRGATGGATCTCAATCAGCATCGCTTCTGCCGTGGAGATGAAAAGGTCTTTTGCCTGACTGAGCCTCTTAGAGAAGTCGATGAGCTTTGGTAGCAGCTTGAACATTCCCAGTCGGTGAATCCCGCACCAAATCAGGGCTATGGCTACATTCATGGCAAGGGGATAGCACGCCAACATCTTCACAGTCTTCTGTGTTGCTTCACCGAACTACTTCTATGTATGGATCGATCTAGCATGGCTGGGTGGTAGAGCAGTCGAACAGCAGATGGCATTTCAAGACCTTCAATATGCTCTGAACCGGCATTTCCATATGTCGCCAATGTCAGCCTCGTCGTCAAGATGATAGCTCCACGCTGCAAGCCATGGCCAAACTCTGCAAAATTGATTGCCAGATCGTCCCAGGTATTAGAGCCAGAAGAACGCTCTCAGCACGATGAGCGAGCAAGTCTGGCAGACCGGGAATCAGGTTGTCCTCCTGTACGAAAGTAAAGCCGTAACATAGACTGTATCATCGCACGGCCCGAATGACAAAGAGCAGGTGAAATTGAAGCTTGGCAGCTCTCCTCGTGCTTTAACGACACCACGCTCRCGAGTCGGTAGCTTTGACCGCCGAAAAGAGTGTCATTGTAGAGAGCCGAAGATCTTGTTAAAGGGTGTCTTTTCGGTCGTGTTGTCGTTGTGAAAAGGAAAGCGTCCTCAGGTCAGGCTGGAACAAATCACATGGGATCATGCCAAGCCCGAAATATACCTGAGATATGCCCCTTTTTGCGAGAAGATTAGGGTTAGGGTTTGTGTAGGACTTCTTCCAGGAAATACTGGTTTACTTGAGAATGCTATGCCTTCTACGGTGGAAAAATTCCTAATACGATTGTCCCATAAGATATGAAGCTCTCCACAAAGCCTGCGTCTTTCTTCGCTTGTGGCTATCTGTTCGCTAGCTTCGTCCCGACACGACACCGCTGCTAGTGCGAGAAGGGAGAGTCTCAAAGTTCACGTTCCTTGGTTCCTCTTCCCATTCCCATTCCCATTATCCAGGACCGATTTGTCTTGACTGTGGCAGTAAAGTCGCTGCGGAAGAAAGACGAGCAACATTGACAGAATCTATGCATTCAAACTGGCCGGTTCAAATGAAAAGCTTGTCCGACCGCAATCTGTCCATGTACAGCATCGTATCCTGCAAGCCGTGGGTGAATCTCCAAGTATCTCGGCGCACTTCCAACCATTCTCTATCGCCATCAATACATCGGCTTTGCACACATTTCCATGCTTCTTCGGCAATCCACACTCACTTCCCAATATTCTCCCCAAGAAAAGCACCAGCCGCACTCTTTCCCAGCTGCATCTCCACTTCCTTCGCTCCCTTCAGCAGCCTCATGGTCCGAAGTTGTGCCTCGACTCGGGCCATCTCCAACTTCTCTTCCTCCACTTCGCCGTCATTCTCTTCCCGCCGAGCAATCTCCACCGTGAGCTTTTCATGGTACTCTTCATGTGCGGCGATCTGGATGGCGAGCTTCGAGATCCCGATGCGCATGTCTTCGTGAATCCGTGGGTCGGTCATATTGAACGGCCTGTGATTGGTGACTATCAGCGAGGGGTCTATTGTGCTGTTGACATTGCTGCCGGGGAAAACCTGCCGTTTAGTCTTGAAGTGTGGTGCTCTTGTTGTGTGAGAAAGACAGTCATTGGTGTTGCGGTCTTCTCTGACAGGTCGGCTTTTGTTGTGACTCGGTGCCTGAATTATTTGTTGTTTGCCTGCACACATTCTGACGTGCTGCGTCCATCGTGGAAGATTGAGCTCAGTGTTTTCCATCGGTCTTCAGCCATGGCAAAGCTCCTTGATTGGATTGCTCATGTGAAATTGGAGCACTCAATGTCACCCGCTCTTCTAATGCTCTACTTTATGACGGACACTCTGACGAGACTCCTTGTCGCGGGCTCGGCGCATCCCCACTGGCCACACTACGGAAAAGAGGCGCCCAACAGAGAAATGCACGAGAGGCTGGAGGCACAAGACGATAGATGACCAAAACGATGAAGCTCATGATCGAACGGGAGAGATCTGAGTTGAACGCACTTTTCAGCCGAAGAAATGCTTCGGCCTTATCGCAAGAGAATGCATAATACTTGCTGCATTCAGGCAGTCCTGGACTGCTTGCTTTGCTCTTCCCAAATGATGAGCCTGATTATGAGCTCGCTTTAGGGGAATCAGGCAAGATCTTTGTTTAGTGATCATCGCTCGCAGAAGCACGCTGATGGGTCACGTACGCTTCCTGGCCTGTCGATCCCCAATAAGTCACAGTGATCGTTGTAGTGGACGAAGTAAACTGCCACATCTTCTCGTCTAGCATGCTGGTCGTGATCAGATTTCCGAGTTCTTCGACATGCTCAGAATTTGTTCCTTCACCCCAGGTCGTACGGAACGACTGTGGCTCCCATCTGCCACTATTGCGAATGACGAAGGTGACCTCCGGATCACGCTGATCGTAGACTCCCTCGTAGTATCCCTGACTGAAATTACAGACCTGCACCGGTCGTCAGTGGCAGTAACAACAGAAGAGAGGGAGAGGCTCCATGACTCACTGTGACAACGTTCTTCTTGCGAGTGATGCACATCTTATTGACGCAGCCCTCCGGTGCATCGTAGCGCAGCTCGAAACTCTCCTCAGTTAGGTCGAAGAAGCGACGGAACTGCTCTCTGTTCCAGTTATACAGGAACGTCGCTACGCCATCCGCGCAAGTAGGGCTGAAGTACCCTGGATCGTCGAGCTCATAGTGGTCGAGGTCGATGATGTGTGGGAAGCCTATCGGACGGTCCGCCGGCAGAGACGGGCAGTCGTCGCGGTAGTGAGCCTCGTCGTCGACGAAGTCACTCATGTTGTCGTTGATGGGGTGAAAGTGAGAGGAAACAATTGAAGGTTGGAGACTTGGCAACTTTTTTCGCCCAAGCAGTGTTTGTAGGACAAGCCGATTCTGCCCGACACAGAAGAGAGGAACGCGGCACGGTGCTTACTTAGTATGCCGCCATTCACTTCGGGGACTTCTCAAGTTATCTCYACTCACTGTCGCCTGACAGTACATCCTCACAAGCCTGGTTCATCGAATGATCTCGCCTCATCGCCCCGTCAGCTTGTCTCCTACTCCGCCACCCCCCCCGTTCCTACCGAATCACCCTGATTTTCGAAGTGGAGGGATCGCGGGTGATCCACAACTTGTAAAGTAACAGCATCTCAGTGAACGTCCGTCCAAGATCCAGAATTTGATCTCGTTCATAGCCTTCACTGCCCAACGAGTTCCACTCTGCCGGCTTCCAAGCGCCATCCTCTTGAACGATGAAAGCGACTAGAAAGTCACGTTTCGGAATACCGGGCCTCTCTTTCACGCGGTACCCAGCCTATAGAACGTCAGCCTTTGACATGGTCAATATTTGGGAGCTAATTGCGACATACCGAGACTTTCTTTCCAGCACGATGAATGACCATGTCGTTGACAACACCGTCCGGAGCACCCAGATAGATGTGGACGGTCTGCTCAGTGAGGTCGAAGAATCGGCGAAACTGTTCCTTGTCCCAGTTCCATAGGAACGTCGCCACGCCGTCCGCACATGTGAGCTTTTCAGGATCGGTTTCTATGTGCATGTAGCTGTTGATGTCGATGATGTGTGGAAAGCCATGCGGTCGGGTCGAGGGCAGGGATGGGCAGTCATCGGCGTACTGCAGCGGKTCAGGCTGGAAAGGGTCGACCCAAGTATCCATGGCGTATGTTGAAGTTTCTGCAAGGAGGGTGCAGGTTGATGGTCCGAAAGAAGAGACTAGAGGGGGTTTTGTTAGATGTGCGTGTGACACTTCGCCCAACTGAATTGTGCAGAAGTGAATCAAGAAATGAAGCTACATTGTTCCAGCTGCCGCCCATCAGCTTCACTCAAGCAATGTTTTTGCACGTGCAAGGGACATTCAACGTCCAGTGAAATGGAAAATGGCCGCCCTACCTGCAGCACCCAGAAAATGGTCGAAGAGACATTTCTTCCTTCGCAAGGCAACTTCTGCTTGTGCTTGCAACTATCTGTTCGTGGAAGTCGTCCTCATTTCACGAAATGAAGAGCCAAGAAGCTTCACATTCGCCGTTCCTCGATTGAGTGTCGTCTCACTCGGTGCAAAAGTCGGTTAGGTGATCATGAAATCATCACTGATATGCGAAAATGGACATACCATTCACTCCCCGACCCTACAAACCCTTCCAGATAACCGTATTTCCTACTTCGAATTCGTCCTCTTCCATCCTGCCGGCACTGGAGTTACCAACAAAAATTTTGTACTTCCCCTTCTCCGACACCCACGCATCTCTCCCCTCATGATAAAAACTGGTGATGTACTTTTTCGACAGCTTCACTTCAGCCTTTCTGGTCTCGCCAGCTGGAACTTGAACCTTGGCGAAACCCTTCAGCTCTTTCTTCGGACGAACAATGCTGGGCGCTACGGGCGAAACGTAGACCTGCACGACCTCTGCGCCAGCAACGCTCCCCGTGTTCGAGACATCGATTGAGACAACGACCTCATCATGATCATCAGAGGCTACAATCTTGAGGTCTTTGAGAGAAAAGGTGGTGTAGCTCAAGCCATGCCCAAAGGGGAAAAGAGGCTCCTTCCCAATCTTTTCATAGAAACGATAGCCAATGTAGACATCCTCTCCGTAGATAACTCTGTTGTCGTCACTGGTGTAGTTGAGGAACGCAGGATTATCTTCATTCCATTTTGGGAAGCTCAAGCTCAGCTTTCCAGAAGGGTTGACATCTCCGAAGATGACATCTGCGATCGCATTACCAGTTTCATTCCCACCATRCCAAGATTGCAAGATCGCCGGCGCCTGATCAACCCAGGGCATGGTGACAGGCGTTCCAGACTGATTGACAACCACAGTATTCGGGTTCGCAGCAAGAACAGCTGAGATCAACTCATCAGAGCCTGGTGGGAGATCCATGTGACTCCTGTCGTACCCTTCGGACTCCCAGTCTCCGTTAAGTCCAATCACAAGTACAACTTGGTCGACCTGCTTTGCAACATCAACTGCTTTCTTCAATTCAGACTCGTAGTCGGTTTTTCGGTAGCAACCAATTCTCAAGCCACCAGCTCCGAAAGAAGTTACGCCATCCCGTTTGAAGGTAATGGTTGGTAGGGTACCGAATTCGACGTGAACGACATATGTCTTGCCAGCCTCGAGCTGGATCGACCCGACTTCCTCCCTCGTCCCACTCCCAAAGAAGGAGTCGCCTGGTGTTTGTTTCGTCATGTTGTCGACAACCAGCTTGCCATCAACAAAGATCTTTGCTGTACCTGCGGCGGAGCAGCTGAATTCGTACTCGCAGCTCTCTTCTGGTGTGAACGTGGTGTCAATGTCTCCATAGAAAAGGTGACCCTTCACCTTCGGATGTTTGTAGTCGAACAGACTGACAGTCGTCTCCGTGATCGTCAACTCATCCACTGGGGTACGTTCGGCCTCCGAGGGGGGTTCCAAAAAGATCTTCATGGTCAGACCAGGCTCGCCAGAAGGTAACTTTGCTACGTTGGAGAGAAGTGGCAGACGTTTCCAGCCTGGGGCACCAAGCTCATAACGTACATCTTTCACCTTGGCTTGGACGCCTTGTAATGGAGTTACTGCGTAGTAAGGAAGAAGAGATGCAGAACCACCACCACAGTAGGCTGCAAATGCAGCGTTTGGACCGATCACGGCAGTCGACTTATCCTTCTTGAATGGCAATATGGAGCCTTCATTTTTCAATAGCACTTGGCTTCCAGCGCTGATCGATCTTAAAAGTGCTGCCGTCTCAGGAGAATCGATAGTCTTCTCCGCTGCGCGCTCCTCGATTTGCAGCGGAAGAAGTCTCTTAATAAGCTTCAACACTTCCCTGACTCGTGCGTCAAGATGATGCTTCAAGACTTTCCCACAGCTCATCGCCAGTCCTAGCTGCATGCCTCGGAGGTGCGACGGGCCAGGCATTTCCAGATCTAACCCAGCTTTGATTGCTTCCGTGGTTGAGTAGATGCCAAACCAATCTGACATGACAAGACCATCGAATCCCCATTCCTCTCGAAGAATGTGTTGAAGTAGCTTAGGATTCTCACTCGCATGAAGTCCATTTACCAGATTGTAGGAAGTCATCATCGCCATTGGCTTTGCGTCTCGCTGCGTGATCTGGAAAGGGAGAAGGTACACTTCTCGTAGTGCTCGTTCCGTCAGGATACTGTTGCTAGACATACGTTTGTCTTCCAGGTCATTGCATACGAAGTGTTTGGGTGTGGCGGCCACGCCGGTAGATTGAATACCATTCACAGAAGCGGCACATAGATTTCCGGCAAGCACAGGATCTTCAGAAAAGGACTCAAATCCTCTTCCACCTAACGGTGATCTCTGCATGTTGACAGTTGGCCCAAGTAGGACAGAGGCGCCCTTGGCAATAGCCTCCTTACCCATCAGCTCGCCACCCTTGCGGATGAGATCAACATCCCATGTCGCTCCTAGGGCAGTTCCTGGACCATGTCAGTCATGATTCATAAGCGGTTAGACGGCATATCTCACCACAAGGCAGACAGGCCGCCGGAACTCCTTTAAAGAACTTGGTTCCTCTCACGCCGTTTGGCCCATCTGAAGTTCGTATCGCGGGTATGCCCAGACGCGATACTCCAGCCAGATGCCAGAAATCAGTTCCAGATACTAGTGCAATCTTCTCTGAGACTGTGAGCCGGGAAAGGACGTCTTCCACGTCAAAGTCCTTGTGCTTCACGGCCATGATTGTGGGGTGGTAAGTAGAAAGAAGGGGAAAGGGTGGTCAAAGAGTTGACGAGGACAGTGATACCTACACTATCAAGGCAGTTCAGGCTAAGGTGAAGGTGTGCAGTCCATATAAAGGCGGCAGGCTAAACCAATCTTATGCGTAGCTTGGTACGGAGGGAGCTCTCCGTGACAGCTAGATGATAGCAGGTGTGGGGATGTCATGCCATCGGAGAAGAGGCCCGAGGAGCCGGAATGGTTGAGAGGATGGGCATGCCAAGACCGCGCTAGTTCCAGCTCGTACGAAACGAGGCGCGTCTTGTTGTGAACCTTCGCAGCATCAACGACATCACTCGATGGTACATCCAGCTCTTCGATGACCCAACGGCCTACTCATCGTCGGGCGGTTAGTTTGAGAATGGGGTCAACACTCGTCGATGCCATCTGCCTGGCACGACATGCGGTCTTGCGGTATGGGACGTCGCAGGCAGATGCTCAGTGGAATGCCAATTTTCACACAATACCCTCCTTGATGACAATGATCAAACTACAGTTGGATGACCAGAGAAGCATGTTGGCTTTTTTAGGACCTTTGTGCAGTGTGCATACGCTCGGCGATGCGAAGAGTTTACACTCGCATGTCCCACACGGCTGAAACGGCGCGTACCAACGTGAGTGTAGCRTAACAAGTGAGTGTAGCGTAACAACCTCCGATGCAAAAAGGCGCTGTAAGTTGGACGGAACGCTGCCACCTCCACCAGTCGTTGAGTCCATCTTGCCTCGCTCGCTAAAGAGTTAAAAATAGTGATGTTGGACGCCACATCTTCGTTGCAGGCGCAGCCTTACAACGCAAATCTGATGTTACAAGACGTGGTTTATTTCTCTCGAGAGGAAAAGTATGGCAGGTCATAGATACGAAGGAATTATCGCTGGAGGATATGCTCGAGTTCAGAACGGTGATATCCATGGAGACCAAATCAATAACGGCAAGTGGCCATCATGCACACACTCCCGGCAGTGCTCACACTAAAACAGACATACAATATAACACCTACTACCTGCACACGCGACGCTCATTAGAGATTGGGAAGGACGAGCGCATCGGTGCGACAGCTTGCATTGCAGGCCTGCGGAGAATTGCCGAGACTCTAGAGGGGTGCCTCTCAGAATACCTACTAGTCCACCATGAGATCCTTGAACTTGCGACGATGCTACACCAAGGTGCTCAATCTAGTGTCGCGTTTCTTGGGGAGCTGCACCGACAGCTTACCAACAACACATTCTCGGTGGATCGCGCCGCGTTAATCTCTGTTAGCTCTTTGGTCACATCCTTCACGAATGCAGTTCTCCTATTCGATGAGTTGCATCATGCAATCGTTCCTATATTCAAACTCCAAGAGAATCGGCCAGGACCCTCAGACGTAAAAGTTGAAGATGTCACCCATCTTACCAACCTTCTCGGGAGACTTACCTGGCAGAATACCTGCTGGAATATGCAACTGGACATTCTCACCCAGTGTGTCATGAATGCGTTGATATGAGCACCTATAAGCTGACATCTCAAGCAGGACTCGTACCACAAATGTACAGCAATCGTCGGTGAAACTGACCAACCACATTGCTGCACGGCTGTCCTCTGACGGTGACTTGGAAGCTAGACTTGACTCTGTGGAGCAACACCTCCGTGAGCTGTCTGAGCGCCTCAAAAACGACCCTGGCCCCGAATATTCTCTCACCTCCCTCTACGATGCACAACCCAGCCGCGACATGGGAGAGGGATATCTCCCGCTATCAGAGCATCGCTTGAGTTTGCATGATTCTGATTTCGAAGAAGTTCTGAACCAGGCATGGGTATATCAGCGTAATCAACATCGCTCGGAGCTCATGTCCTTCAGATCTTCATTCTCGAGACATAGTGCATGGTCGGAGCTGTCAAAACTCTCTCTGAGCGCAATCTCGATTTTGTCGGTCATTGCTCTACCTATAGGGCTGTCTGAGTTGCGGTACTCTGATGCATATCGGAACGAGAGTGCCAATAAATATGCCACCGAGCGCAGCACCCTGTCAACACTTGCGGGGCCTGCAAACGCGGATTCGATGCCACATTACGCAGACTTCATGGCCATGCCTGAGCTACATCCCGTAGATCCGCTCCCCCCTTCCAGATTGCTACGTGAAGCAGGTCTGACGCTGGATGCCATATGTCTCATGGTGGAGGTTTCTTATCCTGCTACGAGAAACGCGCAAAGAGAAAGCGATGCGAACACTTTCAACCACAGGCAGAACATGCTACTAGTTGGTCTGCGGTCAAGCAGCCGTCTACTGAGCTCGCACTCGGTTGGCGAATCAACTGGAGTCTTCGGAGCGCTGTTAATGCACAGCTCAATACAGTATTGCGAGGATCTCGCTACCACGCTATGCGACTCATGGTGGCATCGTTATGAGGCCGTTCAACACCGAGGAGTGAGTCCTCTCATGATCATCGAGAGTCTCCAGCACATACTGGACTTGCTACAACATCTACACGATCGTAAATGGCCGGTGATCGACGAGCATGGTCCATTGAATCCTACTACTCCCGAGGTCATTCCCATCATCACCACATTACGCGCACTTCGTGTTGAGATCATACTGAGCCAAGAGATAGTTGATCTTAGTGTGAAGCAGCTGAGAGAACTTCGCCCACAATGGATTGACCGTATGAGGCAAATCGGCGCAATCTCTACAATTATCCTGCGTGGCAACCGGCTCAGGGATCTACCAATGAGTACATGCCATCTGGGAGGTCTGCGAATCATTAATCTCGAATCGAATCAGATAAGCAGGTTTCCCACCGCTTTGTTGTCAATGCCTGGATTGAGCACACTCCGCTTGGACAATAACCAGATAAGATTCATTCCAGCCATCGACTCGATGGTCTCTCTAGAATGTCTATCGATCTCGCAGAATCAAGTGATGGAACTGCCCGTCGCGTTAGCCTCCATGAACAGACTTGTCATGATGAAGCTGGACGGGAACCCATTCACACTCGATCTGAGGATTCGAAAATTATTGAAAGAGTTTCCATACGGTACCGTGATGCGCAGCATGAAGGTCTGCCGCGCCGTGAAATCTCACTTGAACGGAAGCATACAGGTGTCCAGTAGCTCTGCTGATATGCAACACCGTCTGCCAAGTGAAACGGCAACAGAAAAAGACGAGAACACCGGAGAGTCAGGCTTGGTTGGGACGATTGAAGTTGCCTACATTCCAGGGGTGGTGAGTTGTAACCATGCCAATTACAAGGCTTAGTCCACTTCAAAGCCATCTTTGGTGGACATCCTCTTGTGACTCGCGACCGCTTGCAGATCGGTCGAAACAAACAGTTCTTATCGGCCGGAAGTATTGCGATGCTCTCATTTTCCTCTCAAGCATGGTCCCTCAAACTTGTTCGGCATCTATCACTCTTCCATGACCTTAATCTCGAGTTCAGCTCTGAGATGAATGATTGTGCTGGTGAATTGACTGGCGACGGCTCTGGCATGGAGAATTTGAACCTCACACACTCTGCTCGACCAAGCCTTCTTCTTCCAAGCAAACTCAAGATAAGGTCAGGATTCGGGTTCTATCTAGTCGACCGCTGACTACAGAGCGTCATCATGAGCTTTCTYCGACAAGATCTGCCTTTCGACATGATCTCTCAGCAGTCTGGCGAATGCCTTTACTAACGGAGAGATTCCTACTACCTCCAGTCGTAGAAGCTGCATCGGGGACGAGTCTTCCAGTTCGTGAAAAGGATCTTTTAAGACTCTGGATCTGTCGAAGAATGCTCGTGTTGACAGTTCTGGTAAGTCGTCGCAGTACCATACTCTTACAAAAAGCAGAAGAAGAATAGCAGTAGGCTAGTGTCAACGCAGCTGTTGAACGTGCCTGTATTGAAGATCAGAAGTCTTGCCGATAAAGTTGTTGGTTCTTGCCGGACGACCACTCCTGCCTTCTTACCGCACAGTGGCTCCTCCCTCTTCAGCCCACCCGACCTTTGGACTTCAACTTCGTCGTTGAATGTACCTCACAAGTCCACAACACAACCAGCATCGCACTTGATATTGCTTCTCTGAGTCTCGCTACGGCCCACCGAAGAGAACATTGATTCAAGAATCGCAACGCCTTTATATCATCCAAACTCCCGACACCAGCAAAAAAGACTTCCAGAGTTCATCCCCCGATCCAAGATGTCGCAACCAACAGCAACAGCAATGGTAGCTATCCGCGTCGACCACCAGCATCCTGCTCCCTTGCCGCAAATCGCTCAGATCAGACGCACCACCACACTCATCTGCACCGCAATCGCCGTAATATTCGCCATCGCGATCAACACCATCGCAACCGTCCTACTCCATTCGAACCTCACCAGAAGCGGCGGATACTTAACGACCTACAGCAACCGTCTTGTCTTGCGGATGGTACTTGGGATGTTACCTGGTCGGCTCTATAGCTGGCTGAGGGGTGGTGAACTAGCGGACCCCTGGGTGTCGGCTGTGTGGTGGCAGGTTCCGGCGATCTTTTCTGTGTTGGATGCGTTGGAGACGTGATGATTGATAGGATGGAGATGGAAGGGTAGAAGGGACTTGGGGTGATGGCACGTGGGAACATGAGAGATGTGGTGGAGCTTGATCGAAGCGGAAGAACTTTGCTTCTTATAGACATCATTTGTGCAACATCGTTGTTCGGAGGGGAAGTCGTTCATTGATAGCGGAATGCAACTCACTCAGTCAGTACGTCAACTGGCCCGCGTCTCGAACTTTCCCACAACTCGAGCTTCACCATTCACAGTGTCCGAGTAATCTCTGGAGGAAAGGCGACAGTCAGCTATTGCTATCCTACATCGACCCCATCCATCAGTCAAAGTAGGGAGCAAGTACGACCGCCGGTAAAGTATCACAATCAACTATATCAACAGGTGAGAAACAGGAAAGTACTACCCTCACGGTATCACCGAGAGCATCTCGCACGGGACAGCTCAAGCGGGCAGATGGCAGAACAGGTTAGCACCATGCCCAACGATACACCCGATGYTCGAGTACAGTACGAGTGGTAGCGGGATGGAGTGTAACTCGGGTTCAACGTCAGGATCTGCGAGTATCGAACTGCCGTTCCCATTGGGAGTGATGTCGGATGCAGAAACGGCCGGTCTCGACCATTTCGCTTCGCTCCGATATCAGCGGAGCGGCCCGTACCGTCAACCGACGACTCTGCAAGCGGCCCACACGTGTGTGTCGATCTTCCAAGATATGGAAGGAAGGAAGTTGGTGCCCATCGCGAGTCGCGGTCATGGAACACCAGTCGCGACCTCTCCTCTCTTGCGCGACCTCGACGCATCACAGAAAGCAGTCTCTTGGTGTGGACTAGGTACTGCGCGCTGAAGAGCAGACTCCATCTWTGAACAGACCAGCTTGCAGCCCCGCTCGGCAAGAAATGCCAATGATGCATGCGGCATGAAAGTTGCTCCCTTGCCCAAATGGCCCGCTGCTGTGTAAGAAGACCGACCCCCGTCACGAGAATTCCCATGTCTTGCATGCTGACAGCAATGTGACAGCGGACTTGTCACCGGCAGCATCCTCCTCACCCGATCCGCCCAGACGACTTTTGCGGCCGATAAACCGGTCCATGCGGCCATTGCGACACTTGCGACATGTGGGATCGTAGTGGTGGCACTGAGTCGCGTCCTCTCCAGAGAGATTTACGGCGGAGGAGGCAAAGCTGGAGGCTATGAAGCAGTCCCCTTGCGAGATGTGAGGCATTCCGAGGACGGAGAGGGCGAAGATGAGGAGCGGGAGCCCTRCCAAAACCCACCACCACCCGTCAGCCTACGAAGATTGAGGACATGCTTCGTTGTGCTGGTCCTAGCACTCTGCTTACGAGCAGAGATCCTGCATCGCGTATTGAAGAATGTGCAGTGCAGTACTCACAGCTGGACGCCTCTGCTTCCGCTGGCATTTGCCTTGGAGGAATGGTGGAGATATCGGCGGGGACGCGGCGGAGATTCTTCTGTGGACATGGACGACGAGGAAGCCAGCGCTTATGAGGCGCTGGCGACATTCGTGGGCCAAATGCCCTTATCACGCGTCATTTCCGTGGCCTTTGTGGTGCTGGGAGGAATGTTGGCCATGGCGGCGACGGCGACACCACGTTCAACCTTCATCTGCGCCGCAACTCTGCCATATCGTCTGCAGGTCCCGCATCTTCAGCTGCTTGGGACGTGTTTGGATGTGGTGATTGTGTGGAGCATTGCCCAGCTAGTCACCCTGAACCCATCTTCGAGAAGCTTGGCTGGACGGGCGGCGGCCGTTGGATATGCCTTTCTCACATCGGCTTTCGCTTTCCTCTCTATTGGGATTGTATATTACCTGGCGGAAGAGGCCGATCGGACTTGGATTCGCCAGATTTCCCCGCGCTTCGTCTGGAGTCTGCTACGACTGGACATGTATATTGTTATTACTTTGCTTTGCGCTTTAGCCTTGGTCAGTCCTCCCCTTTCGATCAACTCCACACTCGCTGATCAACATCCAGATTTTGCACGTTGGCGTTTTAACGACCTCCCTGCTCGCCACTTTCTCCTCCATAATGACAATATCGACAGTCTTTGCGTGGAACAACGCACACCCTTTCCCACCAACCTATCTCGGATTCGGGTTGTTTGCCGTCTCCCTGACAATGCTCGGCTTGGTGGTCTACTTCAGTCTGGACCTCCCTTCCAAACACAATCCACCTCTGTTCTCAAATGGAGTAACCGTCTGGGTGCACCTCATCTTGCTTACAATTTTCCTCGTCTGGACCTCTCTCTTCTTCTCGACCTCAACATCAGTCACCTTCCACCCGATAGACATGCTCATGTACCAAGCTCAAGCCCACCACGAAGTCTTTCTCGCACAGGCTTCGGCAAGCGAGAACCTCACTCAGGCAGTGGAAGTCTACCAAGCCCGCCATCTTCAGCACCCGCCGCCAGGTTTCGATCGTTGGTACGAATTCGCCACTGCAAGGAGTTCCGTCATCATCGATGACTTTGACAGTATTCACAATGATCTCCTCCCGTTCTACGCATTGCCACCAAGTGTGATTAGAGAGCGAACTTGGGAGTTGATCTCGAATCCTTGGAACGATGTGGCTGGTATCAACATTCGCAACGGCCAAGTCAGTGTGTATGATAATGGAATACCAGGCACACACGCTTGGATGCTGGATGGTCTGATTGAGATGATCGGAAAGTTCGTTGAACACCTTCCCGATATGGATCTTGCTTTCAACCTCAACGATGAATGCCGTGTGGCTGCTCCCTACGAGTTGATTCAAGACTTGAAACAGACGGCCTCCTCCCAAGTCTCGTACTTCGATAAGACAAAGCCGAGACAGACAAACTTCTCTCCAAATCGCGCGGCAGGGTGGAAGCCTCTTCCTGCAGAACCGAATCGCGAAACACCTCTGCAGGAGCACTCTTGGCAGAAGATCTTCGAGAGTCATGGCACGATTGGTTGTCCTCCTTCATCTCCTGCCCGCACTTTACGWACATGGGATACCTCGACACTTTGTACAACCTGCATGTCGCCGCACTCTCTGGGTCTCTTCCTCTCGGACTGGCAGCTTGCAGCAGATGTCTGCCACCAACCTGACCTGGCAGACCTGCACGGAATCTACCTCTCACCTGCAGCGTTCAAAGCTACGCACGAGCTGTATCCTTTCTTTTCACAATCCAAGGTGTCTGGATTCAACGACATTCTCTACCCCTCTTCATGGAATTACCTCGAAAAGGCAGTCTACGCTCCCTCTGACGAGCATCCCGACAAGCCTTGGGCTGAGAAAGAGGACATCCTCTTCTGGAGAGGAGCAACAAGCGAAGGGGTATCTCAAGGCTGGTCCCAATGGAAAGGCATGGTCCGCCAGCGCTTCGTCAACCTCCTCTCATCCTCCTCCACCGCAAAGTCAATCGATCTGCAATCCGTCGGTCCGATAATTCTACCCAACACCACCGACTTCAACGGCAATCCCATCCACAACAAATTCGTCTACACCTCGCACTCCTCTCTCACATCCAAAACAGACGTCCACGTCGTAGATAACATAGTCCGTTGCTTCGGCCCGGACTGCTCCGACCAAGCAAAAGCTCTCGCACCCTTGGTCCCGGGAATCGATTTCCAACATCACTGGTCCTACAAGTATCTCCTCGATCTCGACGGTGCGGCTTTTAGTGGTCGGTTCCTACCYTTCCTCCGATCGAAATCTCTCCCCATGAAAGCAGGGATATTCAGAGAATGGTGGGATTCCCGCGTCGAAGCCTGGGCGCATTTCGTACCGCTTGATGTTCGTGGGGTTGGTGTGAAGGCTACTTTGGAGTTCTTTGCGAATCAAGGTGAAGACGGGGCGAGGAAAGGAGAGAAGATTGCGAATCAAGGGAGGGAGTGGGCCGAGAAGGTGTTGAGAAAGGAGGACATGGAAGTTTACATGTTTAGGTTGTTGTTGGAGTGGGGGAGGGTCGTTGATGATGGGAGGGACGATGTTGGATTTGGGGGATGATATTTGTTTTCTGTACATCTACGTATTTGATCTGTGATGAGAGAATGAAATGGATGAAAGGTCTGAGTACAGCATCTCTGACACAAATTGCAAGTTGGAATGTGGAACGTGAATGGCATGATCGTCAGGTCTTCTGCTAAACTGGAAGATCAGCCATGCTCTTGACGTGCGTGGCAGAGTCGGGTTTGTGTTGCATCGAAGGTTGTCTTCAAGGCTCGAGCGTTGAGAAAAGCTCAGATGAACGACAACCAGATCGAGAGTGGAAAGCATGGGTAGCCTTCAAAGAATCGCGACGTACTGATATGGGGGTATCTACAATCCATCAAAAACACACCAGACTCCTGATCACGTTCCCTTGCCAACATTCCCTGCCTTGCACTCCATGATACAAATCACTTCATTGCCGGCAGCGCAAACCAATCCTTGATCTCAACAATCTCCTCCTTTCCCTAACAAAGACCTCCAACATACTCAGCCCCATCTCTGCCTACGAGGATGCAACCCGCTGTTTCTCGCACGGCTTTCRCTCTCTCCGGCTTGATCCTCTTGATCTCTCGTATGTGCTAATCGTGGATCGTCATTCTGTGAAACATTGGATCTTGGAAAACCGTGCGATGAGGTACGGGGATTCGCTCTACCACGACCACCTCTGTTGTCTCGGCCACCGCGGTTTCGTGCATGTGGCGGGTCGAAGGGTGGAGCGTTGTATGTAGCATTCGGACGGTTCTGGTCTGTTACAGAAGTGTTGGGTCGATTGTCTCGCGCAGGTCCGGTGGGTATACCTTCGAAACCAGACTGGCTGTGTCTAGTAACAACATTGTGTTGACGCTGAGACGGAGTAGGAGGGCCGAGAACGTAATTACATTCACCATGTACAGCGTCCCGAAGCTGAGAATTACCGGTGGGTGACTGGTAACCAGTATCGTTCCGACTGGACTGATTTGTAATTTTGTCGAGAATACCGAGGAAAGACGATGCAGAAGGGCTCGAATGCTGAGTTGGTTGGTTCTTCTGCGCTGAAGATCCAGCGGGGCTGTGTTGTGTCTTCTTTGTCGGAGTATCCTGAGTGGGACGTTTCTCTGAATCACGAAAACGAGGATCCTTCATGGAGCCGCCTGGATAAGCAGGGTTTGGGGTTGGTTTGTATTTAGTTCGTTGATCCGAGAAAGGCGAGCGAGTTGGCGTGGTGTCGTTCGCGGCGTCAGGTGGCGGTCGACTGACTCCATTCTTCTCTTTACCACCTGTCAACGGCTCGATGACATCCTCCTGAATTTGGAAGGATACTTGCTTTTTAGCTGAAGCTGAGCCTGAAGCAGGTGTTTTCGGGGACTGCTTCGGTGGAGCCATACTCCCATGGCGCTGTGCAGGTGGTGGTGGTGATGCAAGGACGGTGGAACTAACAGCGAATTCTGAGATTGAGTGTTCGGATTCTTCGGGGACTGTGATTGCTGCCGACTTCTTCGCAACGTTCGTCTCCGGTACTTGATCTGCATCTTGATCTGAAGCTTCTCGTCCCGGGGCTTTCTTTTGACTTCGTTTGTTTGGCACACCAGAGATTGGAGACGTCCGCTTCGCTGGCAATCTTCTGGTTACAGGATTCTGCTCTTTACTCAGTCGTTTGCAGTCATTTTCATCGAACTGATGTACAATGCATTCAGTCAAATCGAAAACCCGTGGCCGGTGCATCGACCCAAAATGTCTCTTCAGCCCGTCCCTGCCATTGAAATACCCGGTGACGTTGGCATTCTGTTGGCATTCGGGGACTGGGCAGGAAAGCTCAAACCACTCCTCTCCGTATCCAACGATCATCGTGCACGATTTCAAAGTGATTTCTCGAGCGATGCTATCGACTACCTTCCCTTTTGTCGAACTAGGAGCGTTGGATTTGCCACCCGAACCAACTCCACTAGGATTTTGAGTTCGAGACGCCGCCGAAGTTGTCTTCTTCGTCAGAGTTGTCGTCGTAGCTGCCGCTGTTGGTGAAACAGTCTTGGGAGGCACCATCATCGCTGCAGCTGGAATGTGCTGAACTTGTTTGGTAGATGCGCTGGTAGACGCGACTCTGATATTATCCCGGTCCTCCTCCTCTACCATGTGTTGTCGTGTCTCGGAAGTGATCTCACCTTCCTGGGATGCTGTCTTGCGGCCTTTGTCGACCTGTGCTGATCCTGTATTGTGTGAGTCGGCTCGTTCATCTCCGCTCATCACCCGGGACGTACCTTGGGTGGATGAAGTGCCGCTGATTTTGACATTCTGTGGCTTGTGTTAGTAAGTCTGAGACTATAGAGTAGGACGATACGCCTTGCAGATGTCCGATCTTTGATCTCCTTCATCACCTCAAGTAGCTCGCTCTGGACTTTGGCGGAAGACTCTTCGATGCGCTCGATACGGGAGTGATGCTCCGACTCCAGCTTCTTCTTCGCCTCCGCCAACTCATGTTCGAGCTGCTTCTGCGATTCTTGCGTTTTGGCTTCAAATTCTGCCAGCTCCGCCTGAAGCTTGGAATGGTGGCGCTTCAGAGTCTCCGTCTCCTTGTGTTGCTGTTCCTCCCGCTGCAGTGCCGCCTCTTCCTCTTCTGTCTCTTTCACCGCTGCCAGTCTCCTCTCTTTCTCTCGTGCCAGCTTCTTTCTGCGGGCCTCGAAGGGATCCATCGTGGCAATGTTGGAAAAAGTGAGGTGAAGAAAGGTCGGTAGGTCGAGGATGAAATTTCCAGTTGGTGAAGACCGATTTGTTTGCTGCTTTCATCCACGCGATTCTTTCCAATTCCATCCTAGTGAAGAACTTGCCTTGATGAGCGAGAGCAATCGTTCAACTGTCGTCTAGCAGGATGTTATTGCCGGTGGAGATACTCAACGCAAGGTATGTCCGTTAACGGCGGCAAACTCAAGGATGACATTTGCCCCCTCACGTTGCTATGTCATGTTGAGCATCCTAACCAAGACRGCGACATCTTTACGATGAAGCACTACGACGACATGACGGGCGCATGAGTAGCGTCAATGTCAGATGCTATCAGGATGCCAGCGTCAAACTATGTATGACCAGATACTGACTTCGTGTCTCCATCTTAATCGATCCAGCTTTGTTCAAGTACAACGGCTACCTCTGAGCTTTCATCTCTCTCTCGAAAACTTGCTTGGTATCACCGGAGAGCGAGACAGCAGATATCAAGCTGGTTCGTTGTGCTGCGTTACTTCCTGACAGGATAGGCCGCTGTCCTGAATCACGCTTCACACGGCAGTTCCATACCCACTTGAGCCGCCTTCTGGGTCAAGTGCTGCGGCTATAACCGCTGTTCTTCTCTGGAGGCCAGTGCATTGTGAGGCGACGAGWAGCCACACTCTTCTCGCATCTCCGCAGGAAACTCTTCGGCAGAAGATCCATCAGGGGGTGATAATCCGCGAGCACTACGTGCTGGGCAGCGATCCCATGCTCATGCGACGTGATTGCACCCTTCCTCCTACGCCTGATGTTATGCACATGGAAGCTCATGTTGCGAGCAAAGTTGATGACGATGGTCTTCCGGAATCGACTCCTCCTGGATAGCAACGACATGCTCAAGCAGGTGAATGGCATGCATGCATCGTGCGACCTTCATCCGTATCAAAGTATGTCCCTGCAAACTGCTGCTGAGTTGCGAGTCGATCGGGATGAGTCCCAGAAAGAGCTCTCAAAGACCACAGAAATGCTCAAGCAGGTGGATGACATTTTACATCTGTTGCTCACCTGCCATATCTCCCGATCCTCCCGATTCGACACTGGGAAATACATCCCTGAGATGCTTGGTGCTGGCGCTTGGAATTCTTCCACGTGGTCTTCTTTATTGAGCCATACAAGGCTCGTCCTTAGAAGCCTGAAGTACCCGGAGACTGGAATTCCATTGAGCCCCCCATACACGTAGCAGCCTGAGTGTCTGCTAAGGGGAGATGTTCCAGCTCGGAAAACGAAGTCTGCTACCTCCGCCAGACCCCTGGGGAAAATTCTGTCATTGATGGCTCTCTGGAGAAGCTCAGCTACTATATCCTCGTCGGCATTGTCGATAATTAGAAGCTATTTCCCGGCGCCTGGTGTACTGAAATACAGTGTGACCAGCTCTTTTGCATCTTCGTTTTGATTTGCAGCCAGCAGTATTGCGAACAGCTACTGCGTATCACAATGGCCTCGGTGACTTATCCAGAGTGCCTTACCACATAAATCCCCTCCATCCTCCACTTTGCCATTGATAAATATATAGCCGTGGAGTGTACGGACCAGCCGTGCAGAAAGCAGAAGCGTCGACTCGCTACATCAGTYCCAAACAGCAGCACAGCTTTGCTTCCGAATGTCAGATAGTCGTCCATCACCCTTGTAGATGATGTAGCTGTAACTCTATCGAGTAGAGACAAGAGCAGTCTGTCTCAAGGGAGATGTCCACATAGACAATTGAATGAAAATCTGATGAGGTGAGGTTGATGGAGACGATATGTACCTTGGAGTTAGTATTTGACGCTAACTACATACGAAATCGTTAGCATATCAGCGAGCTTCATACCACAGCATAACGTAAGCAGAGCGTATCAGAAGAACAAATCTCGACCAGCCACGACAACTCTCAGCTGACCGAAGAGATGGACACGGTCCGAATCCCCTCCTCAGTATACCACCTTCTTCGCCCAAGGAATTCGCACGGCGGGTAGATCTACAGAAACATGATCGGAACTCACCACTTGACAGGATCAACCAAGCAGCTCAACGTATTCATCTTGCCAACGATCTAAGCYTATCTCGAAATGAAGGGCTCTCAGTATTTTCAGATTCAACCCAATGAACGAGTTTCTCGCTCCGACGACGTCCCGTCTAGACATGATGAGTGTTCCGCAACCCGAGGGTTGATATACTGACTCTTCAGCGTCTTAACCCTGAGTCAATTCCCGCCACGCTTTGTCAATCGCAACTCTTGGGTTTAGGTGTCGCTGTCGGACTCGGTTTCGCCTTTGCCTTCATTGTAACTAACGCTGAAGGCTTGTCGGGCCTCTGGAGATCCACAGTTGAGGGAACCGCGCGATGGCAGTTGTGGGTCGGAAGAACTCCGCATAGGAGGTCCGTCGCGTTGCCAGTTCTCGGAAGGTTGTGTCGATTGCATCGGTCGGTTTGTGAGTGAATCGTGACGATCGTCGTGATCCTCGCCCCGAGCGATGCGAGACTGAGCAGCTTTGGCAAATTGTAGTAAAGGAGGGCTGGAACTGAGTGAAGAGTGGGAAGGGCTGGCTACAGCAGCAGTCTCATCTGCGGTAGTGCTTGCCGACGTGTTTTCAGCTACTAAAGGAGTCTGAGACCTGTCTGACAGGTGCTGGACCGAGTTTGCGGCAGACTCTCCACCAACTACCGCTGCTGGCTGCTTATCCTTTTGCTTGGGGATGAGTGCATCATTGAAGACTGGTTGCTGAACACTCTGACTTGGAGAGGGATTTTCGTCGGACTGAACGATAGTTTCCGAGTCAGAGTCTCCTCTGAAAGGGTTCCGGCGCATGCCGGCGTACTGTGGGAATGATGGACCACTCAGGTTGCGTTTCGACGAATGGGGACGAGGAGCAGCGGACTGCAGAGGTCTTGAAGTATCGAGTGAAGCATTGGTTCCTGCTCTGGTGGTATTGTTGGGGTTCGCAAGTTCCCAACCTCCTGTCCTACATTAGCACTGTGCTTAGACAAGGCACAAACGTGCAGTACAAACCTTTCGGTACGGGAAATAGAGATTGGATCTCTTTTTGGACCATCTGTGTCAAGTCGTCAGCAAGTCTCAACCGGTACTTCTGCAGAGCAGGGATGAACGCACATTTTTCTCAATGACAACCCTCTCAATCGCATCGTCGATGTCTGCCAAACGTCTCCGCTTCGGATTGGCGTCGTCTCCGCTCGTCTGCAGAAAGACCCTCACTTCATCATCGAACTCTCCTTTTACTCTCGCTCTCAATGCCGCAATGTCCTCTCGCAACTTCGCGAACAAGATCGACTCTCCCTGGCCGAATCTTTGTTTTCGCTTTCTCGCTGCGTGCCGCCTAAAGTAGTCGACGGGCTCCGGATTTTCTTTCAGCTCACGTTGCAGATCTGACTTATAGCAGTCCAGCTCTTCTTGCTCCCTTTTCAGGCGAGAATGTTTCTCTTGCAAGGGCTTTGCTGCAACATGGCCCTCTCTTATCTCAGCTTGTAGCACCTCCTCGCAAGCTTCGGCAATGTGAGACATGTTGAGGTCTGTCGTTCTAATGGAAGAATGCCAAGTTGGATGCGATGGGAAGAAACAAGATGTTGGATGCGTTTGCTGTATTGATGAGACGCTGTTGGGATCTTGATGGAACGTTGATGGGATGTTGATGTTGATGGGATGTTGATGTTGATGGGATGTTGATGTTGATGTTGATGWGATGTTGATGTTGATGTAGATGAGATGCTGTCCAGTTTCAAGGTAAGTACCACGCCTTCTGGCTCAGCATCATAATAAAATGGGAAAGTCCAGACTGAAGACTTACTGCAAGCAACTACCCCGTCGAGGCCTCGCCACTTCCCTGGCACAACCCTCAAGCAATCTGGTCGATATGAGACCTTCATAGTATGAGTAAACGTCTCCCGGTCCTCGAGCTGTCTTTCAGGGTCATGCTTCTCCATGCCAATATCGACGATTTGAGATCCTTGATTTCTCCTTGTTGACATTCTTGCTCGTAATTTGATGCTCTTATACTAACAACTCCTGCCTCTRAATTGAATAGAGATGGAAAGACGTCTCGTCTCACTTCAATCAAGACAAAAATCCCCATAAGCTCATGATGGAGAAAAAATGACAGCGAAACGCCCTTCAATACCCACAAGTCTCGTTCATTGAACCAACCCATCATCGCACCATTCAACCAGCAAGTCTCCATTTAAACAAGCTTTTGATCCTCTGGTCTCTTCTCAAAAATGATGTTCATCAACTTACTAGTTACCACCGGACCCTCAAAGAATCATTTTCTCACGTCGTATGAGCCTTGGCTCTGTCACGTTCAGAATCACCACATCGTTCACTATCCAGAGTCTTGCATGTGAGGATCGACGACGCCGACTTATCTTCTCTACTTTTTTAGTAAATAAGAAGAGACATAACCGCCGGTACTAGCTATATTAAAATATTTCAAGTCGAAAAGAGTTAGGGTTAGGGCTAGGGTTAGTCTCCATCTCACATTATCCGGCGTAATACATTAGGAGGCTTCAGTTTGTTAATAGTTCTCTAAGTAGGTCGTGGTCATTAGCCGAGGATTACTCGTGTAAGTACGAGTTTGAGGTCTAATAACTGGTGCATTAGGAGGCCTCTTAGCACGTAGACGGCTTCATGTTCTTTGTGAGTAAGTAGACATCCCTACCATTGTTCTTTAGAAAAAGGTCATAAAAAGTCATGGGAGATATATACATTCTTCCTTCCTTCCATCTAACATACCCACACAACACACAGCACCTCTCACAGGTAGCATCAATAGCAACAAGAACGACCAAGATACTCCCCTCCTTCATTCCACCCTCTCATCCCTCAAGCCAACTCATCCACCCCCTCCTCCCCCTCCCCCAACTCCCCAACCCTAACAACCGTCTCCAAAACTCTCTTCCCCCTCCCAAATCCAAACCGATCCACCAATGACACCCCTCTATCCCCCCTCAAAGCCGGACTTCCTCGATGGGAAACAATCGCCGTGGGAGTACTATATCTCCGCGGCCAATTCTTAGTCTTTGGAGTTTCCGGTTCTGGTTGCCTTTCAACAATCTCACCACGGCCGACACCTCCTCCAACAATAGTGGAAGAAGAAGAAGAACTCTCCCTCCTGAGTAGCTCAAGTCGAGACTTCGCGACCTTGGCTAGAGGAGTTGCGGTAACGGCCGCCTTGATGGCAGACTTACTTCTCCTGACCGGGATGGCGGGTTTCTTAAAAACAGGTGAGCTGGGAGGGACTTTCCCAACCATCCCGCCGCGAGCAGGAGTCTGGACTTTGGCTGTTGACGAAGAATTGCCCCGGGAATTCCCAGCATCATCGCTCAAACCGCCAGCCTGAGCCCGAGGAGCGCTCTTCTTCTTCAGACAAGGAGTTCCATCATGCGCAGATATTCCGATGGGGCCTCTAACCTCCACCGTATCCACAAATCGGACCTTCTTTCCTGAAGAAACTTGCTGTGATCCCGCCTCCTTCTGCAACATCACCGGCTCGGCCAGGTCGTCGACGTCGTCGTCGTCATCACTATCCGCAATTTCAATTGTGKGATCCAGCTGAGGTGGAGGAACTCTTCCTTGTACCTCCACGGACTTGGACTGAGTGCGCCAGCGTGTTCTCGCCGCAACAATTCTGACTGCATCGCCTGGAATTTTTGCTGCTGCAGGCGTGTATTCCTGCAAATCCTCCGCCGAATCCGTCGTTCTCTTGCCACGAGATTTGTGATTTTTCTTCGGAGGATGTTTCACGGCGATAGAATCCTCATCGTCATTCGCATCATCGTCAGCGTCGGCGTCATGGTCACTGTTGATAACGACGTAGTCATCATCGGGGTCGAGTTGTGACGGCGAGGCAGGTCTGGAAGTCTCTCGCTCTCGCCCGACAGGATTCCTCTCCCGCTCAGATGCGATGTTTGTTGGTTCGCTAGCGACTCTCACTCGCCATGGCCTAGCTCTTCGATTACCACACTGCTCGAAGTCGTCATTTGTTCTCAACTCCTTCACAATATCGGATTTCCAGCTTGGAGATGCGGTRCGATAGTAGTCAAAGTTCCTCTCAACCCAAGTACAGATATTCTTGAGATGCATGGTGTTGAGTTGAGTGGCGTTGAATGCCATRCGGATGAGCTCTGAGGAGGTGTGTTGAGGACGTGATGGAGTCCCGAGGGACTCCTCAGTTGTGGAGTTTGATGAGTCTTGATTCACCAGCGAAGACCTCTTTGAAGCAGCAGGCGTCTCCTGAGCTGTTGATGTAGAAGGCACCAGTGCTGAGAGCCCGGAGCGATCATTACTGCTGACGGTAGGAACAGTCCCGGATGTCAAGACCTTGGGAACAGGATTCTCTGCGCGAGCAACAGGCTCGGCAGGTTGGCGAGTACCCACCCCTTCCAAAGAGTCCCCACGAACTGCGCCTGTCGATGCAGCTGAAGGTGGCAAGCGCCTCACAGAATCAGTGGACATTGGAGTATGCATCTGCTGCAAAGAGTCTCGATGAATCGTGGCCGGCTGCATCGAGATAGGTGTCCTGCAATCCTGGGTCTGAGGATCTGTACCTCTAGATGTCGGCCTTGGGAGAGTTGCAAGATCAGGCCGAGCAGGCTGCGGAGTTTTCCCGCGTTGTAGAGGATTCCCATGCACTGCGCCTGTGGTTGTAGTCGGCTGGAACACAGAAATTGGGGTATGATGGACCTGTCCAGTGGGCCGAGGAGTCTGCGCCCCTTGCAAAGAAGTTCTCTGACCCGCCCTGATCGTAGCAGCGGCCACAGGCAAAGTCTTTCTTCTCTGCGCAAGTGTCTCCTTCGCCGTAGCCTTCCGTGCAGGTTTCAAAACACCAGCAGAGCCCACTATCCCCACCTTCTCCTTCCCCTTTTCCTTTCTCGGCATCTCCGTCCCAGCACTTCTCACATTCGGCGACTCCACCGTCCCGCTCAAGGTCCTTCCATCACCACCCCGACAAACATTCCAATCAAAAGCCTCAAAAGCCCACTCAAGTTCCACACCCGTGCACTTCCCCTCCACCTCGGTAAGTTCCACGAGCTGCCTCAAGCTGACATGCTCCACACCATCAACACTCTTCAAAATCTCCCAAATCCGCTGCACGATCCTCGGATTGTTCTGCTCAGCAGCGAAGTGTTCTGCGGCGTTCATAAGTCGCTCTGCCTTGCGTTCATTCATCGTGATGCGGTCCATTTCGAGAAGTTGAGGATCAACCAGCGACATGCCTTGTTGTGGTTCCTCTCGAGATTGATGATCATCCTGCAGCATACCTTGTTGCCGCTGCGCTCGAGACTGATGATCAACCAGCGACATGCCTTGTTGCTCCTCTCCAGCCCTCACCACATCCCCCTCTTCCCCAACCGAAGATCGAAACTCCTCGTAAAGTTGCTCCGAAGCAGCAGCCATCTCGACATCATCCTCAAACAGCACAATCGGATCCTCCTTCCTGTCGCCATCGCCAACACCATACCCGTTAGTATCATGTCGTGCGACTACACCCCTTGCTCTCGAATACGGATCGGATCTTCTGCGACTGTTGTCAAGAGCAGTCCTCAACAATCCAGCTGGCGGCTGATGCATCGTGGGAGCAGGCAGACTTTTCCTCGCCCGGGGTTTCATCACGGCATGCCAGTGATCTTTGATCGATGCTGGAGTGCGATTGGGAAAGTACGGCGACATGGCTTCCCACGACATATCAGCAGCACGTAGTCGAGAGATGAGGTCGTCTTCTTGATGGGTGTAGCGATGGAGACCAGGTGTTGGTTCGATGGGTGTGCGTTGCTGCGACGGCGATGTGTCGGCGGGATGGGGACTGGATGGCAGCGCATGAGGAGCGGCGGCGGGGGTGAAGGTTGAGGGTATCGCGCGAAGTAATTCTGAAAACCGCTGTGCAATGGCATCGACACTCCTCCCCGGCAGTCGCCGGGCTATGTCTTCCCAGGATGCATTGTGGGATGCCTTGAGCTGCATGATAACATCATCTTCTGCCTGCACAAAAGGTCGGTAGTGTCCTGATCCGACTGATGCCGATACCATAGCAGTTGGGGATTCGCCTCTATTTTCGTCATAATTCGGGGGTGTATCCGTCCTTCTGATGAATTTTGGCTGCCCTGGTGTGGGCGAATACGTCCTCCATTGATATTTCTCCTCTGGTAGACTTTCCGGCTGTGCAGACTGTTGCTGACGATTCCTCAATTCTGACTTCACCACTTCATTGTTCATGAGCCAGATATACCTGTTGTACACCTCTCTCACACTCCTACCCGGTACATGAGAGGCAATATATTCCCAATCAAAACCATTAGCATGTTGCACCACATCCATGATGAGAGTGTCTTCCACCCGCTCAAACGGCCGAGGTCTCGGTCGATTGGGGGCGAGAAGGTCCGCCAATTCCGGGTCGGCTTCAAAGATGGATTCTTCTGCGGTCGGCTTGGTGAGATCACTCATCGCCCGCCTCCGCTTATCGGGCGCGAGGGTGCGTGTGTATCGTTTTTGAATACCCTGCATGGTTCTGTTCTCACCAAACCTCTCGGCGACATGATGCCATGCGAGGTGATTGATCTCCTTGAGACGCACGATCAGCGCGTCCTCTTCGGCGGTCCAGACGGCGTTCGCATTCCAGGCTTGTTCATCACGCCTGAGCTGTGCTTCTCGAACCAATTCGCTGTATCGTAACTCCACTGCCTCCGTGGAATGTGTAGGTAGCATGCTGGCAATATCGCTCCAATCGAGTTCCCTTTCTTCTCGAAGTTCGAGCAACAACTCATCCTGCTCTTGGGTCCAGTTCAATTTCATTCCCGGGGTGGCCGACTTCTTCCATTCCGTAGCTTCCTGCTCCGCCCACATCTTATCGAAGAGTTGCCTTCCCGGAACATCAGCATTGTGGAGTGCGCGGGCATACCTGTGTTGAATGGAGAAGAGGGATCGCTGGGGGAGATGACGATGCATCTCGTTCCATCCCATGTTGCACTTTTCCTTGAGCTTGATGATCAAGGCATCTTCCTCGTCGGTGTAGGCGAGGACTTTGGGGGAGAGGATCTGTCGGGAAGTGTTGGCCGGGTAAGTCTGTGGGGTTTCGTGGACGTATCCTGGGTCGTCGTCCATTGTGATTGGGGTGCCTCTCGAAGCAGGTTTTGGTGTGTTGAGAGGGAGATGTTGAGGTGATATCGGCTGGAATGGGACAAGGTCTGATGGTGGATACTGAGATTGAGGAGGTTCTTCTTGCCTTTGTTGAGCATGCTGAGATGGCTCAAGCACTAACGTTGGCTCACGTTCTTCTTGTTCCTCTTGTTCTTCTTGGGCATGTTGCTCCCACACTTGCTCCTCTTGAGCATGTCTCTCCAGTTCTCGCACAAAGGAAGCCTCCACCGATGCATCGTCTTCCATCTCCGGAGCTGCAGCGATGACTGGTTCACTAAGACTCATTTCCGGCACCGATTCATCAGGAATCATCTCAGACACTGGCTGATCRAGACTCGTCTCAGGCACCGGCTCATCCAGTGCAACCTCAGACACCGGGTCATCAAGACTCATCTCCGGCACGTCCTCTACACCCTCGTCCRCCTCTTCCACCGACGGAGTGGGAGAATCGAAGGGCTTCATCCTCCCATAAAGGTCATAATACTTGGCGCACGACACACACAAATCGCCTCCATGCGGTCCATCGTGCCAGGTGGTGGAGTTTGTCAGACTACAATTCATGCATCTTCTCAAGTCTGCACCCTTAACGGCAGACGAGGGGATGACGGATGAACGAAGGCGTCGGAGGGAGGGAGTGGCGGCGGGTTTGAGGGGTTTGGGTTGACGACCTTTGGGGGCCCAGAGGGAACGCTGGCCGGGGGAAGCAGCGGGTGGAGAGGAGATTGGCGGAGGCATTGCGGGTTTGAGAGTGGGAGGAGTGGGAGTTTTCCTTCTCTTCCGTCCGGGGAGGTTCTTGGCGTTGCTGTTGTTGCTGTTGATGTCGGGAAAGTCCCAGACGGGGTCTGTGGTGGGTCTCGTCGACTTTGAGTGAGAGCTTCTCTTCCTCTTCTTGGAGGTTGTCGAGGAAGCGGCCATGAGTTGTGCCAGCTGATTAGCAATGGAGGTCCCCAAGGCCTGGATGGTGTCCGTGTCAATGGTAGGACGTCTAGGCCTGCCCGTGAGAGTTGACATGGAGTCTTGCAGAGCAGGGATCTGGTGCAAGAGTGCGGTGGTGGTTGTTGGAGTTTCCACGCTAGATCCTTCGTCTTCCACCACATCCGTCCCTCCCACCAGCAATTGTGCCAGACGGGGAGGTGGACGGGTCAGAGCACGGAATGGCTCGAGAAGGCTCGTGTTGTCGTGTCCAGACGACTCTTCCCCTTCCCCATCATTCTCTCCATCCTCCTCTTCATCCCCCTCCTCCTCCTCACTTGTATCCTCTCCCTCTCCCTCCACCTCCTCCTCGTGCCCCAATTTCTCCTGAAAAGTCCTCACGAAGCGAGAGGAAGCGCTCTTGCCCGGATCGGCCTCGTCTCGCATGTTCTGGAGATGTCCATTGTCGACGACAATCTCCCCCGAATGCAAGTCAATCTCATCGCCGACTCCCTCGAAATCATGTTCGTATTTGCGGAAGATGCGCTCGAAACGACTCTTTAATTTCTGGTCATTCTGTTGTCGCGCCTGGTCCAATTGTCGCACATTGTCGTCATCCGAGGGCGCGGCGGTGGAGGAGGAGGATGCGCGGGTGTTGAGACGGGCCATCGGGAGGAGAATCCATCAAGACTTCAATCAGGGTTGTCGTCGTCTTCGTATTTTGGTTCATTTGTTGTTTGTCGTCCCGCAGTTTCATCTCACATTCCGGGCATTCCTCCAATGATCGGCGGGGGACGCGCTGGTGGAGTCGCGTAGCGGGTCCCGATACCTAGGGCTGAGGGGAGGGAAGCGACGGCCCGAGCCTAGCGGTGAGCTGGTCCGACATGTCACCGGGTGATGGGGAGTGACTATCCCATCATCTTCCGATGAACAACAACAACATCCAAGTTCAGTCACATCAAGGAAGGATGATCATCATAGCAAACACCGCGACATGTATGCCGAGTGAATAATGAAGAACAGAGCGACACTTTAGCCCATTCAACTCACACCCCAACAACCACCAACAATCACCAACATGGCAACGTACATCACGGGTCTGCAGTGCCAAAAGTGCCGGACGGGGCTCAAGATCGATGGATCGTTGGAACAGCTGAATCCCGCCTCGTTCAACATCCTCGCCGACGCAGCTCCATCATCAAAGCCGAATCCTCCTGAAGCACCTCGTTCGGCGGCGGCGCAGGAACGGAGACAACTTTACAGTGAAGTCTCTCGTCAAGTCGCATCTTCATCTCCGCCCACCAAACGAAATGTCTCGTCCAGTCAGAGGATTCCCAGCGGCGGCCATGGCCCTGTCGACCCGGAAATGTCCTTTGTCCTCTTGCCCCACCACGAAGCGGCCTCATCATCCACATCCACCYCCACCTCCACCCCGGAAACCCCTCGTTCGGCCGCTGCCAAGGATCGAATGAAGAAGCCTTACAATGACACCTCCTCTCAAAACGCCTTTCCTCCTCTCAAATCAACATCTACGACTGGCAAGATGAATCCCGAAATGTCGTACATTTTGCTGTCGGAATCCCAAGTCCTCCCCGAACCGCAGCCAGTCGCAAAGACGTCTTCCAAGAGAAATCCCCACGCCAAATCACCTGCATTGGGTACTCAAAATGGCGTCCSACTTTCACAAGAAATGGAAACGACGATGCGTCTGTTTGACATTCTCTCCGCCCGATCCGACATTGATCATCCCATCTGTTCCGAATGCACCGACCTCTTGCTGGACAATCTACAAAAACGCCAAGCGGGAATCACACGTGAACGAGAGGCATACGTTGACTTTCTCAAGAAAGCACAACAAGACATTCCCACCGAGGAGGAAGGGGCCCAAACCAGGAAGAACTTGAACAACGCTCAGGAACGCGAACAGCAAGCCCTGGAAGAACTAGAAGCCCTTGAAGCCGAGAAAGCACGAATGGAAGAAGAGCTCGCAATTCTAGACGCCGAATCCGAAGCTCTGGACGATGAAGAAGAGGCCTTCTGGCGGGACCGCAACGCCTTCTCCGCCCAACTCACCTCCTTCCAGCAAGAACGCGACTCCCTGACCAACCAACTCCAACAATCCACCAAAATCCTCTCCGCTCTCCAACGTACAAACGTCTACAACGACACCTTCTGCATCGGTCACGACGGCACCTTTGGAACCATCAATGGTCTGCGTCTCGGTCGCACCTCCGAACATTCCGTCGACTGGCCCGAAATCAACGCCGCCTGGGGGCAAACTCTCCTCCTTCTCACAGTTGTGACGGAAAAACTCGGCTACAAACTCACAGGCTACGAATTGATCCCCTGTGGCTCCACCTCCAAAGTCGTCAAAGTAGATCACTCTCAAACCACCTCCCCAACCCCCAAGAAAACCATCCTCGAATTATACAGCAACGGCGACCTCCCTCTCGGCCTGGGATTTCTGAGCAGAAACTTCGACTACGCCATGATCGCCTTCCTGGACTGTCTGCGCGAAGTTGGAGAGTACGTGGCCGAGCAGTCCAACAATTCTCAGGATGGAACGCCGGCGTTGAAAATGCCGTATGTCATCAAAAAGGATAAGATTGGGGACGTGAGTATCAAATTGGGAGGCTTTGGGCAGGAGGAATATTGGACGAAAGCGTGTAAGTATACGTTGACGTGTTGTAAGTTTCTGTTGGCGCATGCTAGTCATGTCGAGGATGGCAGGCGGTGATTGAGCGGGAGGTAATCGGACGTGATTGTAGAGTTGAGGAATGAGGGAGGAAACATTGAATCGGCTTTTGGTGTCTATACATATCGGGATTGCATGGTGCGATCAGCAGGTATTCAACACTCCTCGGGAAACCCACGACCCAACATCATCCCCACTGCTAAATCATAGCACCGCCTTCCTCAGCATATCATTAGGAAGCAACACGACCGTCATGATCCTCGCGGTAATTGACATCGCATAAGCCATGAAGACTCAAGATCCTCTGCCGGAAAACTACCCCGAAGACCCGCCCGGAGCTCGCCACTCTCTCATCAGGTCCACACACCTCGACGTGCAATACCGAAGAAATCAGAAAGGGAAGGAATATTGGCCTCAAGGCCATGGAATCCGAAGAAATTCTTCAGCCTTACCAACACCTCGCAAGATATCCCACGTGTTGCAATGATGGGATATCGACTCGGAGTCAGTAGTGTACCACCTAACTGTGGATGGGACAAGGGTTCCAATCATGCGAATTGCCAAGATGGTGGCTGATCTTTTTTTGTCATTGATGAGCGATGGATGGTTGTGTTTGGCTCGATTTGATCATTGCGCCGTTCACTCCCATGTGGGATGATGGCTTTTTCGGCGTGGCAGCGACATTATTATTGTTGGATGGTTTGTGAGGACGACGGATCCTGCAGAGAGAGAGTAGATTGAATCTCCCCGATGGCAATCGAATCAAGACAAATGAAGAGTATCAGCAGATATTCAATCACTCATGTGGAAACGTACCTATGTTCGCACATATGATACAAGGATGTTGCTACAGACATGTTCAGATCTCCTTTGATAGCACCATCCCAATCATACAACAACAGAATCAATGCAACATCGGCAACAGTCAGTCTCTCCACCCCTGCATCMATGCATCCACGTGCGCGGAAAACAGTCACAAAAGAAGAAAATACTCGTCAAACGGCAACAGGTCAAATCGAGGCAAAAGTCCACCTCGTCACTCACTGCAACCCCCCACACAATTCGAGTAAACATGCGCCGGACACAAGAACTCCCAAGAGAATGAGTGTCAATCAACAAAGGGTCGAAGATATGCACGTCCGAAACATGAAGTGCCTCTCACAACTGCATATATTTCCACGTGGAAAAATGGCTCCTTGCCATTGGCTCCAAGAATGGCTTGCGCCAAGAAGGTGCTGGAAATCCTTTGAGCCACGCGAGGGAGTAGTCGCGATACACTCACTCACTCACTCACTGCTGGTTCGGAACTTAATACTAACGTTTCTCAAACGAGACACCTTCACCAGGAAAAACCACAGAGAAGCACGAAATGAACAATCTCAAAAGACATGACCGAGACGAGACCTGATGTCAAGACAGAGTAACCAGCCTGATGGAAACTCGGCAATGCAAACGAACCAACAACCACCACCACCACCAAATCGACCCACTCTTTCCTACATATGCCCAGAATTTGCCCAGTCTCGATTAAAAGACTGGAAATTCCAGTACAGCTCACAAGATCAGCCAAGTCCGGAATTCCCATCCTATCAAGCCCACCCATCATCAAATCATCCAATCTTCCTCTCGATCGACCCCGTGCATGATTGTGGAGTGGAGCAGAGTAAAGCACATGTGCACAATTGACTGACTGGGAGGGAGTCTCGGATTCTTTTTCCCTCGCTATGAGGGCGCGGCGTGGCGATGCTTGGTCTTTTTTTTTTTTTTGCTCTTCGAAGGAAGGGCACGAACCACCCAACCAACATACGCGAAGACGGAGATGCTTTTCGTGTAGGGCTGATGCGAGCAGGCAAGCATGCAGGTCTGTCGATATAAAACCTCTGCCGAGGACGGGTGGGTTGGGGTTTTTCTCTTCTGCATTTCTTTTTTGAGTATCCTCCTGGTCAATTGTTTATCGTCTTGACGGACAAAACAACCAACTCCTTCTGCTTGATTTGCAGAGCTTTACCTTGAAACTCATCTCATATTGGTTTTATCCAATACGTTGATCGAGGCAAGACACCATGGCCGCCCTTCCGCAATTCACCTACATCTTCGCCCTAGGCGTCTGCTTCGCGTTTCTCGATGCCTGGAACATCGGAGCCAACGATGTCGCGAATAGGTATCTATCCCGTCCCTTTCCTTTCTCTCCCCAGTCTCTTCATCTCTAACTAAAGAATGATAATCTAGCTTCGCAACCTCCGTCTCCTCCCGCTCCCTCACCATGCTCCAAGCAATGTGCATCGGAGCCGTAATGGAATTCGCCGGAGCAGTCCTCGCGGGTTCCCGAGTCGCCGGCACCATCAAAAGCGATATCATCTCMATTGATGAATTCACCGCCGAGCCCTCCCTTCTTATGTTGGGCATGTTGTGTGCGTTGATTGGGTCTTCGTTGTTTTTGACGCTGGCGACGAGATTTGGAATGCCGGTTTCTACTACCCATTGCATTAGTATGTTCAAAATACCTTGAGATGAGAAATGTGAGACTAATGGTGTTTGGTTACAGTTGGTGGGATTATTGGGTTTGGGTTTGCGACTGTTGGTGCTACGGGAGTGGATTGGAGTTGGGAGGGCGTGAGCTCGGTTTTTGCCGCGTGGTTCATTGCTCCTGGTAAGTGTTGAGAATGGTTATACGCACAAACAAGTCAGCTGACAGATCCATCTTCCCTATAGGCATCGCCGGCTGCTTCGGCGCCATCATCTTCACCTTTACCAAATATGGGGTGATCAAAAGGAAGAACTCGCTTCGTTGCGCCATGATGACCGTTCCTCTCTACTTTGGCCTCACCACCGGGATTTTGACCATGCTCATTGTCTGGAAGGGAGCTGCCTCATTAGATCTGGATGACTGGGGTACAGCACCAACCGTCGGTACCATCTTTGGGGTCGGGGGAGGCTGCGCTCTCCTCTCCATCATCTTCCTCCTGCCATTCCTCCACGTCAAACTCGAACGTGAGGACTGGACCGTCAAGACTTGGGAGATCATCAAGGGTCCTCTCCTTTTGAGGCGTCCTGCTCCCGGTCCCATGCCTGCTGGTCACCGTCTTGTTCCCGATTACTATGAGGGTCATCACACCAAAGAACAGTTGGAAGCACAAGGTCGTGCGGCCGAGACTCGAAGTGATGAGGAGAGCATGGATCGGACTGAAGTTGAGACGGATGGAATCACCAAAGAGACGAAACTAGACGTATACTCCAACAACAACGCAGCGATCAACATGGCCGCACCAACATCCGACGCCCCCGTCCCAATCGTTCGCAAGTAAGTAGATTCGAACCCCCCCAATACATCCCATCCCACTAACTCCCCCCCCCGTCTAGATGGTACGAACCACAAGCCCTCTGGTCCAAAGCCTGCTACTTCTTCTTCCGCGGCGTCTACATGGACATAGTAGCCGAACAATCCGGGCACAACACCAAAGAAACCTCAGAGCCCAAATTTCTCCAACGTCTCCTCATAGGCAAGAACCTCGCCCAAAAGCACGCCCTAGTCCAACACTACGACGAAAAAGTCGAGCACCTCTACYCCTTCCTCCAAGTCCTAACAGCCGCAACGGCATCCTTCACGCACGGCGCCAACGACGTCGCAAACGCCATGGGACCCCTCTCAGCAATCTACAACGTCTGGCAAACAAACACCACAGGCGAAGACTCCCCCGTACCAATCTGGGTGCTCGTCTTCGGAGGCGGTAGCATCGCCTTGGGACTCTGGACTTATGGCTACAATCTCATGCGCAATCTCGGAAATCGCATCACTTTGCACTCCCCTGTCCGCGGCTTCTCCATGGAACTCGGCGCTGCTGTGACGGTTGTTCTGGCCACGCGACTTGCGCTGCCGGTTTCGACTACGCAGTGTATTATTGGCGCGACGGTTGGGGTGGGATTGTGTTCTGGGGAGTGGAGGGCGATTAATTGGAGGATGGTGGCTTGGTCTTATTCGGGGTGGTTTATTACTTTGCCGAGTACGGCGTTGATTTCGGGGTGTATTATGGCTTTTGTTATTAATGCTCCGCAGTGGGGGAACAACATGGTTGTCGTGTAGAGGAAGGAAGCAAGGAAGGGAGAGTGTTGTTGCTCTTGTTTATACCAGGTTCGTGAATGTTCATTCGCTTTGATGTGGGAACTCATGTGTCAGATTCGCTGTTTTCTTGTTAGTCTTCTGGTTGAGAGTCATTCCAAGGACGGATGTAGACCGATGGATCTCGTGCGCAGAACTCGCCAGCGGGATCATTTCTGAGACTCTCGGAGAGGAAAAAGAATCGTGTGAAGAGAGCATTCTACTTGCCATTGGAAGTGGAGATTATGAATCACTTAGGTGGACTAGATAGCCCTCCTCGAATGGTGCTCTGCGCATCACATGCTAGTAACCTCAATCCAGAGCTCTGATGACAGATTCGAGGTAGGTGAATGTACGCAAGTAAACATTCTCTCATCCTTCCAACAGCTTACTATCTAGCAGTATACCCCCCATCAAGTCGAAAATCCGCCCCATTAATATTACACGCCTCATCCTGACAAAGAAACGACACGATCCTCACAACCTCACTCGGTTCAGCAAATTTCCCCGTCGGCACAGCAGCTTGATAAGCCTTCCTAACTTCCTTATCCGCCCAAGCCCTCTTCCCCAATTCCGTCCACACGGGTCCCGGACTGATGGTATTKGCCGTCAATCCCCTGGGTCCCCACTCGCTGGCCTGACATTTCGTGAGACCGATCAGGCCCGCTTTGCTGGCACAGTAAGGTCCATGTCGATCTAGAGCGACGTGTGCGGCTTGACTTGCAATGTTGACGATACGGCCTATTGGGGGTGGTTTATGAGTTTGTCGTGCTCGTTCAGATGCCGCGAAGAATAGTTTGGCAAAGGCTTGGCCGGTGAGAGTCGGGCCGTAGAGATTGACCATGTAATGACGGAGTGCGTCTTCGGCTGGGAAGTCTTCTAGAGGGTGGAGATTGACGACTCCCGCTGCGTTGACCAAGATGCAGGGAGGGTCTATATCGTCTTGGTCGATGGCTGCGAATGCGCGATCTACGGATGTCTTGGATGTGATGTCGCATTCGTATGTTTTGACATTGTCTGGACTGTCACTCTCGAAGACCTGGCGGAGAGTTGGTTGGACGGTGTTGGCTTCAAAGGGTGCGTACAGGAGTGCTACGCTTGCTCCCTGAGAGCGCAGGACTTTTCCTGCGAGACTTCCAAGTCCACCTGTAATGCTGTGAGTTTGAGGAGGAAGATGCAAGAGTTCTCTGGCTACATACCTACGCCGCCGACGATTATGGCCAACCGAGAAGAGAGCGCCATCTGCAGGGCGGAAATAGCTGGTTGATGATCAAAGTTTCTCACTTCTACTATATATGGTATCGGAGATGAACTCTACAGCGGACGGAAGACCTTACAATGCAACTGCGTGGCCAAGAAGAGGGGTGATTCCGAGGTTTTACTCCCCTGTTTGTGGGGGTCGGAGCTTTCATTGCATCATATAGCGCTGTTGTGCAACAAAACAACTGTGATAATAAGCGAGTATGCATTTTTGTTGATTGGTGTCTCCTGAGTATGCAATGAGGCAATACAGATGGATGGGTGCAGAGTGCAGAAGCCGCCCTCGTGGGGCAGACTCGCCTTGGGCCGAGCCTCCGCGACATGCACTGTACACCATGCGGACTCTTCATGCATGTCCAACCATAAYGTAAGCTGGCGGTGCGCTGCAGGAAGGGGAAATGCTGATGTTCATGGCAATGGAGAAGAACACACTTCGTCGTGGGGAATTGTTTACAGGCTAAGGTAGGTACCTAGAACTAGCTTGTGCTTAGTCAGACGTCATTATTGCCGACTTCCCCTTCGCTTTCTGTTCACCTGACCTTCCCACCACTTCTTCCTCACCGTCGCAGCCTGTGGGAACTCTTCCGCGGCCCAAACTCGCGACCAGCTTATGCTGCGGACGATGGTGGTTGTGCCGGACTTTAAGCAACCCGCCATCCAGGCTCAACTCCAGACCACGGATCCCAGATTATTGAGAGGCTGTCGTTCTCCAACCCCACATTCTGCGGAAGGCAATCCTTGTATTCAACCACCGGGATCTGGGAACAAGTTATATTTGACCATGTGCTTACAACAACGGGAATGTGGAGAGTGGAGACATGTCAACGGATATCCGGCAATCCTCTCAGCACTATGACGTTCGAGCATGGCCAACTGCTACCATTGAAAGATGCTTGAAGGGAGACTCACATCTTTGAGTAAAGGCATATCAGATTATGCGAACCACAACACAACGATCTCGTGACCTCAAGGCCAGCTGGTTTCGACGACGGGTCTCTCCGACTCTCTTCAGCCCATCCCTGCATTGTTGAGGGAATGGAACAGAAAACTCTGCTGATTATAAAATACATGTATGGAAGGTTCTTCGGGTACTGTGCCCAAAGCTCTGTCGAAAGCAAGGATCCTTCTGAGTAGCGTGCTCGAAGATTGGACTCAATCAAGGAAGCAGATTGTTCAAAAGCCCTTGACTGGGGCGATCTGACGCCTCTCATATATACACAGGTCATGCTTTCAACTCTCGGAGTTTCCTGCCCTACACACAACGACCAGCTCTCGAAGACTCCACCTAGATCTTAGCTTTTCTCTACAAGGCTGTCAGGGATCACCGCAAGCTCTCAATTGAGAGCCTCTTCTTCACCATCGTCCATGTTGACATGTATGTACCATGCAACTCTTCGCGTTCGTCTAGGAATCCCGGCACTGAGATACTGTCGACGAACTTTGGCATCACTCACGGACCGAAAGACTGCTGGCATATCCTGTCATTTCAACCACGTCGATGATTGATGGATGCCTGGACAACGGGCAGAATACAATGCCGGCGATTTGCTTCCCTGTGAGCCACGATGGCGGCGAAATCACCGCTGCTGAAAGATGTTCACGATACGCTCTGCGAAACCGTCCCATTACTATCATCAACATGAAGCAGTCCCCTGGGCTGACAAAACGGCCATCAGGCGATCTTCTCTGTAGCCTTGCACCATCTCGCTGGGGGAGTACTCGAAAGTTTCGGCGCCAGCACTCGAGTCGTTTATCGGGAGGATCATCTGCAGTCAGCAGCAGTAATCGAACATCGGCACGTAGCCCATCCGTCTCCCACCTCCCTAATCTGACCCTCAACCACACAGGCGCCTGGAGAAGAGAAAGCGCTGCAGCAGGAGGGCCGCAGTACAAACAATCATCCAGAACATCAGTCTGGTCTCAACTCCAATCCTCCCGCTCTGCGCACGTCGCAAAGTACCCATGGATCGATCCATCATCCTAGGGGCACTAACAGAAACAGAGAAGCTTTCATCCATCGGCCCGGCACTGACGATTCGAAATGCTCCACAACTTCTGGCGACGATTTCAGAGCTAGTCAGCGGAGTCCCACACCGGATGAGGATATGAAGGAGGAGGTCTCGCAAGAATCGGACTTTGAGCCTTTCGACGACGATTTACTGCGACCATTGCGCTATTCTCAGGTTGCGGAAATGGCGAGTCTGTTTCCCATTCCTGTAAAGTCCAGGTAAGCGCTCATGTTGTTGAATTCTGAAAAACGGCTGTTGACATGCAGAATCCAGCGGCTTTAGCATTGGTAGCGACGGTACTCGTAAAGAGCGCAGGCTTCGCGCTCTCTCCCCCCAACACTCCATATCATCCCTACCAAGACCATCATCTGCACTTTCAAAGTCGCCAAAGAAGACTGCAGCGTCAATATTCAGCTTCGAATCTCAAGCGGGAAGTGATCGGACCGCCCCATTATCTCCAGGACTTCCTTCACCATCTACCTCTGACTTCTCACACAGCTTGAAAAGCTCAACCACCTTGTCCAAAAAGCTGTTGGCGGATTTACATGATAATTCGCGGGCCAACGGCGATACGCTGAAAGCCGAAACCAATGGCGAGGACGGTTCTGATTTCCGGAATGGCCTAAAACACGCCCCAAGCTCCAGATCTACAATAGTACCAGGAATCTACTCTCTAGAGCGTCGTACGGAAGAGCTCTACAGCGCCGAGCATTTGGAATTCATCTTGGGAGATGATGAGTTTCTCCACAAGTTCACACAGTTCTTGCGCATCTACAGGCCCTCGAGAGAACCCATTCTTGCACACTATTTAAGCGCCAAGAAAGCCATTCAAGCACTTGCATATGCCAACGCACTGACTGCATTACTGGCTGAACGGAAACTTCCGTATAAATGTCTCCTTCACCCACCTTCCGGCGTCAGGAACATGGAACTGGATCTTGCCGCCAAGCAGGCATTTGATGAGCTTCTGAAGGATGACCTGCATTATTACATTGCTCATATCTGGACCGACTCGATAAGTGCTCTGATCAAACAGAGAATCACAGGAACTCTAGCACCATACATTCGCGAATCGCATGCTGGACTGGGAGAGGTGTTTGTCATTGCTGATCCACGTAGAGAAGACTGTCCGATCATATTCGCCTCGGAGATGTTTGCTTCACATACAGGTTTCAGTCTGGAATACATCATCGGGAGGAATTGTCGATTTTTACAAGGACCGCGTACCACTACAGATTCCGTGCGACGTTTTGCGATTTCCAACAAGGAAGCCAAGGATCATACGGAGATACTTCTCAACTATCGAGGGGATGGGACTCCTTTTCTCAGCATGGTAATGAACACGCCATTATTGGACAGGTATGTTTTGCTGGGATTGGAAGCCACAAGACGTGCGTGCTAATATTAAACATAGCTTCGGCAAGGTCAGATATTTTCTCGGTGCACAGGTGGACGTCTCTGGCCTGCTGCAAGATTGCACTGGCCYGGAGAGTCTGAGCAGACTTCTTGAAAAGCGAAACGAGCATCGAAACGACAGCGTGCAAGATGATGGTGATGGGCATGGGCCTGATCAGTATGCCACCCTGAAGAATCTGTGTCAGAAATTCACCGCGGCAGAGCTTGCCATAATAAACAAGGAGAGTCAAACCTTCAATCGGAAAGAGTACATGCCGGATGATGCAGCTCCGCGACGCAAGATCTCGATTGAAAAACGACTCTTCCTCGCCGATGGGAGCGAATCCGACTCGGAAGATCAAAGCGAGTCAACAATACTGTACCCGGAGCATCCTCCCGCAGAACGACCAATATCGACCGGAAAATTGCCAGGCGCGTACAAAGACGTGAGTCTCTTTTCATCACAATACTTTCCGATGATTGCTAACCCTCCCAAGTATCTACTCCTCMGACCCGCCCCCTATCTCCGCATCCTCTTCTCCTCCCCATCAATCCGTGAGCCAGGTTTACTCCAAACCCCTTTCCTAAACCGTATCGGCGGAAGCAAGCGAACACGACGAGGTCTCGGCTCAGCACTCAAAGCCTCACAACCAGTCACAGCGCGAGTCCGATGGTTACGAGCCGCGAATGAGAATGGTGAAGGCGAAGGAATTACTCGCTGGTTACATTGTACCCCTCTGTTGAATTCTTCTAATCAGGTGGGTATGTGGATGGTGGTTATTGTGCAGCCGGAAAAGGAGATTGCTGAGTCGGTGTATTCTGATAAGTCGAGTCGGACGACTATTCGGAGTGGATGATTTTTTTGGAAGAATGGGGGAGATAGGAGGTGTGGAGCGAGATGCTTCAATTGTTTAAACTTCTTTCATGGCATGTCTTTAAGAAAAACCGAACATGATTTAACCCGAGCGGCTGGGCTAGAGACTAGTCAGTTTTAATGGATCTTGTACATGTAAAATAAAGACCGTAATGCTATACCACATATGATTGCAGACAACACTTTCCATCAAGTTTATCATTCGTGCTAATCGTAGATATGTGGTCGATTCTACCCAAGGTAGGTCTCACCGAAGGGCAATTGATTCCTCCACTACAGACAAATCGCAGATTCCTTATGACCATTCTGCCGCTCTGGCGTATTATACTAACACTGCAGAGCAATTCCACTAGCACGACTAGTAGTCTTCCCTTGACGGGGAAGGTAGGAGACGGCAATATGCTAGGAGAAAGTTTCCCTAACAACTGCTAGCTCCTTGAACAATCTATTATACGTTCTTACGAATTATTTTCTACACATAGTTTGTTTGTTAGACAGACCCTCTTAAAGAAGACATCGTCTGTGGACGAGGTATATTAAGAAAAGAGGTCCAAGTCAACCTCCGTATAGAATTAACTTCGACGACGACGGATAGTATCCTCGGAGAGGTAGTAGATTGCGTGTTGAACGGAGATCGTGGCGTCGTATGTAAGTGGAGTTAGGAATGTTTTATTCTCCTCTATTACCTGGTTTCTAATGAGGGAGATCTTGTAGGACCGGCGTTTTTTGTGGATTTGACACCAGTCCCGCTTTCAGCCATGGCTGGCGAAAATGATGTTTTCTTGGGCAATGGAGTTCCTGCTTGTAAGAAGAGCTCGCGAGCGAAGCCTTCGTGGGAACTTGCATTACCAGTTCCATGGCATATCGTGTGCTATGTCAGGTGAGTACGATTTCGAAGACATTGGAAAATACTTCAAGACATGTACTCAGGACAAGATTACCCTCGATGAAGTTGGTTTGAACATGGAGACCTGGTAGACTTTCAAATCGATGTAAATCGGGCTTTGGATCTATACTCAACAGCAAGTGTCTTCCCGGCCTGTGTTGAAGTTCAAGCTTGCCGTGATTGTTCTGAAGCCTTCGTATAATGGAGGATTGGAAGATTTTGTTCTGCAGTACGGCTCCAGGCATCATCAAGTTCTCGAAAGATGCGGACCATGTCGACGTTCCGGTCAAATGGGAAAATGAGGAGAACGACATTGTAGTCTGGGGTATTAACTTGCGGATGTCACCGTTCGTCTGTCCTACCCACACCACTTGAGTAGTATCTCGACTGTGTATGAGACGATGTTATTGCATGTGAGACGAGCGACGGCAAGAACAAGAACGGACGGGAGCTTGGCATCTCGGAAGCCGGCAGCATTTGTGGACCCTGACCCAGAAACGCGTTGTACCTGCCCAAGAGTTCCCTTTCCACTCCTCGAACATTCACTTCACATTTTGGTTATTGCATGTGACAGCCACCATGCGGACCTCCAGCCAAACACATAGGATATCATGAACGTTCAACATGTATTCCAACAAAACCTGCGCCGCCTCACTCGCCGCTTCTCCCTCCTGCGGCGCCTCTCCCTGACCACGACCATCATCACCTTGGTCTGGCTATATGTGATACACACCGGAGAGCGATCCACCTATTCTTCACACATCAATGCTTGTCAATGGAATCAATGGGAGAAATGGCCGGCAGAAGCGACACCGCATCGCTTGGTGATGGTCGCGGACCCTCAGCTGGTTGATCCCCACACATACCCAGGCCGTCCATGGCCGCTGTCAAGCCTCACGGAGACGTACACCGACTTGTACATGGCCAGGAACTTCCGACTCATCAATATCGACCTGGATCCGGACAGTATAGTCTTCTTGGGGGATCTCTTCGATGGAGGACGAGAGTGGGCTACGAGCCGGGCACGGTACCTTAGGGATTACCAGAGGGATCATTTGGTGCAGTTGGRCATATTGAACGAGGCCGAAAGAGAAGGCACACGTATGCTGAGTAATGGCGACGGGAAGAAGGTCGACTTGAAAGACTATGTGCATGGAGAAAAGGGGAGATGGAAGAAATACCAGCAGCGGCAGTGGAATGCCGAGTACGCGCGATTCGGGAAGATATTCTTCGCACCGGAGCAGCTGTATCCGCTTGCTGACAGGGAGCTACTCCCCGCCTATGATGCGCCTGAAGACCCGGTGGCCATCGCGAACGGAGCAGCGGCTGTGGCCTGGCAAGAGTATGCCACTGTAGGAGGGAAGCAGAAGAGAGTCGTGACCAGCTTGTCTGGTAATCACGATGTGGGCTTTGGATCGGGAGTGCAGGTTGCTGTGAGAGATCGCTTCGAGGCACATTTCGGGGAAACGAACAGTGTCTATGTGCTTGGAAACCACACCTTCGTCAACCTGGACACACCGTCTCTATCAGCCTATGAAGAGTACAACAAAGACTACACGGAAAGGTCAAGGGCGGACTTGGCGCACATCTGGAAACCCGCAAGTGACTTTCTAGATACACTGGACAAAAGTGGCTCGCGAGTTGCAGCAGAGGCTTTGAACGATTTCTTTCCCGGCGCGCATCGAGTCCAGAGCTTTCGCCACGAGGTCACGGACTCTAAAGATGCCCTTCCTCATCCGTCGATGGAATCATCAAGGAAGAAGCCACAGCTTCCTGTCGTCCTCCTCACCCATGTCCCGCTCTCTCGCGCAGAGGATGCTGACTGTGGTCCTCACCGAGAGCGTGGTCGTTCCATTCCCATCGCTCTCGGCTATCAATACCAGAACGTGGTAACACCTGGGTTGACTACAACGATTGCACAGAAAGTTGGGGCCGCAGGAGAGATTGTGCATGTCTTTTCTGGAGACGATCACGACTATTGTGATTTGATGCATCGCTTCAATGTTGATCAAAAGTCAAAAGGCTCATCCAAAAGTTGGATCGGCATTTCCAACGTGCGAGAGATAACACTCAAGAGCTTCAGCTGGGCGATGGGTGTGCGGAAACCTGCATTCCAGCTTGTGTCCTTGTGGAATCCCGTGGATTCTTCTGGTAACACGATTGGGGGTGCGYAAACGACCATCCAGAGCCACTTGTGTCTTTTGCCCGACCAGCTGGGCATATTCATCAACTACGCCTCACTTCTTGTATTGACCGCCGTGGTTTTGCTTGTCCGCGGAGTGATCCTGGCACTTCGCAAGCCCAAGCCTGCGGATGTGGAGGACGAGGATGATTTCGTTGAAGAAGCCGAGAAGTTCGCGTTACCGCGCTTCGCACATTCACGCTCTCCCAGTCCCCTTCCCCTGCCACAACCAAACGGTCGTGCAAACGGCTATTCTAGCCCTAACAAAGTCCCCACGAATGAATCCAAGGGACGCCAGCGCGCGAGTTCGACGAGTACCTCACACGGGAGTAACAGTACCAATAATCAAAATCTCAGCGTACAGCGCAGCTACAATGCGAGAACAAGAAGTGTCAGTCCAGCTTTGAATGGCAACGGCGGCGGCTATGGCCTCCCAGCAGGCCAACTCACCGAAAAAGCCGGGTTCCTCCCGTCTATCAAGTGGCAGGATCCCGACGAGGACAGCGATGAAGAATCGCACGTCGGGTCTCATTATGACTTTGGTGRTGCATGGGACGACAGTCAAGCCAAGGGCACCAAATTCAAGAAAAAGAAGACCATTGGCCAAGCCAGAATGGCCGTCATGTGGTTTCTGGAGGGAATCGCTACAGTTGCAATTCCTGCTGGTCTATTCTATGGTTGGATGATACGGAATGGCTGACGCTAATCTACGACTACACTCGCACGTACGTACATACATTCTACATGTACATGCATGAAGCCTTGTTTTTTTTTCTTCTTCAAACATAAACCATCTCCCGGCTCTTGACACCAAATCCCTCTCCATCTTTCATCCTCACCAAATCGGGATCCCGCTCAAATTCATCCGGTGTGTGCGCTGTTCCCAAATGCTTCACCAGTGCATCCACGGATTTACACAGACAATCCATGTCTCTGAATCGATCGCAAAGCACACATGCGAACCCCCCTTCGGGTCGGTGGCATTTCACCACAAATCTACTGTCCATGCGATATTCTCGCACTCCATGTCGACCTGGGAAGTGTGTACTCAATACCCAAACATCGCGTGTGTCGACGGGGATTGAAATATCGCACGCCGGACAGCGATGATCACCTGCAGGGCGAAAGGAAGTGCTGAGTGGTTTCTTCGAAGTTTGGAGATCCACGCTGTATTTGCAGAATAATTCATACGGAGCTTCCGGGAGCGTCTTTTGCGCTTTGGAGTGGAAATCTTGTTTTTGTTTTAGTGGGGAGGAAGATGAGGAGTTTCTCGGTGCTCGGGAGATCATTGATTGGGATCTTTTCATCGAGGTGTCGTTGTTGGATGTCGTCGGGATTGGCATTCCGGAATCTCTTCGGGGCTTTGCTGCGGGACTGGCTGCTGCTGCTGTTTTGCCATCGATTTGGGTGACGTTGGTTTTGGCGACGGTCGTTGACGCTGTGCCTTTGTCCATTAAAGAGGGTGCACTATTCACCAAGGAAGCCATGTCTCTCTCCGGAGCATTCGCTTTTGATTTCGATTTCCGGGATACGGGAGATGTCGACTTTCTTCTCGGTGGTGGCGAGCCGGCTCTTGACTTTTGTCTTTGGTTGTCCCTTCCACGATCGAGATCTTTCGGAGTTACCTTGGCGTCGATAGTCGCGACTGCTGTGGCCGCACGGCTTGGCGAAGACTTTCTCGATGCACGACGGGAACCTGTTGTGGTAGGAGGAGATCCCAACGCCATACGTGCCATGTCCCGTTGGACTCCAGGGGGTGGTGGCGGAGGGACCGTCGAAGAGCGACGAAATCCCTCATCGATTGATTCTCGGCCGACCATGGCCGTCTCGCGGACTGCAGTCGGAGAAGAACGCCAGGGAGGATTATTGGCAGGCTTGGCAGGCTCGATTCTTAGCCGAGCGGGTTCATGCTCGTACGTAGCGACTTCGATCGGACTGCCGTCCCGGATAAAGCCTTGGGGAGGTCGTCGGTATGCGATTCGATTGTATTGGCCATTGAGAGCATTAATGGAGCCATCACGAGCACTATTCTGCGCAGCAATAAGTGTGTCGAGGTCGTCCCGAGATAGGCCTCGTCCGGTATTGAGGGCTTCTTGAAGAATTCCAATGACGGTTTGTTGGAGGCGGATTGTTTGAGCTTGGAGGGCATTTTCTGTGATTACTGGGGTATTACAGTCAGCCATGCACGACACGAGACAAGTGAAAGGGAGGAGATTTCGACTGACAATCACCCTGTGCGTAAATTGGTCCCAAACGCTGGAGATGGTCGTTGTAGGTCCGTTCAATCATGGCCTGTGATCGACGGGTCGCTTCTGCAAAGTACATGTTGTCTTCCCATTCCTCGCGACTTCTTCGTCGTCGTCTACTCCTCGACCGGGATCTGGATGATGATGACCTGGACCGTGGTCTTGAGCGATCATCTTTCTTCTCATTGTTGTTATCTTTTCCATTCTTCTCTCCCTCTTTCGCCCCCTCATTTCCCTCCCCGTCGTTGTTATTGTTGGTGTTGTCGACAGCTTGCAACTGTTTGAGTTTTTCTTGAAGCTCCTTCAACGCTTTGTTCTGTTTGGTATCCAGTTCACTCTGCTTCGCTCTCCTTTCTCGCTTCTCCTCGATTTTGTCGTGCAAGGTAGTCGCAGCCTGGAGAGTTCCAATCACCGTAGTGACCAAAGTGGCGAGTATAAACGTTTTCTACACCTTTCATGTAAGTTGTTGCAACATCGCAAGCAGGCCCTCTCTCATGTAGTCATCTCATACCTTGAGTTTCGCATCTTCAATCAAATTCGCGTAATTCATTTTTCTCTTTGGTGGAGGCGGCGGCGGCGGTGTTGGTTCCGCCTGTGGGGAGGCATTAGCTATGTAGAGTCCTCCGCATGAGATGGACAGCTTCCCATATGTCTCTCGCCCCGGTGACGTTTCAACCGAAGCAAGAGAGAGCAGCAGCGAGGCGAAGTGTTGGGCTTGGCGATGAGCGGTAAGATACGATGAGCCCGCACGGGGCGAGTCGCACACCAAACAGCGCACGGGGCGTCGTCATCCACCCTTTATTACATGTGTGGTTTTGCTGGTCGTGCGCCCGCTTGAAGCACCTGTTCTTCCCTTGTGCCCCGGTTCCAATCACGCGGACGGGATTGACGTCGGGCGTGAGATGCCGGCCGTGAGATTCTCGGATCTGGGATCTGGAGGTATGGGGTCATCCCTGCAAAACTGCGAATGGCCCCATGTCTTGAGACAGTGGTCATGGCGGGATGACTGGGAAGAGCCTGGGAGGAGTTTGTGATTGTAGTATAATTTGTAGATCGTTGCGGAGTGCTCGCTCGAGCTATTTTAAAAGTATCTCTGTCCCAACGATACGGTTCTCTCTGCGAACAAGTTTCGTGCCAGATCTTGTCTTTCCGTTGGGTACGAATGCAGCGTCTTGTATTTCGTCTTGTCTTTCGTCATTGCTAGTCCGCATAGCGTCCTGCATGATGGTGTACTGACGGCGCTGGAAGATCTTCGTAGCGACTGCAAAGATGGCGGTGTATTATTCTGAAGCTTCTTTCCAATACTCCCATGTTCTCGGATGGCGCCGTAAAAGTCATGGGTATCTTGCCTGGCCAGGATCATGAGTCGTGGGCTCGACGTCTTTATCTCGCCTTTTCCTGTCCGAGCAAGAAATTGCTGAAGCGGATACTGGAGTGGACGCTGGAGTAGACTATCCTATACAACGCGTCAGTAATCATGATGTTTTATTGGTCGGCGAATAGCAAAGCCTCATCACGAGATACTTYGTCCTGGAAATGTCCTGCTGGTTAGCTTGTCGCACAGTCTGTCTTGCAGTCTGCGAGCTGGAGCCGCTATGAAACCTCAATGGGACGGAGGTGACAGACTTCCGGAAACACCGGGGCAGCTCCAGCCAGTCTTTTGCGAAAACTTTCATTCACTTCCWCACAACGCTAGCCATGTCTGTAAGTCAGCTTTGACGATATCTTTACACGATTCCTCAAATCTCCGTCCAAATGTTTCTGCTCAGTGCATGCATAGCGCATTGTCCGGGAAGCACAAAGATTACTGCAATGCATGCTCATCTGCAAGACTCGCAAACTCCAGTCCACCCCAGGCTTGCGATTTCCTACTGTGTAACTCCGGGACATGATCCACGCGCACAGTTGTGTAGCTGGAATGTTGGCAGTCCTTCGCGGTGATCCTCATCATCGTCTCTCTGCTTCGAATATGTTGGCGAGAGGGACATTCAGCCCAGCCTGCGAAATGCAGATCGAATCATTGTCTCTCTCCTCCTCCAGAATCTTCACGAAATGCTCCTGCAGTGGCGTAGCACTAGGAGGATGAGGAAAGATAGTCACCCCGGATCCTGGAGACCTGTGGGCTGATTAGTGGTCTATTGTTCGAATTCGAGCAACGTGAGCGCAAAAGCCTTGATTCGGACCGCAAAGTCCAGCTCACAAACATTGTGGAATGAATTCCCCTCCTAATCTCGTGGACCCTTCATCCGCAGAGAGTCCGAAAGCTCGCAGAAAAGTATGATCTGGCCGTCATGCTAAATGACACCATTAATGTCAATGTCACTCTGGTGTCGCCATACGTGCAGATGGTATTGTAGCAGAGGCAAGAGGTCGGCCGCAGATCACGGGCTACGAGAGATCATTCTGGGTATCTCCATCGGATTGGAGGATAAGCAGCAGCTTCTTAGGCGACTGCTATCGGATTTGAGAGTGGATAGGTAGACGTGCTGAAAATGGTTGATCTTCCACACGGACTGTTGTAGGTATCGCGTGGTGATCATTCCCCCATATTCGCAGTTTGTACCACTGTGCCGTCTTCGACGTGCGATGCTTCGTGGTGGATGAGGTGCAAAGTCAAGTGAATGTTCTCAGAATGGTGACGTCGCTTCTCTAAAGAGCAAATGTTGAGGTGGGCTGTGAGGTTGGGCTGGAGCGTAAGGTGGTATTTGGGTGCTTTGAATTTTGAAGAGAACATTCTGCCTTGGTAATCAATTTTCAATCAAAGTCCAGCAGAATTTCATACGCCGGATCAGTCTATGCCGGGTAGGTACCTTTAAGGTACGCCACTCACTTCGCCTATCGTCGGCCGGCATGCTCTGAGCTTCCATTCCCACCTCATCGTGCCGATAGACATTGGTTGGGGAGATGGTCGCGGTCGCGGTCGCGGTCGCGGTAAGTCATTCTTCTCCTTTCCCTTCTCCTCCATCCCATCCCATTCCATCCCTCTTCTCTCCTTCTCCACAAATCATCATGGAGAAGCACAACGACTTGGAAAAGGCTCGCGCCGTAGAGGCAGACATCGCTATGAGCAAGCCGACTGTACCAAAGTCAACGTGCTCTCGAGCTTCACGATCAGCATTGATGCTCTCGTCATTACTTTTGGTATTCACTTGGCTCTCATACCCAATCTACGAGAATGGTAGCCACCACGGATCCTCAACCCCCAACTCCAAAGGTCCTTCATGCCAGCAGGTAGATGCACTCTGGCCGACGAGCAACGATGCATTGAAGGACTCCTTCGATTACCTCTCCACACCCGCCTTTGAAAAGGATTCCATCGCTCGCCTCTCAGGCGCCGTTCAGATCCCCACCGAATCATACGACGATCTCGGAGAGATTGGCGAGGACAAGAGATGGGAAGTCTTCTACCCCTTCCACGATTACCTCAAGGCAACATTCCCTAGAGTCCACGAGGAGCTGAAGTTGGAAAAGGTCAACACTCATGGACTGCTGTACACATGGGATGGGTCCGATGAAAAGAGCAAGCCGGTCGTGTTGATGGCACACCAAGATGTCGTTCCTGTGGACAAGAACACTGTTGATTCATGGACACACCCTCCGTATAGTGGGCATTTCGACGGTACCAACATTTGGGGCCGTGGTGCTGGTGATTGTAAGAATCAGTTGATTGGTATTCTGGAGACTGTAGAGGTGTTGCTGAGTGCAGGCCACAAGCCCAAGCGCACCGTCGTCTTGTCCTTTGGCTTTGATGAGGAGATCAGCGGTCGGCATGGTGCTGGGCATCTGGCCAAGTTCCTCCACGAGCGTTACGGTGATGATGGTGTTGCGGCTGTTGTGGATGAAGGGAGGGGCTATACCGAGTTCTTTGGACGAGGATATGCCGTGCCTGGCGTGGCRGAGAAGGTGAGTGCAATTTCATATCTACGGGGATATCGCTAATGGCTGTTGAATCTCAGGGCTACACAGATGTCGACATCAGAGTCCGCACGTCCGGTGGCCACTCTTCCATCCCCAAAGATCACACCAGTATTGGTATCCTCGCTGAGATCATCACCAAGATCGAAGCGGTCCAATACCCATCTTATCTTTCCGAGAAGAACCCATATCTTACATTCCTCCAATGCGGAGCCGAGTACGCACCCGACTTCCCCAAGAAGCTCAAGAAGCTTCTCCACAAGCACGATTCCAAGAAGACATGCCCGGCGCAATCCGATCCTCTCGCCATCGAAGCCGCCAAGCTAGGCGCCGAAGTGAAGTATCTGATGCRAACCTCCCAAGCAGTAGATGTCATCAAAGGCGGCACCAAAGTGAACGCCATGCCTGAGACTGCTGTCGCAACAGTCAACCACCGCATCAACATCGGCGACAAACCCGAGAACGTATACGCTCACATCGCCCACCTCCTCAAACCAGTCGCACAAAAGTACAACCTCTCCCTACACGCTTTTGACGGAGAAGATGCAGCTTACAATGCCATTTCCCTCTCCTCCTCCCCCAATACCCTGCAAGTCGCACCTGTGACCCCCACAAACGTCGACGCCGTGACGCCCTATGCCGTCCTCTCCGGCACGATCCGTGCGTTGTATGGAGAAGACACTWTTGTTGCTCCGGCTTTGATGACGGGCAACACGGACACGAGATATTACTGGGCTTTGACGAAGCATATCTTCCGCTTTGGACCTGGATATGTTAAAGAGGACGACTTTTCGTTGGGGAGCATTCATACTGTGAATGAGAAGGTTAGTGCTAGTAACCATTTCAAGGTTGTTAAGTGGTTCACGCTGTTTTTGAGGAATATGGATGAGGCCGAGTTGGAGTAGGTAAGGGAAGGAGAGCACGTCTTGATGATTGAAAGGTAGCACAGAGGCGCAACGTCTACATGAGAAATGCCAATTTGGAATGACACTACGTATTTGAAGAACTTCTATCCCTTGTCGGTTCGCATTCACTCTGCTCCTTGCCCTCAAAGCCAAATTCTCGCTGCACATTCTTAATGGAGAGCAGAAATCGTGCAATGAACCTAAGCTTTTTCATCCCACGACTGCTTCGCCTCCATACCGTAGCTTCGTCGCGCCTCTCGTTCCCAGCACGGCCGAAACCTACTCCCCAATCGTCATCACCTTGTCGAACCCATGCATAGTGCCATTGTGGATCAAATAGAACTCCTTCGCCAGCCGGTCGAATTCAGCGGTGAGCTTGGGCTTCCCGACAATTCTCTGGAGCTGCGACAGCAAGAGGAGTGGCCTCACAACTTCGTATGAAGCGATGGCGAAAGTTGGATCGAGAACGACTTTGTCGATGCTCAAATTGACCCCGTATCCGCAGGCCTTGAGCCATCCAATATAGCTAGTAATCGCGCCATTGTGATCGCGTTGGTATATTTGAGCATTCCCAAGAGCCGTATAAGCAGGTATCATGACTGGTTTTGTCGGGGCGCTCGCAGAGATGGCTCCGTACGTCTCATTGATCTTGCGAACCATTTTGGCGATGTCTTGCACCGCAGTTGGACTCTTCGTAGCGCGTACTCTAAGTTGCTCAAGATACTGGGATCGCTTCTGTTTCGTGTCGTTGCTGGTCTGGTCTTCGACTGAACAGGACAGACAGGTACACACAAAGCCCCAAGCATCGTTGAGGTGGTATTGCATTTCCTTCTGGTCCATCGTGTCTTTGTAGCCGATTGTGATCTCATCCCCAATAGAAATGTCCTTGGTAGCACGCATGACCAACAGGTCTCCGATAAAGCAATGACTAGCGGTTCCAATACAAGAATGATTGGCCAATGTCACCGTGGGCCAGATTCCCCTTCCGGTGGTGGCTCCCCATGCTCTCGGGTCGCCAAATGGAGCGCGGCAACTGCTCGGGTTGCGGGCAATACCAGTACTGAAACAATTGTAATGGAGAATCTCATGGATCTGGAAAAAGTCCAACACTGGCATTCCATCCACCAAAGGAGTGCAAGGCTCTGGAGATCCGGTGGATGGCTGTCCATCGTACAGGCTCAGTACCTTTGGAGCCAGCGACGGATTGTCGTGCAGTTTCTTCAGCAGTACTCGGTGCATAGCCCCGGTCTTGATGGTGTAGGCGGCTGCTCGAGCGACGTCGAGTTTCAGTGTTTCATACGCGCCGATATCGTTCTCGTACACAACGCAGGTGGCTTTCTCACACAAGATCAAATCACCCATCTTGATCGGTGCCGTTGAGAACAGGCCACGTCCTCTCCCAGGACTAGCACGCACTTCCACCTGCTGGAGAAAATCCGCAGCGTCGACACGAGGTTTCGAAGTAGAGAGTGCGGCGATGATCTTCTCAAAGTCGTACTTTCCGGATTGCTCGACGAGTCTCGCGGAAGTGCGGGCGAGCTCCCGTGTTGAATCTCTGTCGGTAGGATCCAGACGAAGATTGGATTCGAAGTGCTCACTTGCTTGCTGAAAGTCGCCAAGCTGATAAGCCGAAAGCCCTGCGCGGTAATACGCTTTAGCATCGAGACTCTTCGACCTGGGATCGGTGCCTTTCGTCAAGGAAGAAAGCGCGTCTACTATGGCAGCATCGAAGCGGCAAAGTTTCAAATGTACCAACGCACGGTTCCGCGTAATGTCATGCGTCAGCTCGTCTTGCTCGCTCACTGATATACCTTCCGTGTACTGTGCAAGCGCATGAACCAGTTGTCCGTTCTTCAAAGCTTTGTTCCCCTTCTCCTTGCACCTTAACGCATATGTGTTTCCGTCGTCCACGACTGCTCGAAACGAATTGGGGACGCGCAGATCAGTAGGCAAAAGCTGCACCACGTCCGAAATATGCTGGACCAGAATGTGAGCGCTCGCCTCGTCGCCTGCCCGCGGCCGATACTGAAGCGCGCAGGCGAAGTGGGGTTCCTTGATAGCGATAATTGTCTGCGGTAGCAAGACGTCCTCTCCTGGGCGGTTGTGAGTATCGAGTCTCAGGAGAGCGACATTGCCATGTTCGTCTTCAACGCCAGTGACAAGAGTCGTGTCGCTGAGCACCAGCTGCCCCGTCTGTCGGGCGAGCACGAATTTACCCTTGTTGTGGACGTTCACAAGCAAGCTGGTGAGATTCACCTATTCGAATGTTAGCAAACGTGATCGTATGTGGATGCGCGATGCTCACCCGGTTCAGACTTTCCAAGGCGGTACTGCACGGGGGATGAGCCGGGCGGTCCACCACAAAAGCCGGATCTGGATATGATGTGAAGGCGAGTTGGTTGTCGGCCAGAAGCTGCTGCGCCAGCTCTGCGCGCGAGTACCGGGGGGAGGAAGCCCCCTCCCGTTGTGCGGTGTAGTATATCTGGCGGGTGTGATGTTGGCCCACGGCCTGAGCAAGGTCGAAGGTTTTGCCCGACACTTCCATGATGATGGTCCCGGGAGAATGTCAAGTCCACGAAAAGATAAGCTGTGAGGTGAGCATGCTTGTTTGACAGGTCCCCCAGGTTTGTTTGTCAAAAGCGGGAGAGGCCCTACCTCCTTCTCAGGCGCTCCTCCGAAATTGCGTGACTTCCGAGGTGTGATGTGACTTCCGAACTTTCCGAACTTCAATTAGTAAAGTAGTTAGGAAGGTAGGTACGGTTTTGAACTTTCTGCGGAGCATGTTTAGTCAGACTTACCCCCTGCTATACAACGGCAATACGAAGGGGCTGTGTGGAGATAGGAGAGGCCATTCGTTGTCTGCATCATCGGAGCTAGGACCATCGTAGTAATCCCACCATGACGAGACTGTCCCGCGATGAGATCGTACTTTGATGAGATTGTACCAGTATGAGATTGTACCATGATACTCCTGCGGCATTCGAATGGGCAGGGAGGAGGATTCACTCTGTGAGCCCGGATACCTGACGATCGCCGTCACAAGATGAGTGTGAGAGAATCCACCGACCTTTTGATCATCAGTGAGCCCTTCAGCCATCGGCAGTCCATACACAGCYCCGACGATACAACAGTCTGGGAGTTCATGATCAGATACGAGGCGGAGGTGACTATTTCATCGCGTCTCTGCCCCATTCTCCGCTTTGACGTCTCACGATCTGGTCTGTTGAACAATATAGGTRGGCCAAGAAGTCCTGGCATCGAAACGACTGGGAAGTTCCAGCACATGCAGCACCGCCATGGAGAAAAACATCCATATGCAATGGAAGTACCAACAGAAGATGGAGTCTGCATTGATGGACGTGTCGTCAAACGTGAAAGTGGAGACGCGGATAGTCGGTCGGACTTGTCTCCGCTCGGGACGGGATACCTAGTTCGGCGGGACCCTGAAACCTTGCCACGCGCCCCCTGTCTCCATCTCTGCTTTCCGTCTCATCAGCACAACATCACCTTAGCTTCGGCATACCCTCTACCGCCCGACTTCGTTCATGTCAGCGCAGCCTCATCTCCTTCAATCCGTCACTGTCGAAATAGGGAACCGGAAGGATATAGTCTCACGTTGCTAACAACCCACGAACCTTGGAAGAATTTCCTCAGTTCCGCCACATACCTTATTGTGCGTCGACCGGCCATACCGGTCGATATGGAACCCAAAATCGACGCCTACCTCACAGAGCCCGATCTTGTGGTGCTGAACAACCTTTTTGGCGATGTCTCTCAAGGCCTTCGCACGGAGACGAAGCCCTCGGATTCAGTCCCGCCACCAGAGACCATTGACAAGATTGCATCCACCAAGCAGGATTTCACCGAAAATGACCAGACCGCTCTGGATCGACTAAAGGCTCTCAACGATCCCACAAGCCCAGATTTCAGCCCAACTGTTTTCGTGATGTGGGACGAAAAGGACATTCCGCGTGTCCTGAACGAATACCTCGTCCGGCCTTATGCCAAATTGGCCACCAGTATCGTCCGCCATCCGACAGATGTAGTGTTCTTCACACACATCTTGATTTATCTTTTTGTGATTCTGCCAAGTGCAATTCGGCTCTTCACGAATTTCAACTGGATTCACGGCATTGCCCACTCGGTCTTCACTTTCTGGTGCGCAGGGTCATACACTCTCATGCTACACAACCACATTCACAACAACGGAGTGCTTTCAAAAGACTGGTCTTGGCTGGACTTCGCCTTCCCATACGTCACAGAGCCATTGATGGGCCATACTTGGGATTCGTACTATTATCATCATGTCAAGCACCACCATGTCGAAGGGAATGGCCCGGATGACCTGTCCTCAACCATCCGATACCAGCGGGACGATGTCTTCCATTTCCTACACTATGTTGGGAGATTTCTTTTCTTCGTTTGGATCGACCTACCCTTGTACTTCATCCGCAAGGGTAAGACTGGCCTTGCCGCACGAGCTTTCTGTTCAGAGATGGCAAGCTATGCCTTCATGTACACCATGACTAGGATCAACCCAGGAGCTGCTACTTTCGTGTTCTTGGTACCGTTTACACTGTTACGACTTGGGTTGATGGTTGGAAACTGGGGACAGCACGCTCTTGTCGATGAGATTGAGCCAGACTCTGACTTTCGCTCCAGCATCACACTGGTAGATGTTCCGGTAAGTCTTGCCAGTCCTTACTTGCTCTACCATCCAGCTGACCCCATAACCAAAGAGCAACCGCTTTTGCTTCAATGACGGCTACCACACAGCCCACCACCTCAATCCCAGAAGGCATTGGCGCGAGCAACCAGTACACTTCCTTCAATCGAAAGAAGCATATCGTCAAGGTCGCGCTTTAGTGTTCTACAACATCGACTACCTGTTCCTCACCTTCAAGCTACTACAAAAGGACTACATGCATCTTGCGTCTTGTCTAGTTCCAATGGGTGAACAAATTGGCATGTCCCAGCAGGAGCTGGCTGATATGCTACGAACGAAGACGCGGCGTTTCACCGAAGAGGACATCCAACAGAAGTTCTCTACCGGTGGAGGTGCCAAGCCAAAACGCAAGAGCGTATCTTGGTCCGCCATCATGTCCAGGACCGCAGCATCGTTGGGTTTGGCAGGCGCTGTGCCGGAGACGAGTCACTTGAAGTCCACATAGTATGTGTGCTCCATACGAAACATGATAGAACTAAATAGAAAATGAATAGATGGACCGCAATCCTTAATCCTCGAGACGACGTACACTGGGGTTGAAAGGCTCGTTTCACGGGCGCGGCCTTCAACTCTGACAACTTGGGTTGACAAAAGAGCAGATGCGAGGTCTTGCCTTCAAGGTCGATACACATATCTCATTTCTGATATGGATAAAAATGCCACTCGAGCACTCACAGATGATTCGGTTTTATGCCAAACCTCGACGACGCTCTAGTATACGGTCGACATGAACAAGCAGACCCGAGGCGACTCGCTGCTGGAAGAACATTCCAGCGCTAGCAAGTCCTCAAGAGCTGTTTGCTTCAAAAAGGTCCGTGTCTGACCCGCGTTGCTACGTTTCTACCGCCGCTTTCCAGTTCAACACCTGGAATAAGCTTCACCTCATCATCAGCAGCCCGCTCCATTTCCTCACCGCGATCTGGCTCCATCTTATGATACGAGCCCGCTTTGTCTCATCGTCGACTTGCAGCAGCGTCACAACATCCGCGCCTCGTGCGCCAACAGCACAACCTCCGAGCTATGGCGCGCGGCAAGCAGTTAGTCTCATGTAGCCTGTGGTTCGGACCCAACTGACGCATCGCAGGCCATGTCGCTCATTCCAGATGGGCAAGTGTACCAAGGGTACCTCCTGTAACTACGCTCACGTCCCCGACCCGAATTTCRTACGCAAGGTTTGTCAGTACTTCTTGAAGGGAGCATGCAGAAGAGGTGCAGATTGTACCTTTTCACACGAGAAGGGTGCCGTGGATACGAATGGCACCACAGCCACCAAGAGCAAAGGCGCCACGGCGAGTTCAGAAGCTGCTATGAAAGATTTTCGATGGAAAGTTCCCAAGGAGACTACCAAGACAAATCCATTACCACCACAAGCTTTGAGCATGTTCTTCAAGCAAGCACTGGAGCTCGTCAACAGCGACACTGGACCTATGCAAGAAGTGGTCACTCTTCTTGCTAGTGATTGTGGACTGCTACGGATTGATCAACTGCTCAGCCAGCCTTTCGACACCTTCAGTCCAGCCCAGCTCGGCAGAGTTATCGACAACTTGCTCAAGCCTTTCTTCCAGATGCTTTTGCACCCCAACGTGGTGTCTTCTGTCTTGCTGCGGTCAAAGGTCGTGACGATCTACAACATCATGTACTCTGGTGATGGTAGCGACCAGCGCTCAGTCCACTTGCTCGCCAGTCTTGCCGCTTACTTCTCAAACGCTGGTTTCCTTGATGCTCCTCCAGTCGATGGAGCAATCGATGCAGATACACTGGCTGTCTTCGAGATCACCACTCGAATCTTTTCAAACGTGGTCGAATACAACACTCTTGCGCACGTAAACCCAGGGTTCCTGCCTATCGCGGAGACTTTTACTGCACTTCTGAGTAATCTCCCTGCAAGCACCACCTTCTACATGAGCAAAGCCAACAAGGCATTTGAGAGGCTTCAGCAGCGCCTTGGAATCGGCGAAGCAATTCCTGATGCCCAGCAGCAGCAAAACTTACCTGGCGCACGTGCAACGTTCCAATTCACGCCGGATCGGCCAGGCCAACTCTCAGAAGATGGTCCCAGACATGACAATGACCACGCCAACATTTGCGAAATCTCCATCCTGCCAACTCTGCAAGAGATTCAGAGCACTCGCAACGAGTACCTTCCAGTCGCAGATCCTGCACTTTGGCATCTAGGTGGTGTTGCTGGCTTGATTGATCGTCACTTCCGCTTGTTGCGGGAAGACACCGTGGGCCAACTGAGAGACGCCGCAAAGATTGAGCTCGAAAAGCTTCAGAATCCCCAGTTTCACATCACTCCTAAGCGTCAAGCAGCTCGAACCTTCGTCTACGGCCATGTCCAAATCGCTGCTTTTAGCTTCGATGAACATCACGGCGCTCAGATCGCGCTGCGCTTCTCTCGACCTGCAGCTAACAATCAGAAGTCGAGTGATGAGAGCCGAGAGTGGTGGGAACAGTCGCGGAGGCTCGGCCCAGGCACCCTGATCTGTCTCCTCAGCTCAGAAGGCTTTGCTTCGTTCCTGGTCGTGTTGCAAGGACAGAAGCCTACAGAACTTCAGAAGGCCTTCGACCTGACGTCTGACCCAGAGAGCGCATACGTCGTCGTGAAGCCACTCAACGACAGCGACCTTCACAATATCCTGTCACTGGCAATCGACGACTCCACTTATGCGCATCTCTCGATTGTGGAGTTTCCGGGCGTGCTTCTCGCTTCTTTCGAGCCCACTTTGCGAGCTATGCAGCAGATCAGCCAGTCTCTCGACATGCCTTTTTCACACATCTTGGCTCCCACCACTTTTCCCGAACACCCCGACGAAGAGATTGCCGTCCAGCCTCCGTTATTTGCCACGAAACCAGGCTTCAAGTATGACCTGTCGAAGGTCACCACCAACAACCAGTCCTTCTCCTTCACGCCTGGCGAGGTCATCGCAGACTCTGCCACCGAGCTTGCGCAGATTGCGCCTCTTGATCCAGGCCAAGCTTATGCAGTCATTGCCTCCCTCTCGCGATCCTTTGCTGCAATTCAAGGCCCACCCGGCACAGGCAAGAGTTATACTGGGATCCAACTGATCAGAGTCCTGCTGGCCAACAAGAAGGCCTCTTCGATGGGACCCATTGTGGTCTGCACGCATACTAACCATGCGCTGGATGCAATTCTCGAACGCTCGGTCGATGATGGTGTGACGGACATGGTCCGAATTGGAAGCCGCTCGAAATCTGAGAGGCTTGAGGATATCAATCTGCGCGCTCTGGGATACCAAATCGACCTCACCAAAACCGAAAAGTCTCGACGTTGGGAGCTGAAGCAGACCATCAAAGAAGAGGCTACAGAGATCAACAATCTGCTCGAATCATTCAAGGCCGTCAAAACCCATGCAGCTGTGAAGCATTATCTTCTCGGCACCTATCCTGACTACCACAGACTCATTTTTGGGGACATCACCGACGAAAATGGATATGAGCTCGTGACACGCCGCCGAGAGTCCAAAATTGACACATGGTTCAGAACTGGTTGTCAAAGCCGTGGGCGGCAACGATCCGTCATTGACCTTCAGGATGTCCCTCTTAACCAGATGACCAATCTAGAGCGCCGAGCCATGTTCAACTCTTGGACGGCCGAAATGCAGGCCGAGCTCCACGAGAAGCTTCGTCAAGCTTCATCCTCGTACGATGCGGCCAAGAAAGAACTGGACGGGATTCGAACAGAAACAAACCTTCGCGTGCTCCACAAAGCAAGCATCATTGGTCTCACAACGAGCGGTCTCGCTCGTAACATCGAGCTCCTCCGCGATGCAGGTGCCAAAGTTTTGATCTGCGAGGAGGCCGGTGAGGTGCTCGAAGCCCACATGCTGACGGCTCTTCTTCCCTCTATTGAACAATGCATTCTTATCGGCGACCACCAGCAACTTCGCCCTCAAATACAGAACTATGATCTGTCAACGGAAAGCCCAAGTGGAAGCCAGTATGCACTTGATCTCTCCCTGTTTGAGAGGCTCGTCCAGCCACAGGACATTTCTACTCAACGACTGCCACTCTCCACATTGAACGTCCAGAGACGTATGTATCCGTCGATTTCGGAGCTTATCCGCCAGACACAATATCCTCTCTTGCAGGATGATCCATCAGTCTCGCTATATCCCAAAGTCGTCGGGATGCGCCAGCGTTTGTTCTGGATGGATCACGACGAGCCCGAAGATGACAACTCTGGCGACACTTCGAAGACAAATGCATACGAAGTTGATTTGGTGTTGGCTCTTGTGAAGCATCTGGTTTCGCAAGGCACTTACAAGCCTGCCGACATCGCCGTCATCACACCGTATCTGGGCCAATTGAGAAAGCTTCGACAGAACCTTGGCAACACGCATGCAATCTTGCTGACCGAGAGAGATGTTGATCAGCTGCGGAAAGAAGGCGGCGATGACGAAGGCATCGTGGTACCAGAGCATTTGGCAACAGACTCGAATACGTCGAAAGGCTCTCTCAGCAAAGCCATCAGACTCGCAACCGTCGACAATTTCCAGGGAGAGGAGGCCAAGATCGTCATCATCTCTCTTGTACGCAGTAACAAGACGAACAAGGCTGGCTTTCTCAGGACTCCAAACAGAATCAACGTCCTTCTTTCTCGAGCTCAGCATGGCATGTACATTATCGGCAATGCCGACACAATGGAGAGCATCCCCATGTGGCAAGAAGTCATCGACATGCTCAAAGAAGACGACAATCTTGGTGAGATGTTGGAATTGTGTTGCCCCAGACATCCCGATACCGCAATACTTGTCGAGCAGCCTGGCGACTTTGCACGTCTATCTCCAGAGGCTGGCTGTGATCTACTTTGCGAGAAGCAGCTTTCGTGTGGGCATGCGTGCATTGCCAAGTGTCACTCCGACATGCTTCATGGAGCGGTGCATTGTCTGAAGCCATGCACGAGGATCAAAGATGGCTGCGAGCACCTTTGCCTGAAAGTTTGCGGTGATACCTGCGACAGACGTTGCAATGCTCCCGTTATGGGTGTTGAGGTTCTGCTTGGCTGTGGTCATACGAAGACTGCCATGCCATGCTACCAGTACCAGAAGCCTTCCACCATACCTTGCGAAGAGCCCGTCAGGCGATTGATTCCTGGTTGTAACCACGAGATTACCACGGAGTGCCGCATCAACGTCGACAGTCCCGGATATGGCTGCTTTGCTGAGTGTGGTGCAGTATTGCCTTGCGGCCATATCTGTCAAAAGGCCTGCTACCGTTGTAACACCCGTGAATATGGCAGACTCACAAAGACCGATCATGGAACATGCGAGCAAACGTGCGATCGTGGATACAGCACGTGCAAGCACCGATGCGCTTCTACTTGCCACGGAGACRAACATTGTCCACTCTGCCTGAAGAATTGCGACACCCGCTGCTCCCACGCACTGTGCGGTCAGAAATGCTCGGAGGCTTGCAGTCCCTGCCTTGAAGAGCAATGCGTTTCTGGAACCCTCTGCTTTCACAACAAGCCTTGCCCAATGCCTTGTGCTGCCCCTTGCACTTGGGTGCCTTGTTCTGAGCGGTGCGACAAGACTCTTTCTTGTGGCTGCAGATGCCCTTCGGTTTGCGGAGAGGAGTGCCCGGATGAGAGGTTCTGTCAGAAGCATGGCAGCGACGACGTCAAAGCTATGCAAGCTGATCTCATCATGTTCACTCCGTATGAAGATGTCGACMTCGATACTGATCCGTGCATCTTCACTCCTTGCGGTCACATCTTTACCATCGACTCTCTTGATGGTACTATGGGCATGCACGAGTACTACGAGACCGACCCGCTCACTGGAAGATACACCGGACTCAAGACGTCTGCCGAGCCCTTCTCCATCGAGGAATCCAAGCCTTGCCCAGAGTGCCGCAGTTCGCTACGCAGCCTCGCTCGCTATGGACGCATCGTTCGACGAGCTCTTCTTGATCAAAGTGCCAAGAGACTAACTGCTTGGTCGAACAAGAGGCATCAAGAGCTGGCAACGTCTCTGGCGGATCTTGAAGGCGAGCTCATGGATTCCATCGACTTCCCACGCAAGCCAACGCAGAATATCGTGCTAGACGGCCCATCTACCTCGCAACGCAAAACCGTGTTGAATTTGAAGACCTCGAAGCGCTATCGTAGGATCTACCAGCTCATAAACGACATTTCCGCCTTCCGCAACAAAGTCAGCAAGGCGGAGCAGCCCTATCAACGAGTACACGACCTGGTTGAGGTCGTCCGACGTCAGAACACTACCTCGTCCTCGATTGCGAAGTTTGAGTTTAGTAGTGAGGAGCTGCAGCTACGCGAGCACTTGCAGGCTGGAAATCTTCTCATTCGTAGCGTCATGATCATGCTGGGCGATGTGATCAAAGTCCACGGCGAGACTCCACATGACACGCGAGGCATTCTGAGAGTGGACTTTACGACAAACCGTGAGATGTGCGAGCAACTGATCGATGAGGCTGGAACCAGCAAGAATCTTCGTCAGCAGGCGGAGGCGCAGATCCACTGGGCCAAATTTGCGGCGCTGGAGTGCGGTGTCTTGAGCAATGTCTCTGAAGACGAGGATCCTGGAGTGCTGCATCGTACTGATATGTTGAAGAAGAAGGCACTCAAGCTCCTGGGCTCCATTGATCTGGAAGCGGCTCCGTTGAAAGATCTCGCGGAGGAAGCAAAGGACGTTCGGAGAATGCTCAAGGAGGGAGGCATGTCCGTTTCTGAGATGAGAATGGTTGTGCGAGCTATGGCGAAGGAGTTCGCTGGCACGGGACATTGGTATCGGTGTGAGAACGGACATCCGTTCACGATTGGAGAGTGCGGAATGCCAATGGAGCAGGCGAAGTGTCCCGAATGTGGAGCTGGAGTGGGAGGACAGCAGCATGTTTCTGTTGGAGGTGTTACCCATGCTCGGGATATTGAGGAGAGGTTTGGAGGTTTGGAGCTGTGAGGTGAGGTGAGACTGGGTGAAGCTTCCAGGTGATGAAGAAGGAGGAATGCCTGCTTGAAGAAAAGCTTTCTGTCTTCATTTTCTTGCTGAGGACATCGACTGACTAGGTACTTGGTAGTTTCCTTGGAGGTCAATGCAAGCGGTGACAGCAATTCCGCAATGAGGTGATTTTTGGCCAAATTTCATTCTTGAGGAACCCCCGGCGGAACAATTGCTGCCCCTCGTGATAACCAAAAACTACAACAACCATTATAGCTTGCTTGCAAAGTATTAGTGGAATGAAGTCCGCCAATTCAATCACTGTAATTTTCACGCAAAGCTGTCGATATGAGTGTTCCAAAACAAAAACAGCGCCCTGAACTGCTCTCTCGATTGATCGACGAGCCACTCTGCTGGTGACGAGGGATCCAGTAGGCTTAAAACCGTCGAGCCTGCAGAGAGCAGAGAGTAGGAAGCGAGCCTCCGACCTAGGAGAGCATTGCGTTCAAGGCCAAGGTAGAGATGAATTCATTGTCCCACTCACGAGTGAAGGACTTCAAACTGAGAGCCGCCTCAAAACAGCAACTTTCACGCAAAGCTGTCGATATCAGTATTCGTCAACAGGAATGATGCTTTGAAATGCTCTCTCAGTTGATACACGGGCCACTCTGCTGGTCGCAAGGAATCTAGTAGGTCTAGAATTGTCGAGCCTGCCTGCGGAGAGAAGAAAGCGAGCTTCGTTCACGCAAAGCTGTTGATACAAGTTTCAATACATTGAGGARAATAGCGCCCTAAACTGCTCTCTCGATCAATTGATGGGCCACTCTGCTAGTGGTAGGAAATTTAGCAGACTCAAGGCCGTCGAGCCTGCGGAGAGTAGACAGCGAGCTTCGTTCACGCAGAGCTGTTAACATAAGTTTCAATAACTTGAGGGGAACAGCGCCCTAAACTGCTCTCTCGATTAATTGACAGACCACTCTGCTAGTGGCAGGAACTCTAGCAGGCCTAATTTCGTCAAGCCTATGGAGAGCGAGAGCAGAGACCAGAGACCAGAGAGAACGGGACACACTAGAAAATAGCCAAGAGATCATCTATGACGTCAATAACGGCATACCGATGTTCCGACATGTTAAAACTGCCTTTGACCTGGCTCGATTCGTCATTGTCTGTCCCACTCACGATTGATGGCCGTCAAAGTGAGAGCCGCTTCAAAGCTGTCGTCCTCGATGMGACTCTCTTTTCCGCCAGCCAAAATAAAGTGTACGCTGTCAACGGTGAGCGTACTACTTGGAAAGACATTCACAACAAAGAGTTCATCTTCAAGCACCCCAAGCAAGAATCGACCATCTCGCCGGAATCTTTTCTTCTATTTCGCCGCCAGCCTACTCCGTCGCGAATTCTATGAGCCGCCCGACTGGTTCAAGGATGCCGAGTTGGGTCCTATTGCTGAAGCTAGTAATCYTTGGGTTACGCCTGTCGCATACCTCCAGAGCTGTCGATATGAGAAATCATCGACAAGAGCAGCGCCYTCAACTTCTCCCTCGCTTAATTGACGGGCTACTCTGCTAGTGGTTGGAAATCTAGCAGGCCTAAAATCGTCGATTCTATAGAGAGCGATACGTTAGTTAGGTCATGGCGGGAATGAATGAGGATGACTTGTCCCGGTGAACAATCCTCATATCGACAGCTCTACATACCTCCGCCGTAGCACTCTTAAATAGATCTGACGATATAAGAAAGCATCGACAAGAGCAGTGCCCTAGACTGCTCTCTCGATTAAGCAACGGCCACTCTGCTGGTAGCAGTAGTTCTAACAGGCTCTAAATCATCGAGCCTGTGGAGAGCGACGCCTCAGGACATTATAGACATAACTAAGGATGCCTTGTGTCCTAATAAATAATCCTCATATCGACAGCTCTACTTACTTCTAAGCATCTTCTCGGTCGCGTTGGCAATACAAGCACCGATGGGCCTCTCGAGCTGAATGCTAAGCAGTGGCTCAAGAGTAGCTTTGAAGAGAAACTCCCCAGCCTGCCGAACGATTACGATCCGGCCTCGGCTAAGGAGAGACTGTCAAACGAGATCTGGAATGGCCAAGTAATACCGACCGACTCATCGAGAGACTACGATAGAGACGATGATCGCTGATAATGTTCCATACACTTATGAGTCAAGAAAGGTTGGACCGTCACGCAGAGCTATCGATATGAGGATTTGTCATCAACAGCTGCTCCCTGAACTGCTCCCCCGATAAGTTTACAGGATACTCTGCTAGTTATTAGGATTCTAGCAGTCCTAGATTCATCGATACTGCAGAGAGCGATGCCTTAGGACATTATAAGGATGTATAGGGATGTCTTGTCCCGATGAATAATTCTCATATCGACAGCTCTGGTTGGACGAAGGGGCGTCTAGGTAGCCGACTACTCAACACTTCACTTTAAATCTTCCACAAAAAATCAGAGATCGAAGCCTCGACATGCACCTCACCCAACACCGCCCGCGCGTCCTTCAATACAGTCCAGTATGGCAAAAGAGCCCTCCTCTTCGCGTCGCCCCCCTTCGAGATGGTGCGCAATCCCCTCTAGAGCAAAATCAACACTCAGAAAACCTAGCGTTGCTCCTTTGCCTCGGATCTTGATGTCTGCGTTTGCTTCGATGGCCTCGCCAAATTTGCGGAGGAATTCCACGCAATGAGTGAAGATCTTGAAGAAGTTGACACGCGCAGTAGGTAGGTCGCCCGTGAACTCCGTGTAGGCAGCGTCCTTGATCTTGTCGAGGGAAATATGGAAAGGGTTGGCGTGGATGGCGTGCATGACACCACGGACTGATTTCTTGGAAGGAGTTCTAATGCTGGAGCCTTTGTATACTCTCATCCAGAAATCTTGTGTGGTCCGGTAGCTCTGGTTATGAAGGTAGTAGAATAGTGACGTCTCAGACAGACTCGCTAGATCAAATTCTCGTAGCACTCTTATGCTGATCGGTGAGAAGTCGGCGCGGTCTCTAGGCTTTGACTGCGGTATGGCGGTACTAAAGTCCTGCCCCAGGGCTTTCCGAAAGTGGTAGCTGAAATCGGCATCTGGAAGACCTCCAAGAAACAAGTGAGGCATGAAGATTCGGGATAGGTCCTCCATTAGTGGGATCTTCTGCAAAGGATCTTCGCGAGCTTCCTTAGAGCATTGTATAGGTGAAGTACTGCGCAGACGTATCCGGTCTGGCAGCAGAGTTCCATACCCGCGAGACGAAATGCGGTGAGCAGCTCAACAATATGACAACCAGCAGTCCATGGAGATTGATAGTAGAGATCGAACCGCTTTTCGCGAATGTAGTCCTCTAGATCGTCGAGAAACAGTCCAAAGGTCAGCTGGAATTTATCCAGGCCAGCTTCTTGACAAGCAACAATGGCAGAAACTGCCGCTGATATCTCTTTCTTTACCTCCATAGCAAAGGAAAGAGCTAGGAGGCGGCAATTCTGTTTGGTGGGAGTCGGGTCTGGCCAAAGGAATGCCTTGTAAGTTGAGAGTAGCATCTCGTAGCCATAGACCAAATGAAATGGCGGAGGCGACCTGTTGACATCAGTTGGCTCATCCTTGTCCGAGGGCAGAACCATTTTCAATAGCGGGAGGAGTGGTTCCGAGATATGTGTATCTTTATCCGAGGCTTCAAGAGCTGACATCGCTCGCCCTGAAACTAGAAGCTGTCGCATGCTTTCTTGCATCTTGTCAAGCGCCAGATCATCTTCCTCGTCTTCGATTTGACCTGGACGCAATAATTCGCTCGGCACAGGGATCGTTGGACTAGAGAAAACTTCGAGTGGTCTTAAAGGAGCACCGGCGTTCGAAGAGATCACCCTGTAGTCATCTAGAGTACGACAATCATGCAGTATCCGGGCTGCTCTCCATAAAGCGAACGTATCGGCACAGCGACCATTACTCGTAAATCCAGGTATATCCTTAAATCGAATCGATGGATGCTTCTGCTTATGCTTCACCCACATGGCTATGAGGTCGTCGCAAGTTCCTACAACATGCTGTAGTCTTCCAAACATTCGACCGACTGCATGTAAAGCTGTAGTGGTCAGCCAAGCCGCGAGAGGGATCGATAGCTGATCCCTAGCTGCATCCTTCCAATACGTGTCTACTTTTTGGGAGATTGCATCGATCTCCTGGAGAGTGAATTAGCGATCGTAAACGTGTAATCATAATCTGGGTGACTTACACGAAGGAATAAGCTCAGTTCAATCCATTCCCCAAGATCGTCGTCTTCGAGGAATACATCCTCAGACGATCCACCCAAAGAAGCCTGTCGAGACGCCTGACTTTCACAATTCTCCTTGCAACTACCTCCTGCTGATTCCGCTACCTCAAGATGCACAGCGGCCTCGGAGAGGATATCGAAGCGATTCGATGGGCTTCTAGCGACAGATGAAGTCTCGGGGTGGTCGCTAGGAACTTGCTGGTCCTGCTTTGACTTTAGAGGCATCAATATGTTCAGAACCTCTTCAAGTCTGTCACGGTTAACCCTAGCACGATTATGATACAAGACAGAACATACCCGCGCACGAACGCCGCATGGCTGTGGTCGCTTTGCCTATCCTCTGAGGGCGATAATCCGCGGTAAAGTTCTAGGACCTTCTTACGTCCAGTAACGGCGCTTTGTAGATGGCTTATAACAGAGTTGGGAACTTCAAGTTTCCGGGCTGCCGCATCCTTTGCTGCCTGTACCATATACAGGGTGGAGTTGAGGCGAGGCTGGCTGCTGTCATTTGAGCGAGTTGATCGGAGMCATGCGAGCGCGTATTTGGTTGCTTCCTTGTAATCCCGATAGAGCTCATCAAATGTCTGTGAGTACCCCATGGTAGGTACTTTGCTCGCTGGAGGAAGTTCAGAAGAAAATCAGCCGCGTCCCCAGACTTATTTCTGTGGGTGACCAGCGCGACTCGCTTGGAAAAGTTTCTGCGAACAGATATGCATGTGATGCCGCCAATATGCACGTCATTACAGCGCATATGTAGAGCTACATGTAAGCCCGCGGTCACACCCCGAACTTGCTTACAGTGGGTGCCCGCTGTCATTTTTTATTTCTCATGCTGGTCTCATAACCACATAATTAGGCAAACATTTGATCCTCACGGAGCATTGCACTACCTAGTTCAAGGAGATTCTGCTCACTCGAGACATCTTTTGCTTGGATTTCTAGTTCGACCTGAACCACTTGTTCGTATTGTAATGTCTGTATTACTGCCGAATGTTTTGTTTCGGTGCTGTAACGCATCTAGTGCAGGACGTCTAGTAAGCCGCGGATATAGGCCTTGGGTCGTTTAAAACAATATGCTCCAGAATCAGGGGCTTCTATCTGAGTTCGAGTCTCACAGTCACCTCGGCCAGTTCCTCAGAAGCTCTGTCCATTTTGCTTTGTTGGCGTGGCATATTCGTATCAAGAGGTTTGCTGAGGGAAGAAGCACGAGACAGCGACCATGGAAATTCCTATCAATGCAACTCTAAAAATGGTGCCGCAGGTGCTTGGTCAAGGAAGTATCGGTGAAAATAAAGCGCCTTGTTAGCTCAATCTCTTTCACAGGAGGAGGCAGCAACGGGCACGGCCCTGCTGCCCACTGTAGTCTCGACCTCGAGCAACCTTACAGTGACATCTGCCATGGTTTCAATTGAACATCCTCTCAGACATTCCGAACTTATCTCCTGGCGAAGTGAGGTTGGCTCAATTTCATTCACAGCAACGGTCACGAGCCTGCTGCCTAAGCTCGACTTTGAGCACCGCTTATCTCACATCAACCTTCCAACAACATCCGTCACTCTTCACTTCAACATTCTCTCAGACAATCCGCAGACACCACGACAGACCATGGAAGACATCAGCTGCCTCGACGGGGTCGCTCAGCTCAGCCCCAAAGGCGGCAGAATCGTGGCACCCTATGACGAGTGGTGGAAGCTCCGAGAGAGATATCGCTCCGAGAAATACGGTCCTGCTCGGAAATTCCTCCGGCAGCACAAGTACGGCTTTGCTCAGGGCACTGCATTTTCTCGGCTCGCATACCTCTGCACACGCGCGCAGCGAGGCCTAATCTCCTACTTTGATCGCCCAATTGCAGAGCTGCGCCAGTTCTGCGCTCAGCGGAGCTTGCCTGGAGTCCATGGTCTGAAGAAAGTGGAACTGGTGAAGCTACTTGAAGCAGAGGATGAAGAGGCATCGTTCCCGCGGTTTCTGGAACTTCCGGCGGAACTCAGAGTTTTAGTCTATGGGTTTTCGTTCAATGTGGTCAAAGGAGAAGAAGTGCAAGGCTTTAGGCAGAGTCCGCTTGGGATCAGGTTGGTCCCGCCACCGGTCACTGCGGCCTCCAAAATGCTTCGCAAGGAATCACTCCCATTGTACCACACCACCGCTGGACTTTACATCAGGGCAATTTACCAACGCAGTGACGCAGTCTCCAGCCACCGTGCAGTATCGTGGCCAAACGACTACAAACTTGATTTGCACAGAATGACGACTTCGCTCTTCAAGAATGTGCCAATTCTGGCACTCCAGTCAATCAGAACAATCTACTTCCGCATAGATGTCGGCCGTAATGATGATTTTCGTTCGGAGATTACCTGGGAGATCGCTTTACCAACTGCAAGGACGCCTTGCGGTCTGAAGAATCTTAGACGCGAGAATTCCAACGACCCGCTGGGAGCAAACGAATTGGATGAAATAGAAGATGGCATTCGCAAAGTTTTTAATGACAAGCTCAACGGCAGGCAGGGTGAGCGATTAATACTCCGGCGGAAAGACATCTATGATCTCTACAAGGCCTTTCCAGTCACTCGACGGCAGTAGAACTATTCCTATTCACTGCACAAAGAATTTCTGGCGATGCCAAAACGCGCCAGCTTCAACGAAATCTTAGCACCTTTAACAGCACGCTATGAGAAGTTGCGAGGAAGCATGGAATGATCTCTGCAGGTTGCTAGACTGTAAATTATCCGAGAGGGGTGGTAAGCGGCTCATGCTGTAGCGAGGAGATATGCGAGACTTTCTCAAGGCTTTTCGGAACGCTCTATTCAAACAAGGAACGGTGAAGTTGTGAAGGATGATCGGCAACAGACGATGTGATGGTGATGGAAAACGTTTCACTGCGGCATTGAACAGAGCTGTAGATATGAAAAAATCATCAAAAATACCAGCGCCCTTATCTGCCCTCTCCATTATGTGAGGGTTTACTCTGCTAGCAGTAAGGGCTATAGTATTCGCTTGCTTGCAAAGTACATTACCTCAAGTAAGCGAAGTGAGGTCAACCAAATTCACTCATTGCAGCGTTCACGTGCCTGCTGCACGCGCTAGCGTCAAGTCACACCTTCCCTTCGCCGTCACCTGCAAAATTTAATATAAATACTAACAACATCCACCATTGCTTTTGTACATCCTTCATCAACCTTTTCAACCTCTCTCGAATCAGTCTACGACAGTATACTGCCAACTATGGAGGACACATCCTACCTTGCCAGAAAGGCTCAGCTGCACGAGCTTGGTGGAAGGCTCTACTTCAGAGAGCACTGGTGGAAGCTCAATGACCAATCAAACCGGCAGTCCGATGCAAGGCTTACTTCGCTCGGTTTCGGTTTCCTCTCGACTCGGAACTTTGCTTGCATTCGAAAGACTTCTTGGTCTCGTGTTGCCTATCTGTGTACCCGCGCCCAGCGAGGCATGATATCCTACGATAAGCGGCTCATCGGGGATCTGCGCCAGTTTTGCAAAGAGCGAGATTTTCAAATGTTCAAGAACCTCAAGAAGAAAGAATTGATTGAGCTTCTTGAGCGCAAAGATGAGGAAGCTACATTTCCAAGATTCATGGAACTGCCACCAGAGTTACGAATCATGATCTACGAACATTCTTTCGATACATCAATCGACCACAGTGGAAGCTCGCAGTGGCAGGAATGGCGGGCATCCTCGTTTTATACAATTCCGCCGCGGGTAACATATGCCAGTAAAGCGCTGCGCCAGGAGTCCCTCCCAATCTTCTACACTGGTGGTCTGCTCAAGATCAGAATGAACGTCAGACAAGCCACGCATGGATTCACGATCAAGGAAAACGGCTTCGCAACTTTATTCTTTGCAAAGGCGTCGCAAGCTACTCTGGAATGTGTCAAGGCGATCCAGGTCACGTTTGATTGCAACTTCCAGGAGACATCCGCATCGTGGTTGTCGTTCCGGGACGAATGGATCGTCACCATCACTCTACCGACCGCCAGCACACCATACCAGATCACCCAAGTATCCCACCCATCACGGAGGTATGCGCCTGTCGGGCTTCCGGTTCATCAGAAACTGCTGGAGAAGAGTCTGGGCGAGATTTTAGAAGGCATGGTATCCAAAGCGAAGGGAAAGCGCACCACTTTCGAGCGAGGAGACATCTTTGAGATTCGTCGTGCTTTCCAGGAGCTGGGGGACGCTTTGGAGAAGAAGCGAGTCTCTTGAAGCCCTATGTCCTAAGACACTTCTGTTGAAGCGCAACGAGCTTTGGATGGCCGATATGATYCATGCATCGACACCATATCATCCATCTCAAGGACCGACTTCTAAAAACCTTGGTTCCGGAATACTGAAGACTCCAGGCGTTTTCAGAATCCAATCTCACCTTCAAACATCACCTATCATCATCTTCCAATCCCAGACAGCGAGCGATCCCCAATCCAGCGGACACAAGCACATACTCGCCGAGAACAGCATCAGCGGACCGATATCTCCCCAACACAAGTCTCAGCACGACGCCAGCTGGGACTGGGACAGTTCAGACATCCCCAATGGCCTTGAGGGCCTCCCCCAATTGCATCAACATCATCCACCACCATGTCATTTCAAAAAGGAAGCAACCCTAATCCCGGGAACAACATGAATCCCACCACATCATCTTCCCAGCATTACCATGGCTCTTCTCCAAGAAAATTCGTCTTCTCAAAATATCCACGAAGCTGTCGAGAGCAGAACCACCATGACATCTCTTTCCATCGGAAGTCAAGCCTCTCATTATACGGAAATCTCGGCCTGAAAGCCAGCAAGACAGCAAAGATCGCGAGGAACATTTCTTGCCGTAGGCTTTGCTAGTCCCGCTGGAAAGGACATGGGACTACTTTCCGTCTCGCAGGACAGTTTCAGTCTCAAAATGCGAATGYTGCATAGTTTTGATGGAAAGTAGGAACGTAGCAAAGACCACGAAAAGCAAATTGAAATTATTCCAGTTGCACCCATGTTCATTTCAAATCGATCAAGTCCAAGTTGGTAATCCAGCAAAACCCTCACGAGTCTCGCTCGCCTCCCGGGTGTTCAAGCTCAAATCCTCCATCCTCAAACCTCCCAACCCACTCCTATCAAGCCAAAACAGGCCCCATAAACCCCTGGATATAATCCCACTTCCCCAATTCCAACCCCTCCATTCTCAAAATCGCATACACCATATTCAAATGAAAATACACATTCGGCATACTAGCCCCCATAGCGAATTCCCACCCCGTCATATCCTTACTCATCGTCTCCGTCAAAACCGTGCTCTCAACTTCATCTCCCCGCAAATTAATATGAATTTCGTCCAGCGCTTCGAGATTCTTTCTGGTAGCTTCGATGCGAGCGTGCATATCCTCGAAGCTAGAGATATCGTCCACGGGAGGGATAAAAGGGGATTTTCCATCCAGACGAGCTACCATGCGTTGGATTGCTTGGCATAACAAGTGGATTTGAGAGGTCAGAGGTCGCATATCCGGTGCTAAGCGGGCTTTCAAGAGGGTTGAAGGGTCTGCGTGTTTGGATTCTGCGGTTTTGAGGATGTTGGTGAGGGATGTGAGAGCTGAGAGGGAGGTGGAGATTGTTGCGGTGTAGAATTTGAAGGGTGCCATTTCTGGAAGGGGTTCGGGTATTGGTGGGGGAGGTTTGTTTGGTGCTAAAATGTTTCTCTCGTGGTAGGGGGAGAAATGGGGAGGAGAGAGGTAGATATAAATGTTGCTTTGGTGGGTCTTCCTTCGAATCGAAGGATTTTATAATCGGCTACGGTGGTCTTTTAGCGACTTCCCTGCAACAACCTATAAATAGCTTTTTAGAATGCACTACTACTCTTAGCTTTACCTCGGCGCCGGAGTTAGAGTATTGTAGCGTTTCCTACGCTATTATATCGTATTATATATAAAGTTTCGATATAGCAAGAGTGCTAGGCTATATAATAGTATCGTAAAGATTTGTTCTAGTTACCGTTAGTATATCGACACTCTTATAATTTTATTTAAAGGCGTTGCCCTATACCTATTGCTTATCTCTTTTCTGTTTACCTATATAAAGCGTAGAGAGAAGAAGGCATAAGCTAAAGTATAGAGATATCGTAAACTAGTATATATTATATAGTAGTATAAGGGTAAAGATGTAGCAATGTATTAGACACCCGTAATCACTCGATTAGAGATAAGACTAATTCTTGTAGGTTAAATGTGCGCTATACGTAGGAGTTATGCATACGCTAAGCCTACGCTAAGCAGTTAGGTTATATTATACTCCCTTCTCTAAGGTTAGTTAATCTAGCTACCTCTATTAATCCTATTATTATAAGGGCTCTTATACGGCCCTTATAATTACCTCCTTCCCCCTATACGAACTAGCCTTAGTTCGGGGGCTTAGGGAATAGAGGCGCGCGCGCGTCGTATACGTCGCGCTCGGGGTCCGTAGACTCTATATAGTAAAGTGCCTATTTTCTAAGCAACCTTCGGGCTATTTATATAAAAGCCGGCTAGTTAAACTAGCTATATAGGAAGTAGCCGCTTTCGGAACTTTATCCTCCTTCTAGTAGGCTAAATGCCGTACCTAGAAGGGCGAGGGTTTAATTCCCTTAACGACCGCTACTCGATAAGAGGGTTAATAAGTCCCCTACTACGCGGCGTATATATTACCGCTACTATCCGTAAGGGTCTTATATCTACAGATCTCTAAGTAGGTTGTTTGCTAAGTAACCTACCCTAGTAACTACCTTTTATTAATATTCTTTCTACCTTATAGATTTCTCTTCTATATATCTACTCTTTATTATGCCGCTACGTACTCCCTATAAGCGTCGCGTACCCGACCCGCCGGCGACCCCCGCTTAAGCGTCGGCGAGTAAGCGCCGCGCCGTCGAGGTGCCTACGGCCTATCGCCGCTAWACGCGGTTAGTATACCTTCGTATTAGCTATCGCTATAACGCTGTCTTTAGCGCGTTTAAGCGTAAGTACGACTACTATAAGTAAGTAACGCTTATTCGAGACGCCTACTCCTCTCTTACGTAGCGCTAACTTCCCTTAAAGGAACAATTATTATAAGTGTAAACCCGTGCCGGTAGCGATACGCCTACGCTACGATAGCGTT